GATTCATGAAATTTAAGATATTTCAGTTTCATAAGTCTTGCTGATTTAACTCTATACTCGGATCCTAAGATAGTCTTGTAACTCCCCAAGATAAATCTACACAACGACTTGAACACGAGAGAAAAGGTGCAAAATATGCGAGAAGTATTTTACTCCAAGCGTTCATTCATGCACAGAAAATACAGGGTTTTTATAGTATTTTAGAAGTCCTTGGGTTCTCCTGAAAATTCTGGAATGCTACTAAGCATAGTAGCAGTGTAGGAATCAGTCAATCAGAAACTCTACATGTGACTTTACATTTTCGTGATGTTTCCAGCAAAACTTCTAGTCAAACGCTGATTGGATAAAATGCTTCTTTATGTTTTCTGATCTTGTCATGTCTATTGCAAGAAATTTTCGGGATCGCTCCAACATATATGTATCAAATGTGTTTTGTCTAAGTTAGGCAGTTTCATGAAGTTATTATTGAAATATTTTAAAGATTGAATGTCAATTGAATTATTTTTTGAAAATCTTGAAGAAAACAAATATCTATCTTTGTTCTATTTTGAAGCTTTTGGGTAGTCTACATTTTAACCGATATAAATTGTATAACTCTCAGTATGTTACAGCTAGAAGACTACAGAATACGAGAGACAGCAATCTACACTATTCTTATACTTCATTTAATAAGTGATATGTAGCTCAATCATTAATTGAAATGATCGGTGAATGAGTAATTAATTTACTCTCAATTTCGACATATCTATAAGCCATATTTTTACTTTAGAAATTTGCTAAAGATTTATGACAAAGCTAATCACCGATAAGCATGAAATCATTATCTAGACATGAGATTTGATTGACCCTTACATTTAATATCTTAAATTTTGTGTCCAACCAATTAAGATTTGAGTAGTATAAAGTCAAATGACTAGAACCATTATTATCCAACTGTCTTTAAAAAGATCTAGATTTATTTAACAGAAATTGTATGAACGATACTTGAATGAAGTTATTTACGATTTACATAAATTGGATAAAGTACATATTTATTCAATATCGTTAACCACTCGCAGCTTAAATTGTAAGGCTAAATCAATATCAAGTGTGTTTCCAATGATAAAACGAAGTTGATCATGGTATATTTGCATTTCCACACAGATTTAATGTTTGACAGATTTTATATACAGTCGACTCCTAGGTAGAAGAATAAACTTGTTATAACGTTCACTATTGGAAACACTATTCGGAACTAGAGAATATATTAAAAGTTGTATATTCATAATCTAAGACTGTTTTAATTGATGGGCACACAACCATGTATTCCTTATGAAATTTAATCAATTACCTTCAAACAGGCACAGAAACACAACGATAAATTAGGTAATTCTGGAAGCACTGGACGGCCGTTTCGTCCTGTTATATGATTCCTTAGCAGTGCGCATTCACGATCCCAGGACCTACCAGTCTCGAGCCGAGGCCCTTAACCGATAGACCACCGAGCCAAATTAGGTAATTCAGAATCTGTTAATCCAGAACTTCCCGATTTCAGGGAATTTGTCATAACACGCTGGAATAATTCAATATTATTAATGAATTCCGATCTTACTTGTGATCTGCTTAGTGATGTTACAAAGATCATGGATTCTAATTTTTGATCTTAGGATAATCGCTATAAAATAAAACGGTAGTGAGCAAAGAATTATTAGAGTTCTTTTGTTATTCAGTATTTTTCTTGTCATGTTATGGATATGGAGGATCCACCTAAGGGAGTTAAAAAACCCTGATTCTAAACCAATGGTCCACATGGACTGCAGGATCCTAAGGAAACAAATGGCGTATGAACCGATTGTTGGTCATCGACTACTATGGGACTGCATCTCCTCACGATGCTCCACTGCCTTGTGGATCAGACTTTTAGATCGAAGGCTCCGGGTGTGGCCCCCTAAGAAAACCACATGCTTCGGTCTGGACACACAGGCAGTATCAGAGCTCTCATACAAATCAAATGAGATTTGTGCGGCGCATATCCATTTGGTTCTTCCTACCTAAAGGTATGACCCACAAGGCAGTGAAGCAACGTGATGAGATGCAGTCCCATGGTAATCGGTGACCAACAATTGGTTCATACGCCATTTGTTCCCTCAGGATACTGGAGCCCATGTGCACCATTGATTTGGAATCAGGGTTTTCCAACTCCCCTAGGTGGACTCACTGTGTCTACCAACCCGGTTAAAGCGCTGGACATTCGCTTTACGTTCTCCCAATTTTGTAAACAACAGTAATGCCACAAGAAGGCAGTGAGTACGACTTCCCTGGTGGAGGTTATATACGTGTGGCCATGTGAGAGCATTTTGAAAGGGAGAGAAGACTCTCCCACTGTCGGCCGTACCAGGGCATTTGGGGGCTTACTTAATACTGTATATATATATATATATATATATATATATATATATATGATATTCTGTCCTAAAATGAACAAGTGAGGAACAAGTATAATCAATGGAGGGGTATATATATATAAAACTACTCAAAACAACAATAACAATATTATCAAAACACTAAGGATACTACATGAATATATATATATATATATACATGCAAGTATTAGTAATCATAATAATAACAACAGAATTCGGGTGAAGTTGCTATGCATATTTATCTACTAACTTGTTGTATACAACACATTATGCTAATAAAAATATATAAATATGATGGACACACCTTGAATACCTATGATACTACTTACAGTTTAAACATTTGTTGGCGCCTTAACTTTAGGTACTATTATTATTATTATCATTGTTATTATAAATTTTAGGGTGAATCTTTTTAAAAAAAGAACTATCCTCTTTCTCTCCTTGAACATATGTCATTCATTCATTTATTCATTCCATCATCTTACTGATAATGGGAAAGTAAAATATTCTAGTATAGTTTTCAATCAATAAGATTGTAATGTTTTTTTTCAAATAATTCGGTCAGGACACGTCTTAATGATAAGTTTTGTCGATTGAACGCTATATTCGTTTTCCTAAGCTATTCTGGTAACATACAGGATAGAACTACTCAGCGACATGAACACCAGAGAGAAGACGAAATTATGAGAGAAAATACTTTTCTCCAAGCTTCGTTCTTGTACAGAAAATCATGGGTAATCATAGATGTTAGCGCCTGTTAAATCAACATCATATTTGAGCCAATCCATTAACGACATATTATGCTACCGACCAATAGTAGCATGCCATGTTGGAATTCCAGAATGTTCCACCATACTGTGATTGGCTATAGCTCTTCGGCTCCTTTTGGGCCTCTGGAGGCTCCATTGAAGTTCTCCGGAAGTCGACTCAACATTTAGGAAGCTACTCGGATAAACCAACTAGAAATTACTAAAAATTCATGATGAGTTGAATCTATCGAAGCGTCTAAATCACACCATTGAGATACATACGAAACTGAAGTTCATAAAACAGTGATTTGTCTGAAAGACGGTTCTCTATTAAACATAATTTAGTTACAAACTTCAACTTGTGAGGTATCTGTGATGCGCGTCTGTAAGTCTGAAAGAAAAAGAGATTTCTGCACTTATAACATGAAGAATAATTATGACATACGACAGTGCAAATGACAGCTGATAGCTGTGTCTAATCATGATAACAGTTTATCAACAAGCAACAAAGGAATCAGGAGCAAACAAATGTGTAAGTCGTTGCGTTTAAACAAAGACTATACAACTACACAAAAAAATAAGAATAACTGCTATAGGGATTGAGAGAAAGTAATTATAATGATGAATATTACACGACAAACTTGCGTTATAACATGCGCGTAGAAACTACTAGGAATACAGCTATTTACTGAAAACTATTAAGTAGCATAAAACAATACATAAAAAAGAGTTGACGAGATGACAATGAGGACAGAGAACGTAAACAAACTTAACATTAAATGTTAACAAATCAACCTAGTAACAAACAGTTGTACATGTAAACGCCTTAATATTTAAATATGTCAACATTATTATTTAATTTACTATTAAAGGAGTATAAAATTCAAATTCAAAAGAAGTTCAATCATATTCTTTAAAAATTGTCTGTAACCAAAACGTATTTTATTCTAATTGGAACCAATTTACATCTTTATATCAGCGTTCAAATTAATACCTAATGCCTGTTGAATAATTATAAATGTTAACCGTACACTACTTATAATTAACAAATTATTGAGATACTGAATAACGCGGAACTTAAAAAACGACACTAAGGACATTTAGAAAAAACAACAGATCAATATATATTGGAATGCATGATAGATGGAAGGAATAGTTATAATGTGGTGGGATATCTTTCTATTTATTTCACATTATATTAAGTTATTTTCTCGCCTTTGCATGCTCTCTTAACTGACGACATATCTCTATCACGCTAAACAGCAACGTCAATTTGAATCACGGTAATATATGGTAGTTATGAAAATAACATTTTTTATTTATTATTAAAACACATAAAGATTGGTACAAGGAAGCACCAGTTACATATGCGCCACACAAATAAAATGAGATTTGTGTAAGGGTTGTGATATTGTCCAGGTGCCCAAACTGAACCAGGTGGTTTTCATATAGGGCCACACCCGGAGCCTTCGACCTAAAGGTCTGATCCACAAGACAGTGGAGCATCGTGATGAGATGCAGTCCCATGGTAGCTGGTGACCGACGGTTAGTTCATACGCCATTTGTTCCCTCAGGGTACTGGAGCCCATGTGCACCATTGGTTTGGAATCAGGGTTTTCCAACTCCCCTAGGTGGACTCACTGTGTCTACCAACCCGATATTCGCTTTTCGTCCTCTCAATTTCGTAAACAACACCTCTGGTGTCAGAAGGCAGTGAGTAGGACTTCCCTAATAAATGCTATCTACGCATGGCCATATGAGAGCATTTTGAAAGGAAGAGCGGACTCTCCCCACTCTTGACCGTACGAAGGCATTTGGGGGCTATGAACACATGAAAATAACAAAGCAATTTTGTATTTATTATATTTATTTGAAATGAATGTATAATCACAATAGCAGTTTTAATGGTAAAAGTATTACCAACAAATATTACATAATGTATAAGGGAATGTCCATTAGTAAGACTGTACAAGTGATATATACATATATATCAAGAAGTAAATAATCCACTAGAAGCGATTTTGTCAGAAAGCCAAATAAAAAAATTTAAAGTTAAAATGAAAAAGATAAAAAACGAATTTACTTGGTGATAACAGAAAGATCGTGCACATTTTAAATACATAGAATTTTGGTAAAGTCTAACCATCAACTTCATTGTCGACACCAAGCACTCATTTGAAAAATATTAGCCATCCATCACAAAAAAACAAACAAAATGAAGTTAATGTTTCATTAAGAGAAACTATAATTAAAATTGTTTCGATTTAAAACGTTTTCGTTTGCCCGCCTTGTTAGGTTGCTGAAAAAGGAGAAAAAACATTGGTCATTCATTTTCTACTAACATTTCACACTACTTAAATGTTGATAAGTAGTTATAAATAAATAAATATAAGTACTTTGAATTACGACGATGAAGATGGGGAGAACTGTTCAAGTTTGTATCGGAATAATAAACTAATATTCTTGTTGTTCTCTGATTGATCTTGTTTGCAAGATGTTTGATAACAAGAACCTCCTACAACTCAATGGGTGCCAGCAGAGAGGCCTAAAAAGTAACTAGCCAATTGATAAATCAATTTTCACTAAAAGATTGCAAGTGACCGACTTCGAGTAACTTTCCTTTAGGCTCTGAGGTAATGTTCTCAAACCACCGAAACCAACACTAATCAAATACCACTTTCAGATACTCAAAGGAATATCCTTCTGTAGTATTCTAAACTTGAAAGTGAAAATAGGAGTACATCTTGGTTAACAAGATCACTATTTACTGATAGTGATCATGGGCTCATTAGTGATAAGTTTTCAGATAAATTGCCCAGAATTCCAACAGAAAGCTATGTTGTCTAGTGTGATAAGTGAGGCATTAACTTACTGCAGACTGACTGATTGGATTACGGATCAGAGCTACATTTTAAAATAAATAAAGTTGGACATTCGAACTAAAAGATTTGTTCTTAATGACTGAACTAAACGTTCCAGGATAGAAATATACGTAATATCCTGATGTATGAGTATACCGATATGAAATTAACAACTGGAACGATGCCTGGTAATCAGTAAGTTCCATGAAACTGATAAAATAATTGAATTTTAAGTATACAGAGCAATTAGAAATGAAATTTTCATTCTAGTTGGGATTCAACAAAGAGTATTCACACACATACAAGCAGATCCATACATGCATATATACAATCATGAGTCAAGGAAAGTTCAAGAATTTCAAAGGATTTCAAGAAGTCTGACATCCAATCTCATAATAATAACTTACTATTTGAGCATGACGACCTAATATCATTTCTAAATCACGTTGAGCTTTTTCCTCTTGTGCAGCAACAGTTGTTGGATTGACTAGGTCATCATCATCATCATCGACATCAGGTGAATGCATCGTTGAATCAGCACGACCGCCAGTAACAGTGGAAGGAGTTAATGAACTGAGTCGCTTAACAGATGATAACAGGATATTTGATGTTGTTAACTCATGTGGTTTAGAATCAGTACTACTATTAGCAGCAATACTACTATTATTATCATTCTTACTGCTATTGGTACCAGAGATACGTAGAAGTGGTAAACGCCGTCGAGGTGTAAGTTTTTTCTTTATCACCTATGTACATAGTTAAAAAACAAACATAAAGTGATATTATTAAGAGTTAGTAATCTCTTTTTGTTATTTTTACTTAGAATTGCAGTTGAATAGTCTCTTTTGCCAGAACTTACGCCTGTTACTTACTTACGCCCGTTACCCCTCGTCGAGGAGCATAGGCCGCTCACCAGCATTCTCCATTCAACTCTGTCCTGAGCCTTCCTTTCCAGTTCTTTCCAGTTACTATTCATCCTTTTCATATCGGCTTCTATTTCCCGGCGTAGTGTGTTCTCTGGCCTTCCTCTTTTCCGCTTCCCCTCCGGATTCCAAGTTAGGGATTGAGTCGTGATGCACATTGGTGATTTCCTTAATGTATGTTCGATCCACTTCCAACGTCTTTTCCGAATTTCCTCTTCAGCTGGAAGCTGGTTTGTCCTCTCCCATAAAACGCTGTTGCTGATAGTATCCGGCCAGTGGATGTTGAGTATTTTGCGTAGACAACTGTTTATAAATACTTGTACCTTCCTGATGATGGCCGTAGTAGTTCTCCACGTTTCAGCTCCATACAGTAGGACTGTCTTGACGTTCGTATTGAAGATTCTAACCTTGAAATTAGTTGAGAGTTGTCTTGAGTTCCATATGTTCTTCAATTGTAGAAATGCTGCCCTTGCTTTGCCAATCCTCGCCTTTACATCTGCATCCGATCCTCCTTGTTTATCAATGATGCTCCCCAGGTACTTGAATGTTTCCACCCCTTCCAGAGTTTCGCCTTCAAGTGTGATTGGGTTGGTGTTCTCCGTGTTGCATTTGAGAATCTTGCTTTTTCCTTTGTGAATGTTTAGACCTATCGATGCGGAGGCTGCTGCTACATTTGCTGTCTTCATCTGCATTTGTTCGTGTGTATGAGAGAGGAGGGCTAGGTCATCTGCGAAGTTCAAATCATCTAATTGATTCTGAGCTGTCCATTGTATTCCGTATTTCCCTCCAGATGTCGAATTCTTCATAATCCAGTCAATCACTAGAAGGAGGAGGAATGGGGAGAGTAGACAGCCTTGTCTGACTCCGGTCCTTACTGGAAATGCATCTGTCAGCTGTCCTCCATGCACCACTTTGCACTGTAATCCATCGTATGAGTTTTGGATAATGTTGACGATCTTCTGAGGAACTCCATAGTGTCGAAGAAGTTTCCATAATGTTCTCCTGTCCACGCTGTCAAACGCCTTCTCGTAGTCAATAAAGTTGTCGTATAGTGATGAGTTCCACTCAACTGATTGTTCAACGATGATCCGTAGTGTCGCAATCTGGTCTGTGCACGACCGATCCTTACGGAATCCAGCCTGATGATCCCGAAGTTCGGCATCTACTGCGTCTTTCATCCGATTCAGCAGCACTCTGTTGAAAACTTTTCCTGGTACTGATAACAAACTGATACCTCTGTAGTTCTCGCATTTGCTCAGATCTCCTTTCTTTGGTATCTTGATGAGATATCCTTCTTTCCAGTCCGTTGGCACTTGTTCCTCTTCCCAAATCTTCTTGAATAGAAGGTGAAGCATGTTTGCAGTTATTTCAATGTCTGACTTCAGTGCTTCTGCTGGTATATTGTCAGGTCCTGCCGCCTTCCCACTTTTGATTTGTCTGATGGCCATCTTGACTTCTTCGATCGTTGGTGGAGTGACATCTATTGGAAGGTCAGTGTGGGCTGCTTCGATGTTCGGTGGATTCAATGGGGCTGGTCTACTCAGCAGTTCCTCGAAGTATTCTGCCCATCTTTTCTTCCGTTCTTGAATCTCAGTGATTGTCTTTCCTTCTTTGTCCTTGACTGGTCTCTCTGGTTTGCTATACCTCCCTGCCAATTTCTTCGTTGTATCATATAGTTGTTTCATATTCCCTTCTCTTGCAGCTTTTTCCGCCGCCGTTGCTAGTTCTCCCATGTATTTCTGCTTGTCGGCTTTAATGCTTTTCTTCACTTGCTTGTTTGCTTCTGCGTAGTCTGCTTGTGCTTTGACTTTCTCTGCTCGTGTTCGGCTGTTGTTAATTGCTGGTCTCTTGTTCTTCCTTTCTTGAATTTTGTCCATGGTTCCCAGAGAGATCCATTCCTTGTGATGATGCTTCTTAGGACCAAGAACCTCCTGACACGTTGAAGTTAGTGCTTCTTTTATCCCTTTCCAGTTGTCCTCCAAAGTAGTTTCTTGTTCTTTCAGTAGATCCTGTAGAGCTTGGAACCTATTGTTGAGAGTTATCTTGAATTCTTGGAGCTTGTCAGCATTTCGAAGGAAGGCTGTATTAAACCTTTGTAGTGCTGTTTGTCCAGTTGTCCAGTCTTTCTTAAGCTTCAGTCTCATCTTGGCCACAACCAGGTGGTGATCTGAAGCTATGTCAGCTCCTCTCCGGGTTCTTACATCTTCCATTGATCTTCGGAATTTTTTGTTGATACAGATGTGATCTATCTGGTTCTCTGTAGTGTGGTCCGGTGAGATCCATGTAGCTTTGTGTATGCGTTTGTGTGGGAATATTGTGCCGCCTATAACCAATTTGTTGAAAGCACATAGGTTTGCAAGTCTCTCCCCATTTTCATTTCTTTCTCCTAGTCCGTGTCGTCCGATTATATCTTCATATCCTGTGTTGTCCACTCCAACTTTAGCATTTAGATCTCCCATCAGGATGGTGAGGTCCTTTCGTGAGCACTTCTCCATAATTGATTGCAGCCTTTCATAGAACTGATCTTCGTCGTTGCTATCATTGGTGGGTGCATAACATTGGATAACGTTCATTGTGATCCCTTGCTTCTTTGTTCTGAATGATGCTTTGATTATCCTGGGTCCATGAGATTCCCATCCCACAAGTGCATTTCTTACTTCTTTGGACAGCATTAGAGCAACTCCCTGAGTGTGTGGCGCATTTTCCCCTTCGTGACCGGAGTACAGCAGCATCTCTCCTGTACCTAGCCTTTGTTGTATAGTTTGTGTCCAATGGGTTTCGCTGATTCCGAGTACTGCCAAGTTGTATCTCCGCATTTCCATTGCTATTTGGCTGGTCTTTCCTGTCTCCCACATTGTCCGGACGTTCCATGTACCTATAAAGAGTGTTGCTCTGGTTGTTAGAAGGTGCATCGGTCTCGTGACTTCCGAAGAATTTCGGCTTTCATCATGAGACGTCATTATTCCTTCAACTCCCAGAGCAGAGTTTAAATGGTTTGAATTATTTTTTCTGGTTAGCGTTTTTTTAGTGAGTTAGCTTTTCTACGGGATGGGGTCGCTAACCCCATGCCTAACCCTCCTCCTTTACCCGGGCTTGGGACCGGCAGTAACTCTAGAAGAGCTACAGGCGGAGTTTTTGCCAGAATGGATTGAGAAATTGAGTCAATTATGACGTAGGTGGGATTTTCATACGCTAACGAGTGGATAAGTTCACTGAGCAGTAGTTCACCTCTCTTCTAATTTATGAGTCTGAAATGTGGTTATTAAAAGTAGAAAATACTTGTAGATGACTAGTGTTTGATCTCTCAGGGGAAGAACTGAACCACATCTCTTAGTGATGCTCTGGAGTTAGTGAACACTGTTTATGAGCCAAGGAGAACAGATAAATAGAGACCTGGCTGCTTTGAAGGTATTCATTAAGAATGATGTAAAGACCAAGTGGAAATTGTTGAGGTCAAAGATAAGGTGCTACATAAAATTGGTTAATCGGTTGATAAGGTAATAAATCTTCATCGACTGAAGTGGCTGGAACCTCGATGTAAGGTGTTTAATGATGTAGGCTGGAAGAAAGCTAGAAATGAGCAAACTAAAACTTGGTATCAGTCTTAAACGTTAAAGACTTTCGAACTGATTCACTCTTTTCCACTACTAATGATATTAATGTAGTGAACGAGAACTTAGATTAGGAAAACCAATTTATTATTTAATGCAAAATTACAGAGTTCCTTCATAAAATGTGAAAAACCATACATTGGATACTTTATTTGCAAACCTTCCATCACTTGTTTCATACACCATCGTTCCTTCATTGCAATTACAATTAATCTCTATTCATATTCCGGTCCTCTTCAATTCAGTCTTCTCAACCTTCTGCTGCCAGGCATTTGTATTGATAATTTAACTTCGCTATTTTAATATAGTATGGTAACCCAAACAGATGCACAAAAGTTCTACGTTCTAAGTCACGTATGACTGACTATTTCAATACAGAGTTATATCAAAAGTTTTGATATTATTGATGATAAAAAATATTATATTAGAGTTTGTATGTGAATAACAATAGTATAAGCAAAATACATGGCCATATGACTTGTCGTAAGTGGAACGAAAGATAAGTCCTGATTCTATTGCTAGAAACAACCAAAGCGAGATAAAATCATGTAACTAAATGAAAGAATAGAGGCAATCCACTTGGGATAGATGCATATATGTCCATAGAGACTTATCTATTCAAACAATATTCACAGAATTAACTGATTATACAAAAAACAGATAAATTGTTGAAATATCTAGATAGATGGAAGGAACGGGTTGTCTAGATATTCAAGTAGGCTGCCAAAAAAGGTGGTGATAACGTTTAATGTTGAATGTAATGGTCTAAATATATCGAGTTCTAGGTAGGAAATGAAAAACTGCTCCAAAAGATTCTAGAATTTCATCATATCTTCCAAGTATATTGTGTTATATACTTTATTAGACATTGGCTATGAGTTAGGTTTCTAACCGGTAGAAGAGTAAAGTCGGGAAAACAACCAAACGAAGAAAAACAAGCCTAGGAATAAGCAGGTTGAAATAGTATAAATCAATTGGTTAAAGGTTTAAGCTACATTAAATTGTGTAAACTATCTTATAGGAGTTTGTTAGATAATTATAATCCATACGATTAACAACAATTGGTAACAATTATCCAGTTGTATTCACCATTTTAATTTTATTTCATATATTTCTTATTCTCTAGTTTCATTCATTCCTTTGACAATCTATATTTGCTGTTGTTTTAAATATGATGTCAATTTTTCTACCTAAAGTTTGTGCTGACGACGTCGTTCAGAATAAAAATGAAAGCTCCACGACCAAACTATCCAGTATAAAGAACAAAACTCCACCAATATCTTTCATCTTTTTCGACGTTATTGAATTCTCTAATCTAGAGATGATTGATTGATTCATTGTTAATCTAAATAAGATCATTAACATTTACTTCATCTGAACATTATAGTACGCGTATTGATGAGGTTGTCTAGAATAACAATGAGAATTCCATAATTAAATCAATTTGAACGATGACAGAATTCAACACTTTCGTGAAAAACATTCAATTAAGTTGGAAATCAATATTGGATTATTTCAATATTTGACTGCTTATTTTAAAGATGGTTAACTAGTTCAAAAGATACACATTCATACTAAACTATTCATTATTAAAAATGAAAATGAATTGAGATATAACTTACTTCACGGACAAGTTGTTTACGTATACGCGTTTTTACTTCCATTACAAAATCTAACCACGTCCAAACACAATTATGATATTCCAGTGTTGGAATAAACAATTCAAAACGTGTTACATCAGTGATATTTTTTTGTTTTTCACCCTTAAAAAGATTTTTAGAAGAAAACACAAACAAAATGAAGATTTCCTAAAAAGAAAAGCTGTAACCAGTGAGGTCCGACTGTATCGGCTGCGAGAAAGGTACTGTAGAAAATGGAAGCTGGTCGGACAACATCGTATATTGACAAAAATTAGACTTATACACCACTAGATCCCAGCTCAGTGATCTAAAATTTAAAGGTTCAAGTGCGACATTGAAAGTCTTGTGTTAGGTTCCCTGTTTCAGGGTCGTGGATTTCTATCAATTAGTTGTACCATACTAGGACGGAATAGCCGTTCAGTGATTTCCTAACTTGTATAGGTTTACGATTTCAATATAAAACGTATACTTTGAAAGCACTTTTTATCCTATTTTTTAGACAGTATTAATCAGGAAGCTGATTTTACACCACATAGAGGTGAAGCATCAGTAGCGAAAATCCTTCAATAAAACTAAAACCTTATGAGCAATAACAACATACTACAAGATAGATCCTCAAAAAATTTATTGCACTGATGTGTGGCAATGAGAGTAAAATGTGAATGGTCACTGAATGTGAACGAACAGCCACATGGTTTACTAACCACCTCTTATTGATTTCTATGTCAAGCTAACTGAAAGTGACCGATGGATATAAGTAACCCGCATCACAGTAATTGTGTGGAATAAAATATTGTCACAATGGAATCGAGTACAATAACAGAAGATGGGGATAGGAAAAGACTTGGAGATAGGCGAACTAACAGGAGTGTAGCTCAAGTCAGCTCCAGTTCAACTAAGCAAGACAGAACATATAATTGATCAAGTCTAGAATGCTAGGCTATAGAAGCAACAGTAGATGAGGGATAGAAAAATTAGAATCGGGATTCTGATTGATGAATTCAACCCAGGATATCATTCGGGGACTTAAGTCCACCGAGTAAGCAATACCTATGTTAGGAACAGCATACTAAATAAAGATGGTAAAATGATTGAATAGGTTGTAAATATTCATCAACTGAGGTGGTTGGGACAGGTACTACGAATGCCAAACCACCGTCTACCTCGACAAGTGATGTTATCTGGTGTAAAAGAAGGCTATGGGTGATCAAACGAAAATGTGACACTAGTTCTTGACATCATTGACAAGCAGACTGAGCTATGAGGGTAGATGTAGAGTACCTATTCGGAGTTCGCGTGATTATTGTAACCAGGGGTTGGAATTTGAATGACATAGATCAAAATAGTTCGCAATGGCTCAGGTTCATCTATTCTTTATTTTCCCCTAACTCCTGAGCTCCTGAACTTCTCATAATTATTTTTATTTTTACTTCATTAATTTGTGTTTTCTTCTCGAGTCGCATTTTCGATGTTTAATCATTTCAATCACCAATCACACTGTTACTACTTCTACTACTGTGGGATTTGCCCCCATAATTCTCTCTGTGCTGATGAGGTGTGTCAATACGAATTAATATATGCACGTACCGGATTCTACTTTGTGACTGATTGCTCATTAAAAATTAGTTTTTTTTTCTAATTCCCCCCTCAGCTGAAAACTGGTTTATTCTCTGCTAGAGCACGTTGTTGATGGTTTGCCAAGTTTAAACTCTGTACGATAGGACTGTTTTGATGTTAGTGTTGAAAATTCTGACTTTGACGCTGGCTGTCAGTTGTTTGTTAGGTCCAGATATTCTTCAGTCGTAGGCATGCTACGTGCTTTCATATAGACACCAGATCCTCCTAACTTATCAATGATGCAGCCCATACAACGTAAAGGCTTTCATCTTTTTGAAACCTTCCTCATCAGTCATAATATGGTTATTTTTAAAGATGATAATTTGCATTTAGAACTATTGATGATTGAATGAATATAAGAGGATGCATTAAAGCGACTAAGTCAATGTCAAATAGTGCAATTTACTTTTCAACACATCAAACTATTAGTCAGAAACTGTATAGTTTTATTCTGTCTTCCAAAAACAGCTTCTACACTACGCTTTCTATATATATATATATATATATATATATATATATATATAATTGAATAACAACATGAAGGTATAATCAAACATAACTAACCTTATAACTTAATCGTATTGGAAAACCAGGAATTTTAATGTATAGAAATACTTTGTTCTGACGAGCTCTTTCCTATTATTAGTCAACATGTACACATACACAAAGAAAGACAACATGGAAAAGAAAGTTTTATTATTTTTTTTTATAAAAAAAGCAACAAACAAACGACATTATTTGTCGTAGTTGAAAGCGTGAGTCAATTGAAGCCACACGGCCGTTTCATCCTATTATGGGATTCTTCAGCAGTGCGCATCCACGATCCCCTTCTGATAATAATAATTATATGCTAACAAGTGACTGAATTCGAGAGGTAAATCCAATAGCTCTAATCAGAAGCAGTGACCAGTGGAGTTTAACCAGGTCTGTTGTGAGATATCAACTCGCTGAAGACAATCGATGAACGGTTCCTCAACTTCGTGGATCAGTTGAAGTTAGACATTGACACCGTTGGACAACGGCTCAGTGGTCTATCGGTTAAGTGCTCCGGCGCGAAGCTGGTAGGTCCTGGATTCGAACTTCGTAGGTGAGGAGTCCCATAACAGGACGAAAAGGGTGTCCAGTGCTTCCAAGTTTTCCATGGTAGTATAGCTTCAATTGACTCACGCTTTCAACTATGAAAATACAAAATGTCCGCAAAACCCCTTCTGATAACATTATTTGTGTTTCCAACTATCACAAACAATCTTGATCGAATAAACATGTCACCATTAATTTAGAACTATCAATCAATCTATTTACCATAAATTAATCTGATCGGTGCATTGAGAATTCGATAGATTAAGTAATTTCAGAATGATATTATCTAAAGATCATCTTCAAGATTATATTGTAGTGAGGAATGAAAATTTGAGAATAGGATACTATGAGTAATCAAATTATTCACGTAGTCAAGTAAAACTACCCATCTATCTTTAGTTAAATTATTCCGATATTATGTATATATAAAAGCATGGTTATTTAGTAATTTGCGTAAAATTATTAAGAAAAATGCATATAATGATTAATTATATTGAATTAGTAAATAATTACTATGTTCGAAAGATTAAAATATCACATAGGACTGGAAAACGGAACAAAAGTCAGCAACACAATAACAGGATAAGCTATTCCACTGAGCCCTAGACCTGCTATTTATTTATTTGAACACATAAATATTGGTACAAGGAAGCACCAGATATATATGCGCCGCACAAATCTCTTTTGATTTGTGTGAGGGTTGTGATACTGTCCAGGTGCCTAAACTGAAGCAGATGGTTTTCTTAGGGCGCCTTTGACCTATAGATCTGATCTACAAGGCAGTGGAGCATCGTGAGGAGATGCAGTCACATGGTAGCCGGTGACCAACAATTGATTCATACGCCATTTGTTCGCTCCGGATACTGGAGTTCATGTGCACCATTGGATTGGAATCAGGGTTTTCTAACTCCCCTAGGTGGACTTTCCGTGTCCACCAACCCGGTTAAAGCGCCAGACATTCGCTTTTCGTCCTCTCAATTTTGTAAACAACACCCTTGGTGTCAGAAGGCAGTGAGTAGGACTTCCCTAGCAGAGGCTATATATTCGCTGGCCATATGAGAGCATTTCAAGAGGGAGAGCGGACTCTCTCCAATCTCGGCCGTACCAGGGCATTTGGGGCCCTGACCTTCTAACTAGAAGAAGACCAAATTCAGAGGAGGGAAAGGTATATTCCATAAGTAGTCAGAAAGACAAACGGACAAACATACAACCCATGAGTATATAAACAATACAAAAATGTTACTGAATAAACGTTACAAAATAGCTTGCTAAAAGAGCAAAAGAACCAATGGTATTTAAGGTCTTTCCAGGTGGGAAAAATAAACTGAAGATAACCCTGCAAACTTTTGGCGCGAAAATGAGAAATTCAAATTTCCACAGTAAAATAACAAAACTAAAAAGTTAACCAAGTGATATCCGGGAATTTAGCATCCCCAACAATAATAAATACGAATGCAGTGAAAAATCACTAAAAACTTGAAGGGACTAGTTAGCCAGGTATAAAATCTTAGTTTGATGTTATTCTGTAGTATGCAACAATGTCAACAAAGACCTTAAGAACTGTGATTTTAATATATTTAAGGTTTTACAACAATCAACATACACCATACTGTGAAACATCAAGATGCATACAAACAATTCGAGTAGCAAAATATTTTTTTTATCTAATGTCATCAGTGAGTTACTATTTCACATCCGAATCATTTGTTGATAATTCTGGTTACCAATATGCCTAAAATGTTTTCCTAGACAGTTTCTATAACCCAAACTACTTATACACGTAAACTGGAACAAGAAAAAAAAGCGCAAATTACGAGTGAAAGCTTTACTCTAAGGTTAGTTTATGTACAGAAAAAAAGACGGTTTTTATGGAGTCGCACACGAAATTTCTGGTAATGTGCTAAATACAATAGCAGTATAGGTAAATATCTAATTGAAACCATGATACGTGATTCGCCATTGTCTGCGAAGCTTCTATTTAACGTTGCTTGGATAAAAGTTTCTCTGGCGTTTATGGGCCTCTAAAGATCTTAACGAAGGATGATTTGCGGACTCCTATAACACATTCATTACAGTTATTCATTATAAAATATTAAGGAAGCTCATCTTGAATCTGTTCTCACTTGTAATCTGTATGACTATGCTTTAAGTTGTCCTATACAAACCTATGTCGATGAGTGGATAGGCGAAGGGGGATCGTAATGATGGATTGTTGATGAAGAGTCCCAAATTAAAACTGGCTGATGAGCCTCATAATTTTTCCTGCCAATTCTTTAGCTGGAATTTCAGTTCATGATGAAAGTTGTCTTGAATGAATTGAAGGACACATCAATCTCAACAAACTATTTCAGGCTGTACTAAAGTCTGAACATTAAACCATCGACAAAATAAAAATTAATAGATTTTTCTAATAAACGAAGGAAAAAAAGGCTAACTTACTTGCATTACATCGACTGGATTCAATGGTATATTTGTATTGTTAATATTATGCTTTGAATGATGCATAGCGATTTGATTAATTGATGTTATTTGATCCATTGGTAGAGATCCATAACTGATTGGATTATACAATGACATATTCAAAGAATGAAGATGATGATTATTAGAGGTTGAATGAATAGATTCGCAATATGTGCATATATTGTTTACAGGTAATAATTGTTGTAAATATATCGATGTTGGTTGTTGCATTACCATGAAAAAATTATCAGTAGTAGTGTCGTTATAATTTGAATATGTCACTGGTATTGCAAAACATTCATTAGATTTATGATTAGGGGACAATGATGATGATGATGATTTAACGTCATATTCATTCGTGTGAAAAAGATTGGGAAATACCAACTCGCTAAAATTTGGAAACAAAATATGGGAAAAAAAGGAATGGGAGTTATGTGTGATACATGTAGACTAGTTGATACAATATGTCTATCTGTTATGTATGCATGTATGTAAGTAGTATGTTGGTATGCATGCTGTATGCATGTATTGATCAAGCTAATGGGAGCAATGATCTAGTTAGTAAGATCAATATTTTTTGAACAAGTAGGTCATCGCTTAAGACTTAGATAAATCTATTCAGATTTGAAGAACCAGGCAGCGAATTATTAGTTCTCATACAATTGTGGTGTGATCTACTTATATCTATATAAGTAGTATATGGTGTGGGTCAAAAATAGAATGTATTTTGGCAGAAGACCGATGAGAAAGGAACTGAAATGAAGCGCAATCGTCTGGAAAATGCATGAGCAATGGAATAAGAGAAGAAACAGTGTAGAATGAAACAATTGGTTTTTAATTTGCAAATTGATTGTTCATTGTTTGGTAATCAGAATTAACTGAGATAGTCTGTAATCTTTGCTTTAATACATACGATTGTCCCCAACCAGTGTTCTGTTCACTACACAATCACTATAGTTTAACGGATAAGTAAATTGATTTGTATTTATCAATATTGAGCTGTGAAAGTTGTTGGTTTTTTTAAATTAAAATCATGAACCAATGAATATTGAACCACCACTGAGAACCTGCAAGTATTGGATGTCGGTTCCGTCCTAATATGGGGCTCCTAAATGGTGTGCATCCATGATCACCCACGTAGGACCAGAGCCCAGGACCTTTTGTCTCATTTGAACACTTGACCTATAGACCACTGAGTCAAAATTCAACTAATCCATGACACATGAGACTAGCTCCAAGAGGTGATTCTCGAAGTTCTAGTGAGAAACTGTGATCACTGAAATTGAACCGTGCCGGGTGTGAAGCAGTTACTTACTGAAGAGAATGTAAGTTGGTCGTGCAATGTCCAGGGCTTCCAGGTTTTGTGGCCCTGGAATATCTGACTCCAATTCGATCATGTGATTATCATTATTGAATGGTTTCTGTCGAAATATACATCCTGGTTACCCTCGTATATAATTATCGACTGAATAACGGAATTAAAATAAGTCAAATACGAAAATGGAGTTTTGAATACGTATATTTCGCACAATCGCTGATCAGAACAGACAATCAGAAAGACAGAGAGAAAGAAACGAAGAGTATAGAGCGAAGCGAGACGGACTGGAGAAGACAGGTGAGCCAACTCCATTTAACCAAGAGTGAATCGATGTTTATAGTCTAACAAAAAAAGTTACAGGCATGTGAAGAGTAAGATAAGGTCTAAAACATTGGTCTGCATATGATTTCAACGAAGTTTCAACAAGCGACTAATATCGAGAGGTAATTCTCACAGTTAAACCATGTCGAATATAAGTCAGTTACTCACTCGCTAATAACATTAGGAAATGGTAGGGCGATATCACAAATCAAAGATCAACATGTGAATCAATGGATGGCAGTCCCATTGGTCTAAAAAATAAATGTTTACTGTGAGACCTGAAAAACCTAGAGCTCGATTCCTGACGATTTCGTTCACATGTCACGGTGAGAAGTCTCATACCAAGGCGGAACATCTGTCCGGCACTTACTGGTTTTTAATGGTAATCCACAAAGTACACTACAATATATATATTCACATGAAATCAGTAACCCGTTAAACCTACTTTTGACTCCGTAAATAGTCGGTTATGGGTAATTTTGTTCGCATATTCATCATTTGTAATAATTTGGACGTTGTAACAGAAGACGACGTAAGCGATGGTGACGATGCTACTGTTATTTCTGTCCCTGACCTTGTTGCATTATTATTCAATGCATTCCAATCATCATTGACGCTACAATAATTTCGTCCAGATATAGCAGCTTCGATTGTTAAATTATTTGATGGAATGCACACTGATGATGGTGATAATGATGAAGTAAATGTTACTGTTGTAGCCGGGGTTGAAACAACAATCGGCATGGATAAATCTGACGATATATTTTCTAAAATATCTGATTGACGAGAATTATGGATAAAATTTAATGGTTCAGGTAATAATGATGAAGTTGATGGTACTGATTCGCTCTGATTTTTGAAACGATGAGGTAATTTTCGGAGTACATAACGTCGTAGCCATGATTTACTTGGTAAAAGGATATTCTCTGATGAGTTTAAGTAACATGAAGTTAGAGATAAAAAAAGTGCATTATTTATCTAAACAATAGTGCATGATCGTTAATAGTATAAGAAGATCCATGAAGACTTTAAAATTTTATGTTTTAAACCAATGAACACCTGGAAGCACTAGACCGTTAGTTCGTCCTAGTATAGGACTTCTCAGGAAACTCCATTACAAGGGATTGGAACTGAGACTCTTCAATACCGCACACACATAACCTGTAGATCACTGACCCGATATCCTGTGCTGTATGTGTTTAACTTCAATTAATTCACAACAATGCACAACCACCTTCTATTGCCGTGGATAAGGACCACTGAGGAGTCTCATACTAGGAAGACAATTCAGTGCATCGAGGTTCTTTATGATAGCTTAGATAAGACCGGTTGGCGATTTCAACCATGGGTTGATAATAATTGTTTCAGACTTATCAAAAGGATGAATTTATCGCTGTACTCCAAACAGTATATTAGTATAACCCCTCGTAGGTTGTGAAACCACTGGTAATTGTCGCTCCATAAGATCTACATTCCTGTAAACTATTTTACAGGGCTCCTAGGTTATATCCGTCAACGAGTAGTTACACTTGGGACACTATTGAAAACTAGGAAACACTGACAACTATTTGTCCCAGTGTGGGACTCTAAAGTACTGTGAACCCATGAACCCATTAAAAATTAAAACATATACTTCGGGAGCAAAACCGTTGTCGTCAATGACAATGGATAATTGTCGTGTTATATCGTGAAATAATTGGTAAGGTTCTTTGTTAATACTATCATATTCCACACTGTTCAAATATTGAATTAGCAGAGAAATTCATTAAAGCTCTAAAATATCTATGCTAAAAACTGTTTCTTAGAAAATTGTTTTATTGCATAAAGAATAGAGGAAAATAACTGTGTAACCTACCTTTCGAGACATTGTTACTCATAATTTCCAACGGGTAATTACTAATAGTAAGGTTACCTGTTTCTCTTATTTCCCTGATCAAAAGCTTTTATTTGATGTACAAACTGTTGTCATATCTCCTCTTATGTCTATCTTATTGTAATTTAAGTAGGGATTATGTATTCCAATTGTTATTCTAAAGGCCTTATTTTGGCATACATTGTATTTTCTAAGTTACTGTGCTGTGGTCTAATTGTCTGTTCATTTAATCATATAGACTTTTTTGAGTAACTGTAATCTTCGGATAGAGATTTGCACTATTATCTTCTTTTTCTTTTCCTATTGGTTCTTGACCAAAGAAAGTGTCTGAGACAGCTAATCAGTGTCAGTAGAGCTGAATTATTCAGTTTAGTTATTATAATATAGTCTATCCAAAAGGTGCAGTGTATTAACGACATTAAAAATTTATGAATGAAATTCCTTGCATATCTGACACCAGAGCTAGTGGACATTTCAAAGTCATCAAAAATTATACCAACGAAACAAAATCTGACTTACGTGGATTATCTGCATTTGTAGATAGATTCGAATCCAGATAATGAAATGCATCAGTACTGGTACCACTAACAATCCCAACATGGTCTTTAGGAATAGAAAATGGATGATTAGTAAATGCAGATGAACTAATGCAATCTAAAAATAACAACGAATTCGGTTGATGGGCTACTGTAATAATGGTCAATTCATTACTGAAAATTATATTTTTGTGAGGAAAAAAATGTACATGTACAAACGCGTATCGATCAATAGATGATACACGGTCTACCCAGTAAATACGTAAACTGAGCTATTATATTCACTTAGTATTGTTTGTTTGGATCTTCCCATCGATGTGTTTAGGACTACAACTGGTCAGTCTCTAATTGGCATATGTGCATACTGTGCGTATTGCCTCGATATACCTTAATTCACAAGCATGGTAAGCAGAGATGGATAGTGGCTAGCAGTGGAATCCAGGACGCGCGTTTCGTCCTATTTGGGACTCGTCAGCTGGATGTACCTGCATCTCAGAGTTGATGTTCACTCTGGGACTCGAACCCAGTACCCTCGCTTCAAACGCCATCGCGTTATCCACTAGGTATAACGAGGCGTCCTGGATTCCACTGCTAGCCACTATCCATCTGACTGACCAGTTGCAGTCCTAAACACATCGATGGGAAGATCCAAACAAACAATACTAAGTGAATTCAAACTTCACCCCATCGCACAAGCAAGTGGCTATCAGGACTCAGTGGCCGAGTGGATAACGCGATGGCGTTTGAAGCGAGGGTACTGGGTTCGAGTCCCAGAGTGAACATCAACTCTGAGATGCAGGTACATCCAGCTGACGAGTCCCAAATAGGACGAAGCGCGCGTCCTGGATTCCACTGCTAGCCACTATCCATCTGAGCTATTATAGTTGTATGCTTTCAAATGCTCTGGTATGGTCAAGGGTGGAGTGAGTTCGCTTTCCTTCTCCAAAATGCTTTAATCTGACGACATATTTATAGCAAGGGAAGTCCGACTCAATGTATTATTGTGATGGGAGCGTTTTTATAGAAGTGTGAAGATGAAAGCCGGATGTCCAGTGTTTCAATCGAGTTCATGGATATGAAGGGAATAGAAGCCGCAACACTTTAATTAGAAACCTATCAAACACATGAGCTCTGTGATCTTGAAGTAACGAAAAGCAAATAAGTTGTTCGGGTCCATGTGTTAACACAGAACCACATAATTAATAAATCCTATATCATAGCGTCTTATGAATTTCATATTGACGGATTTCACATAATTTAGTTACAAAAGTCATTGACTGATATTACGTTAATGATCATTTAAAATTATTTTTCATTGAAACTAATTTGACGGATTACAACGCTATCCATTGATGTTGAATTTCAGCAAACACAAATTATTGTGAAAGATTACTCCATGTTGGTGGTATGTATCGTTTGAATTAAGTGGGCTAAAATGGAATTGTTAACAGTTTTAACTACATCTTTGCTTAACCACACTGGAAGGTGCTCACGAGCATGAATATACAAGTTCATAGAACACATGCCAATATAACTTGCTCCACAAGAGCAGTTGAATTGATAGATACAGAAAGAAGGGGCTAGTATAGGCAATTTATTTTTCAACCTCGGAGTGATCATCGAACATGTGGAAAACATTAATTGTAGTTTACCCGCATTGAAAGTTCTTTGGATTGACCTGCGTAACTTTAATTTGAGCCATTCATTAGGTGAATCGTTTATGAATTGTAAGCGTATATTAATGAGAATTTGGTCAACACGAAACCTGATACAGGAACAGGAACTGTCCTGCCTAACAAAAATGACTATATTGACAAAATGAATAACAACTTGAATGATCAACAAAAGTTTCAGAAACTGAACGACCAAAGAGATGTCAATAATAAGATAGAGAATGAACTGACCAGATATTCAAACAAACTCAGAGATCAACAGGTGATTCCACCAAACATGTACGAAACAATTAAGCCGATGGGTAACCATTTACCTAGGTTATACGGACAACCGAAGATACACAAACTGGATATCCTATTGAGACCAATTTTGGACATGCATGATTCCCCTTATCATACTGTAGCAAAGTGGTTAGTTACAATTTTAAAACTATAATTTTAAATATATATATATATATATATATATATATATATATATATAATCGCAGAACAGAAGCGTTTAAACTAACCTCCTGTTGGGTTCGCTATGGTTGCAGTATGAACAGGGGTAGCGGTGACAGTATTATTAGTAATAGTATCTTCAGATTTTTCAGGAAAAAAGAAAGGCATCATAATTCGATAAAATTGCTTACTCATCTAAAAACACAAAAAGAGATGTGTAGAAATAGGCGTAAAAGATAAGGGAAGGATTATAGTCAATGTGAACCTATATTGCAAAAATAAGTTTCGATAAACACGAAGCTCATCAATTGATAGCATCGATAATGTATTGATTATACTGTTAATGTTATCATCGTGAATCAATCCGATGAAAAAATTTTTTTGAATAAACCCTAATGTATTATTTAGTGAAATAAATTCACGCTAACACACCCGAAACTACTTAAAACATAAAAGTACGCAGAAGTTTGTTCTTTTTTCCGCTTACCTGTAATACAATTGGTGCAACACTAATTTCCATCGCTTCTTTCACCGATATTCCACCAACTGGAGCTAAATCAGAACAAGCGATGCGTAGAATCGGACCACCAGCATAACGACCTCCAGATACATCAGGAGCTAAAACTTCCTAGTAATAAATTAGGCGAAAAAATGAATAATGAAATATCAGTGTGCACATACAGTAAAGATAAGATCATTTTATTTAAAGTAAATAGATCGCAAGAAAAAAAAACCCAGATAGATAAAGGCGGTGAACAGTGGAGTTCGACCATATCGGTTGTGAGGCAACAGCCTACCAGTGGCATCAGAAGATGATCGTACAGTATCGATAATTTAAGTTAAATGAGCTAGCCATTGTGAAGCAAGAAACCCTTCCCTAAGCTAGAAGGGATAAAAAAATACGAGAATATATAAGAACGCCAGACAATTATTAAAGGAGGTTGTTGAATCCAAAGTTTTATATTACGCAGTAACTTTTGTTCGACAAATAGTGAGAGCTGTGAAACATAGTGTTGCATTCCTACTGATCAGTAAATAACATTAATATACAGTGAATGTAATATAGAGACACTTAGACTACGTTAACAACATCGTGAAGTAATTGAAAAGGTATTTAAAGTACCAGAAAAACATGATAACGATCAGTATAGGGTTGTGTGGAGATCGCAGATCTGCCATAGTTTAAATCACGAACTTATGTTAGCTAGACACCTAATCATAATCGGGAGGTATTGGATAGCTGTGACCAATGGAGTTAGACAATATGGGGAACGATACATTTATCTACCATAGATAATGGAATATGTTAGAGTAATATCGAACGTTGTTTAAAATGAGAAGTATACACCATTGGATGGCAGTTCAAGTGTTTGTCTGTGAGACCCAAAGCTTTGAGTATGATACCTTGTGGTGGAGTCCTAAATGCGCACTCCTAAGAAGCTCCATCCTGGGACGAAACATAAGTCCAGTACTCCCGGGTTATCATTTAAACCATGGAAACGTGACAGTTGCTACTAATCAGTAATAAATCAATAGTAGCTCTTATATACCACCTGTAAAACAATTGAAAAGTAAATTGCCAAAAATATATAAACACTTACTCGATAAAATGAATTCGGTGCTAAACTACAAACACGTATCCAACCTAATTCTAAACGATGTGAACCAGAATCATCTTGACGATGTGTTTTTGTATAAATAAAACCACGTAGTTCCACATCAGCTAAACCTATTTGTCCATCATTTTCAGTCATACGCCATCTTGCATGCTCAAAACACACCTAATGATTAAAAACAACATCATTGTATGTTTTTTCTTTAAGAAATAATATTATACTGGTAAACATAAAATCTTTATTGTATTGACTACAATGTTACATTGAGAATAAAACCAATATCGAAATGTTGTATTAGGAATAAAACTAATGTCATAAAATGATACATCAATTCAGAAAACACTTTAATTATAAAAAAATAGCGCCAAGTACTGTAGCGCTTTGATTTCTAGATTTCTAATATTTGACATAGTAATTATTTGTGGACAATTGATAGTAACGTACGAGTACATACAGTTTATCCAGAATTCACACAGTTCAAATAAACTTAAACACATATTGTTTATGTCTCCGGCTGTTCTTGATGGAAATGAGGCAACTATTCAATGATACTGAGATTGTTCAGCTATGCATTCCACTACATAGACTCGTGTTTTCGATATTACAAATGCACCCTCTTACCAGAGCATGATCAGAGTCAAGATACCTGCTCTTGAATGAAAAACAGTCTTCTGTCGAACCTCTTCAACGTTTATCAATAGCAATATGTTCTATTTGTGTCCGTCGTTCAGTCGATAGTACGAGTTGACATTTCAGACGATGATTCTCGTTATGCTTAACGTAGATATTCACTATGAATAAACAGTTGTCTAAGCATGATTCTAGTAGCTGATTATCCTTATCTGTTTGTTGAGCTGGGACACTGTAAGACCTATCCACTCAGGTATTTAAATCCCTTAGTGCGATTACTAAGTCCGAGTGTTTACCATTTTTAGGAGGGCTTGTCCTTAACTGGATTCGAACTGTAGTCATTGAGAGTATAGCTTTATTTGTTTTAATGAAAATAATTATGCTTTATCAACAACTTACAATCGCTCATCCGAAATCCGCCCTTTTGTTTTTTCAGTACTACGTTTGTAACATGCAAATATGGAGCCTTAACTTAGACTTGGACCATATATGAATCCACTATGGTCGTGATTTGTATCAAACACACAGTTTTGGATACTTTATAATAATTGTAAACTTATTGTATAGTTCTACTGAATAAACCCATTAAATACTTTATTGATATATACATCTGTGCTTACAAATGTTCTGCTATGAGACGCTACCTAATTAATTGTAATTTTTACACAGTTGGAAACGAAGAAGTGACTCAAAAGTTTCAAAGTACAAGTTTACATTACTTATAAGTAGTAATGAATAGTGAAATAAATTATAAACGATAGAACAGATTTACCTCACTTCGTCGAACAATTTCCGCTGGTTTACTATCACCACCATCCATAAATGACGATGATGACAATGACTTATTACTACTTTCTGATATGATATTTTCAGTAATTAAATGATTCTGACCAGTATTATTATTACTCATAGTTTTCGCAGTAGGATGAGTTAAATGGTCTGTAGAAGATGCATTATGTAAATTGATTCGATTTTGTATATAAGTTTCTGATTCATTATTGTTTGTTTGAATAATTCGGTTACAATCATCATTAGCTGAAAGAATATATGAACATCAAGTAGAAAATAGTAAAACAACACATTAATCAATGAATAAGCATTTACATTACATAGAGAAATTTTAATTTATAGACTACATGGATTATAACTAAGATCATGAATCAATGTTAGACCACCATTGAAAACCTGGAAGCATTGGAAGGCCGTCTCGTCCTAGTATGGGACTCTTCATCAGTGAGCATCCACGATCCAGCCGTCCAGTGCTTACAGGTTTTCAACGGCGGTCTGACATTGGTCGGTTCATGATCTCAATTCAAACTCAACAATCTCCTCAATTTTATACTGATAAATGGATCGTAGTTAGAACGTACTATTTAAGATTTGTCAGCTGGGTGTAGATACCTCATAGATGTTTATTTTCACGTTTGAACTCGAACCTAGTGTTTTTCGATTCAAATTACTTACAACTAAGATCAATGTGTGAAAAACTGATACAGATATGTATTGGTTCAAGTTATCAAATCATATAATCCAAGTCAGATAAATTATCAAGACAAATGCCAGAGTATTAAAAGTAATAACAATATTAATGGTAGTAGAAATACATTAGATCTAGATAAGATGATACGAAAAGGAATAAATCCATGGAATTAAGAGAGGTACAAGATAGTTTTGAAAATCATCATTCAAAGATTTAACGGACATGAAAGACATAACAATCCATACTATCATTCAACGTCTCTTACTCTAACCACAACAATGATTATGGTAAATTGTAACAAGTATAAGTACTCATTATTTATAACTGAATGACAGATTAATTATTAAAAACTATCACGTATTTTGTATTAGAACTTCTTATTCTCTCGAACAGCGTAGTATTGTACATATTGAGAGAAGTAGTGAATACACTTTGAGTATCTAATAATCGTAACCAATTACTGAAGGTATAGAATGAATCGATTGATAAAAAGATAGTAATAATATTGACATATTCGTGTATTATTCTTTGGAATACTTTAAGTTTGTAGCATTTAAGACTATTTCATGCCTCCTATGACACATATATTTGCTTTTGGTCACTTACTCTTGTGTGATTCATACATATATGTACCTGTATACTTACTTGTATAAAGTATGCTGGAGGTTACACGCGAGTAATTGTCAAAGGGCAAAAGTAATATGCGTGACAGAATAGGTAGATTAGAATAGTCCACAGAAACGTGAAATAGTACAAAATGTTACATGTTTTAAAAATTAATTTACACCGTTCTATTCATATTTATGGCATCATCATACTACTCAATGTTTCCTAATAAAGTTGATACTGTTAATACGTCTACTACTCTAACATTCATCCTGATAATTTCATCTCCATATGCTATATATGAGTGCATTCATTTAAACTTCTGTACATATGTGCAAAATTCTCTGATGTTTATGAGTGACCAACTGATTTGTTTTTATGGGCAACGTTGTGGGGGAACAGTTAGACTACAACATATTCAAATAACTAAAATAACTTACATGATTTTTGTATTAAACTAACATTATTAGAATTTGTAATTGATGATAAAATCTCATTATTAAATGATAATAATGATGAAGATGCTGATGATTTATTCATTGGATGATAACGTTTAAATGACATTGCTTTACGTATATGTCGACGTTGAATTTGTATTTGTAATTGTTGATAATGTCCTAAACGTTGTGATAATATACCATTTAAATCAATAATATGAGATTTTAATTGATTAATTTGAGTTTCCAATTTTCTGTTATAAATAATTTATTTTTTTTTAATAGCAAAATGAATAGATATTCATTCCATTGCCAAAAAGAAAGAGAGGGGAAAAATGAGTGTAATAACAAAACAACATATATGTGTATATATAATATTTATGATAAATAAAAATTCAGTAGTGTGAAGTATTAAGCACTCGCTGTAAAACTTAACGGAAGGGGGGCACTCTTCAACGAGATATATATAAGAAATCTTGAACCATTCATTTGGACCGCGATTGATCTTTCAGAAGTAGTGTTAGTATCCAATGTTGCATTTTCTTAATCCTTAAATCTATTTAAATTATATCGATCGAATAGTCATGAGATTTCCTAGGAACATTTAGTTGACATATGCCCAGTATCATGAAACAAAGGCATTGAAATTATCCTATCGATTATCTCTACCTTATTTAACAATCAAACACAGTGTACTCGATGTCAGAGTTATGTCGACTAGTAGACTAGATTACAACTTGATTGCTAAGATCCGACCACCATAAGGGATTAAACAAATACTTCATTTTCCCTAGGTCTATCAAAGTAGAACGTGAACAACAGAAACCAGTCACGTCCTTATAAGAAATAAGAATCATTCAAATAGGAAAGTTTTGCTTTTCTTTCCATGATATTACTCCAGTGTTAATTATAGCTATATATAGTGGTAGTCTAGAGTAAACAATGAGTTTTAAACAATCATTGAAATGGTCGAAAGATTTCAAGTGTCTAGATCAATTTTCATCCTAAAACTGGGAGAACAATGGTAAAATAACTGATTGAGGATTTTTCTCTCAGATTCTAGTGTTCGAAAAGGTTTTGTTAATGTTGTCCTGGCCGTAGATAAATACCGACGAATGACACCTACCCAGTTCTTCTTGGTTTTAAATGGTTATATAAAGTCAGTGAGGTCATTTCGTTCTGATATGGGACTCCTCAGTAGTGCGCATACATGACCTAACTTAGATTGGTTCACGATCTCAATGACATTCAACAATTTCCACAACATTATGCTGACAACTGTCATGTGCTCATTCGCTAGCGATTAGTTTCTAAAGGAAATGTCCAAAGTTCTAGTGAGAAGCCGCAACCACTGAAACTAAATCGTGTCGGTTGTAAGACAGTTAACCACTTGAAATTTAAATCAATCCTAATATTATTGGTACATGATAAAAATCTACATTTGAATGTTCACTAGGTTCTCATTAATTTACATTATCTGCATTTTAGATTAGACAGTATTTTGTCTATTAAATTTAGTACCCACTTTACACTAATTCACTGTAAAACAAAGAAGACAACGAACTTAAGTTTCAAGCAATCGACTATATTCTTTACACTTTAGAATTTGGGTATGTTAGAATTATTAAATGGAGTTATGTTGAAATTTGGGGTTAAGTACAAAGTAGGAAAGACAGTTTTATTGCACGAAGCTGAAACTCTGTGAACCACTACAATGATCATCAAAAAAGCACTGGTATTTATAAATGATTGTCCACACAATATATTCAATATCCGTTGATCGAACACGATCAACAACAACCCACTGTGGTAGAGAACAAACCAGCTTCCTAATGAAGAGCGAGTTAAGAAAAGACGCTGAAAGTGAATAGGACTTGAATTGCAGAAATTATCAAACTGCATCACGAGACAAACCCTTACTGGCAAACCTGAAGGCTAAAAAAAAGTCAATGAGTCCGAAATTGGAGTCAGACATCAAAAGAACGAATAGCCATTGGAAACAACTGAAAAAGAGATCTGAGGACACAGTTGATTGGAAAATCCTGACGGGTAGCTTACGCTCCACTACGGCTATAACAGGCGCAGGTAACTAATTAGCAATATATATATATATATATATATATATATATATATATATAATTTAAGTGATTAAGTCTATCAGTGCTTTATGTCTCATTCACAAGAAAGAGAAGAAATTATTTAGTCATTCACGTGTATTTATTATCTGATTTCTGATTGACCCACTGTATCAAACTCCTATAATAAAGAAAATGTATTTTTATGACATCGACAAAGTTGAAAGCGAATGATTGTCAATTTACAACATAATTATTTATGTGATTTACAACATTAAATCAAAATGTATACTATTTACTAACCCGTTCTTCAATGAAAGATATTAATACTTATTTACTCACTCACCGAGCACTTTGTATGCAATTGACTAATTTCAGAGTTAAATCTGATGTTCTCGATGTAACATTATTACTACTGTCAGTAGTAGGAGAGTGATAAAAAGCTGAAGGATAAGAATGATTAATTAATGTATTATTAGCATCTAAGCCTAATTCTTGCATAGTTTGTCTGACGTATGACCATAAATAACGTTCCAATTGCCGTTGTTCAAAGATCAAACGACGTAAAGTCTCTTGATCACGTGATATAGCTAAACGAACTTGTGATTCAGACATTAAACCAAATGTCAAACGATTACGTTCCAATTTAGCCTAAAAAAATAAGGTAATGGTAATAAAACGACAACTTTAAGTGAATTTATGACGAATAAAACAACCTTCATTGGTAAATTGGATTGTTATATTAAGATGAAACGGAAGTCCAGTAATTCCATGTTTTCGGTAATGGTCTAAGATCAATTCGCCATTGAAAACTATAGAAATTTTTACAATCTCAAAAAATTCTCCTACTTTAATAATAATCATGTGCTCACTGGTGATTAGCTTCTAGAAGCCATTCCTGGAGTTCTAGTAAGAAACTGTAACTATGTTAGATGTGAAACAGTTATCCACCACAGGTAATGGAAGTCGGTCGCTCAATATCGTGAACAAATTGAAGTCAAACATAAACATTATTGAATATCGGCTTAGTGGTATAAAGGTTACGGATTCACGAGAGATACCAAAGGCCCTGAGTTTGATTTTCAGATGCACTCTGCTAAGGAGCCATATACTAAGAAGAAACGAGAGCTCAGTGCTTCCAAGTTTAAAATTATGTTTTAGCTAAGATCAGATCTCAACAAATACCCATACACTGATAATAAAATAAATTATTTAGTAGGATTAATCAGACTAAGTAAAAAAATGAATTGAGAAACCTGGACGTGGTGTAACCTGCAATTCATCGATTAACAAAGATTAATATATTGATATATCAAGCGAAATTGACAGATGGAATTAAGGTATAGTGAAAAAAGGAATGGTTTATGCCAATCTCGGTCATTTTAGCGCCGTCGTGATGTTAATCTGACTGTGAAAGTTAGGATCTAGAACGAGTTAGTGAGGTGCTCCGTTTGAGAATAATGAACTCCGAAACTCAGGTAAAGATGTTCAGCAACTCTCTCTGTTTGATCATTGTGGTTTTCAAAGGATCGCTCGCATTCAGTGACAGCATAATGTTAGTAATGTTAGCAATGTGTGTTTGAGTGACTCAATTAGCACTGTTATTCTTGAAACACTGGTTTTTATAGCTTGAAAATGTGTTATGAATATCGTGCCAAAGGATTCAACATCGTGTATTCTTAGATGATGCTGAAATTAGGTGAGAAAAAGATTTGGTAAGTTTATGACATGGTGACATCTCATAGAAGGTAACCGGTATCTGTCAGTCTATCAAGACAGAACAGTTATAATTTATATTATGAACTGATTTTAGTCAGACAATATATTTTGAAAAGCAGGTGGTAGCCCACTAAGTGATTTGAAAACGTAAGCGCTCATTATTAACCCTGAAGATCACAGGCTTTTTCTTTGAAGGGGATTAATGAATGTGAGCTGTGTTGAGGAGCTTCATATTCAGACAAGAAGCTAATCCAACGCATTCTGGTTCTCAAATGTTGTTTCGTTAAAGTCAGTTCACGATGTGAGTAATGCACTAAACAACCTCAAAAAAACTCCCATATCAATATATTTTTTGAAATAATTAAAATACCTTTCTTTGTGGTTCAACATACAACAAAAGGTCGTTCACAATCTCTACAATCATATGATATTGGAGCTAAAAATATATGTAGAAAAGGAAAAGCATAAATGGATAAAACAATTGTTTGCATGAAATATACAATCTATGTTTAACATTTAGAAAGACAAATGTTCTAGCATGGCCGTAAAATAGAGGCATTCACTAGTAATCTTGAGATACGTTTGCAGGTCTGTGTGTCCATGGTCTCTATAAAGGTGCCCTTAACTACCTACTCATTGTCTTCATGTTTTGATGATGTTTATACAAAAGTAAAAGGATAAAAACGACTAAATCGGGTAAGTGGACACGAAGAATGCAAAACAGTTACCTACCTATGGAATTTTAGAAGATGGTTGACCAATATCGAGAATGGATTGAAATTAGATGTGTAAACCATTTATTGCTAGCCCAATAATGGTCTAAAGGTTACACTCTTGAAGTAAGAGATATGGAAGTCCAGGGGCTCAATACCCTGGCGAGGTATTTAATAATCACTACTGTGCGATCCTTTACTAGGACGAAACGACTGCCCAATATCTTCTGGTTCTCAAAGATTGTCTAAATAACACTGCTATATGCTAGCGAAGACATAAGTACGGGTAACTCACAGGACCTATTAATGGACGATTATCCTATGTAGATTCTTATTGTATAACTATTCAGTAACTAGATTATGTATATCTATATTCCCCTTATTATAAGCTTCATTTGACCTATTGATTATCGTTATACGATTTACTGTTCCGAAATTATACTCAGTTTATTCGATTACTGTCTCCCACGCTCAAAGCCACATTTGGCTTGATTTTGAAGCTGAGTGACGCGGGATCGAATCCGCCAGGGAGCATCAGTTCATTCAGGATTACAGGTACAGTGTCGAGCCACCTAGACTGGTGGCCACACTGCAACTCGATCGATAGCATTCGATCAGCACTAAGAAGGACCTGACATGCATGAGATTGATCACCACCCAGTGATCAATCAATTGTGATTATTTTCTATTTTATGGTGTGATTTGGTCTGTCTGTTTGGTATATAAACCGAGTATGCTTGAAATAAACGATTCGCATAGCAGAAGCTGCTATTGGTGTTCTGGACTCAAGTGGAAGGGCTAGGCGGATAAAGGACCGATAAGGACGCTAGATTACTCGTACTAAATGAACGTCATATATTGTCACAGTGTTAAGGTCGTAGAAGTCGTATTTCCATTGGTGGATAATTCACGTAACAAAAGCCGGACATACAACTCAATAACGAATTAGGATACGTCCTTGATTCATCTTGTAAAGTCATAACAAATTAGTGACGACCTTGACCAAGTCATAACAAACATCACTCCGTGATGCAAAATATAAAACTCGAAAACTTCCACTAAACATACCGAACCGTATTTTAAAAAATGGTATCAACTATACATAAACATATACACATCAACATAAAACTTACAGAATTTGTGGAAACATTTAGCGTATGATGCAATAGAGTGACTGTGTCAGCTCCTTCTGGATTACGAACCACTTCTGTTTCATCTAGTGACTGTGAAGAAGAATCAAAACAAAAAGAAACAGACAAATTTAATGCAGCACCAACAAAACATATCAGGTTGTTAAATAAGTATTTACAGATTATAGGATAAGGAATAATATTTGCAAGTTGTATACATTTATTATTCTTGGAATAAATTATAAATTGGAAGTATTTCATTGATAAATACTTAACAAGAAGGACTTTATTACAGACTCTGTAATTTATGAAGACATATCTAAACAGTTTAATGTTACAATGAAATGTGTGTCAAATAAGATACGATATAAATGTGAACATCAATAACATCATAGTAAAGGGTAAATATAAGAAGACAAAAATAGAAGGAAGTTGAAAAAAATCAATCAAAGTTATTTGATAAATGCGTAATCATCACGGCCGAGATAGGCTAATTACACATTCCTCTTATATACATGGGTCGGATAGGAGAGATTCGATAGTGAATGTATCTCTTACAAACAGTTTAGTTTCAAGATCTAATCCCTGGAGTTCTAGTGCGAAAAAATCTTGACTAGTGGAGGTCAACCATGTCGGGTGTAAAATCAGTTGTCCACCGTAAGTAATGGGAAATGGTTCCACACTATCTTAAACTGATTTCATTTATACAGTGGTTGGTTTAGTGATCAGGAGGTTTGGAGACCATGAGCAAGACCAAAGGGTCCACGATTACGGGCGCGCAATGCTGAAGAGTCCCGTATTAGAACGAAACAGCAGTCTATTGCCTTCTGGTCTTTAGTAGTGATCTAGCTAAGATTATTTTGCCACGTAAACTAAAACAATCCGTCTTATCAAAAAATTTGGAAAAAACGTTGAAATTAAAACTTACTAGCGGTGGGATTAGATGTGGAAGTGGTAAATTTGCTGGATCAGCAGGTTCATAATGTATATAAAATACTTCACATGAACAACGAGATATCATACGTTGTAGTTGGATAGGACGAATATAATTCGAATGGAGTTCAGAAGTAGAACTAGTGACTGTAGTAGTGGTTGGTGTGGTTGTAACCATCGTAGAAGTTAAAGTAACATTATTTCTGAGTGTCATATCGTTACTCATTAGTTTTGTACCAAAGGTCAATGTACTTGTTCGAGTTAACGGATTCTTAATATTACTAATATTATTATTGTTTGAAGGGGTTTTAGGAAAACCAACACATGCTGTAACTACACCACCGACGGATCTACCACAACCTACTACTTCAGGTCGTCCACTTAATGCATCTTCATCAGCATTCAAATTATGATGTGTCCAATCACTAACATCAGCTGTAGATAACCATTGATCAGGTGTTTCTGGAAGAACCTAGGACAAGAAAATAAACAAGGACATCAGTAACTATATTATTACTTGAAGAAAAAATACATTTTCATAGTTTATAACACGAACTGACCTTAACTAGATCACCATTGAAAACTTGGGAACAGTGGACGGCCGCTTCGTCCTAGTACAAAAATCCTCAGCAGAGCGCATCCACGAGCCCCTATCCAGGAATCGAAATTGTACTAGAACGAAGCGGCCACCCGGTGCTTTCAGATTTCTAACGAATACCGAGATAAGATCAATTCGTGATTTAAACTATTAAAATTAGACGATTCCCACAAATCCTCTTATACTAATCATAAACATATTTCTTAATTTAAAGATTTGAATAAATAACACCTGTTAGCAGTGTACTCTGACCAGGTTTATATAAGGAACCACTGCCTGGTCCATTTTTAACCGATCAGCACTAGTGGATGAATGAGATGCTAGTTTTTAAAAAATGTAAATTATATATAAACTGTAATGTTTTTACCACTCTATCTTTGTTGATCGGGGTTTCTGGCTATTCGCTCTGAATTCTGGTTCTGAATTTTCGAAAATTCAGGCGGATTATCGTGTACAAAGAATAAATAAGCCAGTAGAAAAGCGAAACAACATAACTGATAGTATTCTACCAATAATATGAAGTAACGTTTCATCTATTGTGATCATCAAAGTTCATCAACTATGATTTTAATTAGCTAAGAAGAACCGGACTATTACATATTCTATCTTAATGTCGAGCAATGGAACAAGAGATGATAAGCAAGATAGGCTATCAGACGTCAATAATGAACTTTATCAAGTTTTTAACTGACGGACATTTTGATTTGATCTTAGCAATGATATTGATGATATCACTGAGTGGTAGGGTTTGATATATCAATGTATAACGTGATTTAATTGGACGGTTAATTTAATGTGAACACCTCCAACTAGGCTATTACACGGAGTTTAGTTGAACTAACTACAATAAGCAACAAGAAAAGCTCATAACCACATCCCACCCCAGCTCAAATGGCGTTGGTAATATATGTTAGCCTAAGGAGTCAATATTTGTCAAGAAACATAAAACATACCTCATTCACATACATCTATAATTGTACATTGATCAGCTAGAAAATCTTAAAGTGTAACATAAGATGAAGCCAACTACATCAATTCTTATGGTACGAATAAACGCTTTTCTCTGAAATAGTGAGCCGCTGTTCAAAAGTCATATAACTAGTAATTACGAAGATTATACATACATTTACTTAACTAACTGTATCACTTTAAACGCTAACAAGATATCTACTTTGCTACTGAGTTCAGGTAGCCAAACCACTTGTAAAACAAGTATGATTTTTAATTCAATTTTAACTGAATCGAATTATTCCGTGGTCGATAATTTGACGGCATTTTGATTATTCTTGATACTGGTTTCTAGTTCAAGAATAAACGTTAACACTGAGATGCATGTACATTCATTTGACAATTCTAAACTTCGATGAAACGCTCATCCTACAATCCACTGCTAGTCATATTTCATTTATTCTATACAAAAATACATTATATTACGTTAAATAAATAAATAAACAAATACACTTCCACTTTCACTATCACAATCAAGATTACTAACTTGTCCAACAGTAGCATAATATTGCATACATTCCAAATGTCCAACCAAGCTAGATTTATTCAACAATTGTGAATCCTTCCATATCGGTGGATGAGTTAACGCATCCAACTTGGCTCTGGCTGCGGACACTAAGACATAACCGGCTAAATGATTTGTTTTTAACATTAACTATAAATATAAGAAAACAGTAATGATATATATATATATATATATATATATATATATATATATAAAATTCAACAATCATTTGTGTACTATTTAGTCCAGACTCCCCCCCCCAAATGCTCTGGTACGGCTGAGAGTGGGGAGAGTCCACCCTCCCTCTCGAAATGCTCTCACATGGCCACGCGTTTATAGCCTCTACTAGGGAAATCCTCCTCATCGCCTTCTCATGGCATTACTGTTGTTTACGAAATTGAGAGGACGAAAAGCGAATGTCCGGCACATGAGCTGACTCCAGTATCCTGAGGGAACAAATGGTGTATGAATCAATCATTGGTCACCGGCTGACATGGGACTGAATCGCCACACGATGCTTCACTGACTGGTGGACTAGACCTTCAGGTAAAAAGATCGAAGTGTGGCCCCTAGGAAAACCACCCGCTTCAGTTTGGGCACCTGGGCAGTATCACAACCCTCGAACAAATCAAATGAGATTTGCGCGGTGCATATGTGTTTGGTGCTTCCTTGTACCAATATTTAAGTGAAAAATTAATAAGTCCAGTGTTCATTAATGTTTCTGATTACCAGGATGAATCGCAAAAAACGTAAATTAAAACCGGTAGATTTCTTAATAAGTATAATTCTTAGCACCCAAAACCTAAAAGTTATTTACTGATGTATCCGCCACTAACAAAGGAAGATAGTATATATTGATATATTTTCAATTTTTGTGTTATTAATGCAGATTGTGTTGAATACTATATCGTAACCGTCTATTGTATTACATTATATTGTATCGCACCATATCGCATCTTCAGATAACTAAAATGACTCATAATGTCATAGAATAAGAAACAGAGAATTCAGCGAAGAAAATTTTCTTTTCGACGAAATCATTTACTTAAGCTGAACATTCGTATATACAGTAATATGGAAAATATACATCTACAGGAGACTAGGAAAGATTGCATTATAAAGTGATTCGACAATAAACAACAAATGAGGTTACGTGCTAATCAAGGGGTAAGGAAGAAAATAATTTATGGGTCAGATAATAGTCCAATTAACAGATATGAAGAAAAGCGACAAACACAAAGGTCATAATAATAATAACAACTGATTAGAGTTTAAAATGTAAAACAGTAATTTAGAAACCAAAAAACCGATAATAATCAAACAAAAGTGTAGAAAAGAGGAAAAAACGACAACCAGAAACATACCCATTAAGGGAATGAGGGCCAAGGAAGGGTGAGAGGTTGGACAAATCGTTTCTGCATGCAAAGTTCAGGCTTCAGTTCATGGATTGTCAATGCCTCAGCAGTGCATAAAATATTGATTCGACCTCCCTTTGATCCGGTTCCTTTGACTCTACAGATTACTTTAAAAGAGTCTTTTGGAGCAATGTGTCCACAGTTGATCAAATGCTCTTGTATCGAACTAGTTATCTTTTTACATTCTCCTTTTAGGAGCCAAGCCGGATAGTGTTCCGATATGCGTTTGGAAAGCGATCGCTTTGTGCGGCCTATGTAACGTGCCCCACATGAGCAAGTAAATTTATAGATACACATCGATGTGGCTCAAAGCGAAAGTTTATCCTTAACACCCCCTCCCGAAAGGTAGACCGGCTAGAGAAAACGATTCGAAGCTTGGCTGTGTAGAAAGTTTTATTCAACGATTTTGAAATCCGTTTATTCAGGATTCCAGCAGCCGTGTCTTCTTTGAATTCCATATTCATAAACAAAGTTTTCTTCTGCACTATCAAAGATTTTTCTTGATGAAGTCTAGGTGTTAAGTTACTATCGACGAACCTAGGTGGATAACCATTTTTGATGAGGGTCTGTCGAAGATGAAGTAGTTCTTCATTTATTGTGTCATTGGAACAGATTCGCTTGATCCTAGAGGATAAAAAGTGAATTAAGTTCCTCTTTCGACTCAGTGGAACCCAACTATGGAAATTTGTGTATTGTCCATTCCAAGTAGGTTTTCTATATATAGATCTTTGTAAATAACCATCAGGCATTCTTTTCAAACAGGTATCAAAGTTGTTTTGAAATGCTCAAAATCTTTATAAGATACTGGAATAAGGTCATTTGTTTGACGAATAAGGCTATCAAACTTGATTTTAGCGTTCAATTCTTGTAGATTGTTGTAATCAATATGTAAATAAAATCCTTACAGTTAGTCGAATAATCACAAAAAAAACATAAATCTCAATTATCTGATCTTCGGAAAAATCAGGTCTTAGTGTTACGTCGCCCAGACAAGTGTGCAGGAATTGTATTTACGGATCGCCTTGACTGTATTTCCAAAATATCTTCGATATTATCTGATACGGTCAAATTCTCTAAAGAAACCGTTCAAAATGATACAACTGAAGAAGCGGAATAGATGCTAATTAAAATCCTAAGGAAGATGAAAGATGAGTTTATTATCAATTGTGACCTCTTTGAACATCTCAAACCATCGGGCTCCGTTATACCTAGACTATATGGACTCCCAAAAGTTCATAAGAATAATGTTCCTTTACGTCCTATACTTGATATGAACAACTCACCATATCACTCTATTGCTAAATGGTTAGTTGACATTTTACAACCTGTTAAAAATCATATCAACAAATACAATGCTCTTGATTCCTTTGAATTTGTCGACTCAATCAGAAATATCAACGTAATTGGTAAGAAAATGTTCTCATTAGATGTCACTTCGCTGTTTACAAATGTTCCTGTCACAGAAACTATTTGTTTTTTATGTGACTATATTGAAAACAATAATCTTGATATGTGTATCTCAAAACATTGTCTTAAAGAACTACTTCTACGATGTACGCTCAACGTGCAATTTAAATTTAATGATGTTTTCTATAGACAAACAGATGCAGTTGCAATGGGCTCTCCACTGGGTCCTCTTCTGGCTGATTGTTTCATGGCCAATCTAGAAAGTTCTGTACTTCGACCAATAATTGAGAAATTTCATTTATATAAGAGATATATGGATGATACTTTCATTATTTGTCAACATAACATGGACCACAATGAAATCTTAAATATTTTCAATAATTGTCACCCGTCAATTTAATTTACCTTATAGGCAGAAGCGAACCATGAATTCCATTTTCTTGATACCTGTTTGAAAAGAATGCCTGATGGTTATTTACAAAGATCTATATATAGAAAACCTACTTGGAATGGACAATACACAAATTTCCATAGTTGGGTTCCACTGAGTCGAAAGAGGAACTTAATTCACTTTTTATCCTCTAGGATCAAGCGAATCTGTTCCAATGACACAATAAATGAAGAACTACTTCATCTTCGACAGACCCTCATCAAAAATGGTTATCCACCTAGGTTCGTCGATAGTAACTTAACACCTAGACTTCATCAAGAAAAATCTTTGATAGTGCAGAAGAAAACTTTGTTTATGAATATGGAATTCAAAGAAGACACGGCTGCTGGAATCCTGAATAAACGGATTTCAAAATCGTTGAATAAAACTTTCTACACAGCCAAGCTTCGAATCGTTTTCTCTAGCCGGTCTACCTTTCGGGAGGGGGTGTTAAGGATAAACTTTCGCTTTGAGCCACATCGATGTGTATCTATAAATTTACTTGCTCATGTGGGGCACGTTACATAGGCCGCACAAAGCGATCGCTTTCCAAACGCATATCGGAACACTATCCGGCTTGGCTCCTAAAAGGAGAATGTAAAAAGATAACTAGTTCGATACAAGAGCATTTGATCAACTGTGGACACATTGCTCCAAAAGACTCTTTTAAAGTAATCTGTAGAGTCAAAGGAACCGGATCAAAGGGAGGTCGAATCAATATTTTATGCACTGCTGAGGCATTGACAATCCATGAACTGAAGCCTGAACTTTGCATGCAGAAACGATTTGTCCAACCTCTCACCCTTCCTTGGCCCTCATTCCCTTAATGGGTATGTTTCTGGTTGTCGTTTTTTCCTCTTTTCTACACTTTTGTTTGATTATTATCGGTTTTTTGGTTTCTAAATTACTGTTTTACATTTTAAACTCTAATCAGTTGTTATTATTATTATGACCTTTGTGTTTGTCGCTTTTCTTCATATCTGTTAATTGGACTATTATCTGACCCATAAATTATTTTCTTCCTTACCCCTTGATTAGCACGTAACCTCATTTGTTGTTTATTGTCGAATCACTTTATAATGCAATCTTTCCTAGTCTCCTGTAGATGTATATTTTCCATATTACTGTATATACGAATGTACAGTGAGGATACAACGGATATTCTAGTTTTACAACTAGCAACTATTAGTATCTTCCGTAATCGTTTTTTCCCAGTCGAATAGAAACCAGAAGTCAGACGAGGAGAGGTAGGAATGATATATTTGATACGTTACCAATATATCGAGGAATCTTTACTATAAGCTGGCTAATGAACGTAGGAGCTGTGTTCCACGCCGTGTTGCAACGTGATCTGGTACGGATGCATGACCGAAAGCCTTCAGTTAAACAAGTCCACTTAAACAACGTGGTCAGCATCCAATGTCGAACACTTAATGCGCTATTGATTTTGGGGAGTTATTTACAGCTACAATAGCTTAAGTAAATGATTTCGTCGAAAAGAAAATTTTTCTTCGCTGAATTCTCTTTTTTCTTATATCGTACCTATTTTCAACTAAGTCGTATCAGTAATAAACAATAAACTATTCACAGAGATCAACTCCTTATTGTTCATCTGCAGTAATACAAACCATATATACGTGGTTTTTAAGGTAATGACTGAGAGAAAAAGACAGTATCATTTAAAGCATTTTTGCTGTCCACTATTCACAGAGAATATAATCTTTAATATTTTTTAAATAAAGGGTTTGAAAGGTTTGTGAATAGTTTGTGATAGATAGTGAATTGTCTGATGTTAGTTATATGGAATGCATAAGACAGCGTAAATATGCAATAATTTCAATTATTAATTAATAATAACATAATGAGATGCAACAATCAAGACAAATGTCAGAGTTGTACAAGTAGAAATATTATCAGCAAAAGCAGTACAACATTAATCATAGAAACAACAATAAATAATTTGAGAAATAAAAAACATCTTAATTTTGCAAGCTCACTGATCAAGGAAAGCAAAGGCTGAAAGCATCTGTGCTAAGTTATCTAACGTCACAATAATCCTGTAAACCCTAATCTGGTAAATAGAAAATTATGAGAAAACCTATAAAAGTATCTAATTATCTTGTTATCCTGATATTAATTCAACGCCAAAAGTGACTTACCAACTTCAGTATATAAAGGAACTGGTTATTCAGTTTAATGCTAATTCAAACGCCCCCCCCCCAAAAAAAAACACCACGAAACTTACCTGAGGATTGATTAATTCCAAATGCCAATTACGTTCAGCAACTAAACTAGACGCACAGATATGTAAACCTTGTAGTTGTGATACTACGTCAGTTTGTTTGGGTTCCTATTCGGAAAAGATCAAAACACAGCGACAACGTTTACATAGACAACTTCATTAGTTAAATAATAACAAAAGATGTAAATAATATGATAATACTGAGAAAAGAATTGGAAATCTTCGATCATGATGTCAAAAGACAGAGATGTGAGTGATTGGTTAGCAGACCTGGATTTGCATTTCATGTTGTTGAATACCCATTAGAAAGTTATGTCATGAAAGAAATCCATAGTTCTTTCAAAGGGATTTCAATCCCGATTGTCTATAGTATGTCACAGTTTGATGCGTCACACTGTCATATGTAATACAAATAGACATGTGGTCCTTTTGATTGTAGGACCCAACACTATACACTAAAACAATGTTACATAGTACTCTAATTTTAAATCAATACACCTAACCACACATCAACATATTTAAGAGATCACAGCAAAAAGAACAACTACGCCACAAGTAAAACAGGATTAGTAATAGCTCCATTATTAATTAACAGTAACCTATGAATTCATGTCCCTATCTTTTTTCTCTTTCCAAATTTATTTCACTGGATAACATTTTCAAACCCAAATCTTTCCGACTACTGCTTATACTCTTACTACTTCTGCCACTATGGCATTTGAATCGACAACTGCATCTCTGTGCTAATATGGTATGACAACTCAAACTGATGTACTGACCGACTGACTGAACTTATGAAAGACAGAACACACAACAACAACAGTTTATGAATGACGAAAAATTTCACAATTATAAGAATACAAAAACATAATAGTTTAAGCGGATAATAACTATGCAACAAACATGTAAACATAAACTTCACGTAAGGTAGCTTGAAAAATTCAACTCTGTTTAGTCTTCATCCCGTTAGAGTATTATATAAATTTGGAAATATTTTAAATATTTCCACCAGACAGAATATCAATACAAAGTGTTTCTACGTCACTGACTTATGCTCACTTTCTCTCATTATTATTAACATCGAAACTATACACACACTATCTCTAAATAATATATAGATTAACTTACTTCTTCACAATAAGCATAAAAACGTGCTGTATCTACTTCCTCTAATAACTGTGCCAACATTGGTATCTGTTTAGAAAACGTTAACTTCGACTTATTCGACTCAGATGATGGTGATAAGTTTGTTGACAAATATACATCATCATAATTATCTTCCTTCATTTCTGAGTTGTTATTATTATTAGTTGTTGTTGTTGTCGCCGTCACCATAGTCACAGCATTTGATGGCATGTTGATATTATCTGGTAACATTTCATCAGTTGTAGGCATTTTCATCAGTAAGCAATTATCATTATAATTTGATTTAGTCAATTTTGACAAATTACATGAATCAGATGGTTGAATAACAGTAGATAATGGACGTTTATCCGTAGAATTTAATAATATACAACCATTATTATTAACATTGTTTGTTAATTGAATTGCACTACGAGCACTATTCATCAAAACAGAAGAAAGTAGATGTAAGTGGATAAGAAATGTGAGGGGAGGGGGAGAAAAGTACATATACACTATGATAATAAGAAAATTAAATTATCAGTATGGAAACTTGAAGAGACTTCAGTATTTACGTAGTTGAAATCGCAAGTTGATCTAAGCTAAACCACAATTCAAAAGATGGAAGCATTGAGCGACCGTTTTTTCGTTCTATGGAACAGTGAAAATATTACAATCTCCACAGTGATAGTAATCATGTGTTCAATAGTGACTAGCTTCAACATATAACTCCTGAAGTTCTAGTGAGATGCCGTGACCAGTGAAGTTCAATTCCCGTCCGGTGTGAGATAGTAATCTACCTCAAGCAATGAATGAAGGGTTGTGTAAGATCATGGATCAACTGAAGTAGAATATTAGCACTGTTGGATGTCAGCTCAGTGGTTTGGAGGTTGCGCGTGAGACTGAAGGTTTTGGGTTCGATCCTCGCGTGGGGATCGTGTATGCGCACTCCTGAAAAACGGCCGTTCAGTGTATCTAGGTTTTCAATGGTGATCTAGCTTACATAAACTCGTGATTTAAACTGTGAAACTCCAAATTAATCCTTTTAGGGAGATTTCATATTATCTGAGGATTTTTTTTATTAAAAAAATTAATATATGGTAAATTGTGACGTGTAAGACAAGTCATCGTAACATTTTTATCAACTTATATATCCGTAATGATCTTTGTAGTTACGGGATCATCTTATAATGTTTATTATTATTAATGATCATAAACTGTTTTCAAACGAAAGGAGCGCTGTCTTAGTGACAATGACATTCGTCTTTTAACCATTAAGTTCTATATTTGAGTCCCCACTTCAACTATAACAGTTAAGGTAGTGGTGTGGCATTATTATCCTGCACATTCAGAGTGCTAGTTAGTAATTCGCAACGTAGAACATGGTATGCATGTACATCGCAATTTCAAGTATGGCGCATAGCCAAGTACCTAGTGAATGTCATATGTACTTTCGTTAAAAAATCTCTAAGCAGTACAAACTCATTGATCATTTTTTTTATTAAGCTTGAATCTCTGAGTCATAAACTAGATTTACCTGCAAGCAAATAGACGGACCTGAGTTGAAACACATTAAGACTTAATGACTGAAATAGATAAATGCTTCTATCACTAAACCAACAAACTTGGTAACCCATGAAACTAACTTCTAACTGTAACGTTACTTCTTGTCAAATGTATTTTTCAGAATTTCATGACCATAATAATGATGTTTCATTTTTCTAAATTACTTGAAATAACAATGGATACACAAAAAACGATTGAAAAAATTCTCAAGAGACAAGATATTGTTTCAGTGGAATGATGAAATGGAGTAAGTGATTCTAATAATTTTAAACAGAATTTTACTACTACTAATACTTCTTACTTTCGACTAAGAGCTGTGTCACCGCCACCACTACTACTGCTACTACAGACACCCAGTTTTCCAATACCGGAACTTCCAACAGCACCCGAGACACCGCCACCACTTGTCATTGTTGTTGTATGACCACTACCATTACCGCCAGGATGTAATCGGAATCCATGTAGTGCACGAGCTGATAAATTCTTTTTCAGCGATTGAGCATGTCGATAACTATCCATTAGAATATAGACAAGATTTCTATGTTGTTCTGTCCATCGCATTTTAAATTCATGTATTTCAAGATGATGAACAGGAGTGAGCTAAGACAGAAACAGAGGAATATCAGGAGAAAAAATTAGGGTAATTCGATTTATGAGTCAGGGAAATCCAAGTGTATTTTTGTGATGTTCACTAAGTCTAGGTAGACAGGCGGACAGGAATTAATTCTATTGCATTACACGTATCTTATTCAATTAGTACCAATAAAACCAATCACGTAACAAGTTTCTACACTTCCACCGAACACAGAGTAGGTTTGAGCAAAATGTAAATTATGACAAAAAAAGGGGATAGGAAAAGTACAGGTTACAAGCCACATATCCCTAACTCACTATTCATTTGTCTGAAAAATCAAATAATCAACGTTGAGTTCTTCGACTATACAACAATTAAAAGCTGCTAAAGGTAGTCTGTAGAACATTTTGTAGCAATAGAAAGGACTGGACAAACATGGCGTTGACAAGTTACAGTCTGAATAGCTTGGTGATATCGTCTCAACTTGAGAGAATCGAATTAAACAGGGAACATTAGTTCCCTGAACATTGCAGATACAACTTGTTGGTGAATGTCAACTACAGGACATCCTGGCAACTACCTCTAATCACCTAACATCAGCAATAAGGTGGGTTTGATGCTGAGACACCTAGACAAGAGATCACGTTGGAACTTAGTCGACATAATTCGGTCAGCATTACAAATTAAACAAACATAACATTGGTCACTACTCAGAGATCACTCAATAGTAAGTGGTATGACAAATCTCAATCGCGAACATAAATGGGAAAACTGAACAATGAATGAAAATTCATCACACTGAACAAAGCCAGTGACTATCTAGATCCAGTGGTTCAGTGGATGACTCGATAGTATTTGAAGCAAAAGGAATCGGGTCCAAGTCCCAGCATGAAAATCGATTGAAGGATACGGGTACATCCATCTGACGATCCCCAAATGGCCTGAAGCGCATGTCCTGGCTTTCACTGCTAGCCAACCAAGTAGTCTGCATCTACCAACATGGCTAACACTAGAAGTTAGTCACTTCAAGCACCGATATAACGTTTTGTTTCGGCCGCCCCTAACTTTTCTTCAACCATCCCCAACACTATTCAGCATTGAGCATCGCGATAATCGGTGTTCAGACATATGTAACACGTGGCCTAACCATCTCAGTCGATGAAGATTCACAACCTCATCAACTGATTTACCATCATTCCTCAATACCCTGAGTCTAACCTCACTATTACTTACCCGGTGATCCCAGAACGGTTGGGAAAAAAGAAGAGTTGGCGAATACTGAATCGATCAACAGCGCTGGTCAAGCATACAATTGACCATGTCACAGATGCTGAGCTATGGAGTGAATAACAGATGTAAACTCATGCAAATCGGAATTATGATTCCAATTAGTGACTTCTTGAGAAATGAAATTAGTAAGCTGTTTCAAGAATTAACAATTATATTTTGTACAACATATACAACTAAATAACAATAACTTACATCTTCGTGTGTCAACTGACTGTTACTACTGCAGAGTGTAGCAGTATAGTTATATCTAGGGGTTTGTATATGATTAATATTATTAAAAGTAGTACGGTTGTTATTATTACAATTACTAAATGGCAATGTTTTTTCATCAACAACCTGTGATGTCGACGTAACATCCGCACTTATATTTTCAGTAATTGTAGACGTAGAATTGATAGATGTATTATTCTTTATGGATTCAATTGGATGACATTTAATGCTAGAGGGACTGAGATTAGTATTTCCAGAATTATTGTTACAAATATTACTATTTTCATTGGTATTAGTATTAGTTGTAGATGTAGTCACAGATGTCACTGCAGTGGGTCGTGGTCCAGGTATATGCACACGTACAGTTGTATTTGACGGGAGAACAGTTGGACAGAGTTGTTGATAACGTAATAATGGGACTAGAATAAATGCTTCAATATCATTATTCATTTCTTCAGTATCCAGTTGTTCTATGTCATGAATGCTGAAATTATGATGGTTTAACTGAAGATTGTTACTAATATCATTAATCTGTTTAAATATAGTTTGAAAAAAACAACATAAAAACATCAACACATGATCTGGCAGATTAGAGTTAAATAGAATTATCAGTAATATTTAAAAATAATTGATGAGATAATGATTGAATAGACGTTTTGTACTAATTTGTAACCGTCATACACTCCGATATGGGTCACATCAATAGTTAATAAACTCGATGGATTAATATCATAACAGTTTGACAATCGTTTACACCTTCCCAACATTTATTTCTGATAAGAATGGTGAATTTGTCATTAGGCTAAAACAGTGGTACATCTCACTACTGGTCAAGATTTGGCTGTTTTGTTAGAAGAAATATGCCTATGATTAAAAGTATGAATTTATTTTCCAAAGCAAAAAGGACCAAGATATTTCTGATTATCTGTACATATACAACAAGAAATATTACATATATACACCAATAAACGTAAACTTACACAATTTTGATATGTATTCATACACTGCAATAACATTTGAATTAATGGACCAGGAAGATTATCTCTATGTCTCAAATGTATTGCAATATCATGTATACTAGCGTATAAATTTAATACACACCAATTAACAATAGGACGTCTTGATAAACCATTACGTTGAATTGATAATCTTGGTGGAATCATTACATATGGATGTAGAATAGTTGTTTGTTCATTGACATTAGTTGTACTGGTAGTTTCTAAAGGAGTTGATTCAACATCTGGTACGATTACAGTCGTTGATGACGATGAGGCTGATGAAGTGTTGAATTTTCCAATTAATCGATTTAATTTAATTTCATTTTCTATTTTACATTTTAATTTACCAATAATTTGAATTGGTCCAGTATTAACATGAACACCAGTTCGTTTAGCATAAGAGACCCAAAAGATTAATTCTAATTGGGGTATGTTAATACTAAATTCTAATGATCTGAAGTAGGAAAAGTGAAGTAGCAAAATGGAACAATTATATATATATATATATATATATATATATATATATATATATATATATATATATATATATATATATAGTTGAACATATAACACGAAGTCCACCTAGGGGAGTTGGAAAACCCTCATTCCAAACCAATAATGCATACGGGCTACAGAATTCTGATAGAACAAAAGGCGTATGAACCTATTGTTGGTCACCGACTACCATGGGATTGCACCTCCTAACATTTCCCTAGTGTCTTGTGGATTAAGCCTCAAATAAAGTGCTCAAATAAATAAATAAAATATAACACAAACGTAAATTCATCCACACAGTATTAGGTAGAACTTACTGAAGTAGACGTCCAAAATGTGGTTTCCTTGGTGGTTTATATTGATATAAAGAACCACGACGAATAGGACGAGGAATTTGTGATAGACAATTCTAAAATCAATCAATCGATGAACGAAATAAGCAAGAAGTAAAAAGTTATCAGAAAGAGTGGGATAAAGTATTGAGAGCCCACCGGAGAATTCTACAGAATATATATTTTTAGTAGGCAGTAAACCATCTGAAAACTACTTCTTCAATTCAGAAAGCATTAGGATCAGACGAGGTGGTTCAAGTCCACTTGACTAATCAACGTTTAGAAATTTTGAACGATATGGTTGAAAATCAATGCATTCACTTTTTATCTTCGATTGGATCTCAAGTATTTAAATTAATCATAAATTGACTTTCATAGGATGGAATCAAGTAGTTATCACACATTATAATTTTCAAGAAATGTGGATATCCACATACCGCTGAATGTCACAAACACTTACTAAGCTGTATCGAAACCTGATGAGACTTAAATATGACAACACATCAGTGTCATCCTAATAAGAACGATCCAGTAAAGTACATATGGATCCAACTGAATAATTATCAGTATAGAGTTTTGTAGAACTCATAGAGATTTAAAATCACCAACTGATCGCACCGTGAACGTTGAACCTCTATTGTCTAAGGTGGATAACTGTCCATCAATCAAAATGACGACTCATTGATCTAGAGGTTAAGTGTCCCTATGCGATATTGCAATTCCTGAATTCGATTCTCTATGTCGAGGTAGTGGATGTGTACTGGTGGCCATGTTTGATACTAGGACGAAACGGCAATCCGGTGCTTGTAGATTTTCAATGACAGTCTAACTAAGATTAGCTTTTGATTTAAAGACTATGAAAATTCGATAATATCCACAAATTTCTATACTGATCATGATAACTTCTCATTGTTAATTAGTTGGTTTAGCAATTTTCATGAACTGATGCCATATTGAGATATGGCTGCTCTTAGCTTTTTTGAACCTACTCTTCACTTAACTAGTAAACACAGTAAGTATATCAAGGGGATGGTTAGGCATACGTAATACATTAACTTTTAAATAGATAGTCAATAAGGCTGTAAATTACACAAACAAGTTATATTAAGTATATTTGAATATTCATTTGAGAACAATAACAGATGTATTTTTTAAAAAAACCCAAGCTAATCGTACAAATTGTTGCTATACAAGCGAGTTTGCATTTACATTGTTTAATGTTAAATGTTTATTACGTCATAAAATAAACAGGTTGATGTAACGCATCGGTTAATTCACTTCTAATTACATAACTACAATAAAACATCTATTGAAAATAATTTGTATTTTAATAAGTGGATAGTGTTGCATGTAATCAGTAGTATACTTAGATAATTATACACTAATTTTAGGTTCTACAATATATTTTTTGAAAAGAATAAAAATATAACGCAAAATTACCCGTAGTTTATCAGCAAATTTCAATACACTTGTATAGAATGAACACCAAGGTCTTTGATCCATAGTAGATGATCCAGTTGGAGGTGGTTTCACGGTGAAGTTAATATCCATAGCTAAACGATTAGCCCGGAAGTATTTAAAGGAGTCGTGCTGTAAAAAGTGATAATCATAATGGGCAGATTTAGGAATATATAATTCATTCTTTCCACATAATTAGTATATGGAACAGTGTGAAGTGTTGAATCATAAAGTTAATATCGCGGATTGATCTTAGTTAGACAACTATTAAACACTAGAAAGCACTAAACGGCTGTTTTGTCTCAGCATAGGAATCTTTAGCATTGAGCACTTATAAGTCAACCTGGGATCGAATCTAAGACGTTCAGATCATGTAGTGAGAGGTTAAGCTTTAGATCAATTAGTTGTTACCCAAGAGCTTGCATACGCAACTTTAATCAACCGATAACGTTATAGTTTTTCTGCATTATAAACAAAAATGGCAGCTAGCCAAAAATTTACTTATTGTTTAATTAGTTAAAATGAATGGAAATAAAGTGAAATCATATTGAAACTGAAGAGGGAAACTCGGAATGAGCAGACCTGGATTACCGCGACAGATTTTCAGCCATATTATATAAAATGCTCAGTAACAAAATTGCTGTTACATAAAGTAGTTCGTACATCCTGAAATGATTTAAGCCCACAGTAAATGATCTTAAGGATCGTTCCAGTGATCTTAATTATTATAGTAGCCAATATCTATGTTGTCATTTATGACTGGAAGCAATGACTAGACAAATACGTGATACATGTTCTAAAAAGATCAGGATTAGAAACGTTTTATAACTACATAGATGAATACTTATGCGGTTCATCCTTTGATTTTAAGTATCAACAACGGTTTTGGGTTTGAGTCTGAGAGTGTAAACGAACTCTGCGATGCATTTACATACAGCTGAAGTGTACGGAATAGGACGAAACACGCATCTTTGATTCCACTGATAGCCACTATTCATTTCCGTTTAAAATGTTTGTAACTTAATGGTGATATCGAGGCAATCCGCACAGCATGCACATATACCAATAACAGATTGATCAATCGCAGTCTAGAACATCAATGGGAAGATCTGTAAAAACAAAAACGTGTGAATTCTTTATTCACCTTGTAGATTTATTAATTTGTGGTCTTTAATTTTTCGTCTTTGCTTGTTGATCAGTTTACAGAGTGTTAAGCGAATGTCAGTAGGTTATGTTGGTTCTTAATAACGCACAAGCTATTCGTTACCGTTTTTTTCACTAGGGTTTCATTTTCTAAACTGAATGGCTCAAACGGTTGAATTAATAAGTGTAATTAAACTGATGGCAATAGAATAATAAATTTCTCTAGATATATCTATCAATATGATAACATCAACTGATGCCACCTTGTTTTTAAAAACAGAAAAAGCTAACTAATAAACAAACCTGAGTCTGTTCTCTTGGTGATAGATAGTCCATATAACAATATTTCACTGAATGATGATCATTTGGATCACGTAATGATAACCAGTCTAATTTCACTCTGTTTAAAAGTAGTATAAGTGACAAACGTAAGTTAAGAAATAACTGCAAACAAATAATTTGCATACCTAATGAAAAAATTAAGTTTCAATTTTATTGACTATTCAGATTAGGAAACTACGAAATCTAACTGAAGTGGGATTTCCTGTCAGTAAAGCAGGCAATCAGGAACTTGTCACATAAGTGCATTACTTCAATTTATAACATGTTGGCACATTGTGACGAAAATATGACGGAGGCCTATAGTTTGGACGCGATTGGAAGTAGGCTTATACATTGATAGTTGTTACAGAAATGACATGAATTCTTTTTACGGATAGAGACAACTATCAACTCATTCCAAGTTGGAACATCTTTTATTTGCTAGATTTTTGTAAACAACTCAGTCAGTTCTATAATCACAAGGTCGCCACCACCTTCAAAAAGGGCTGGAGATAAGTCATCAGGGCCTGATGCTTGTGGCGCTTCAGGAGTTGGAGTTCCTTGAGCACCACGGAGGGTAGGACATTCTGCTCGATTACGCCGGGGCACCAGACCAGTTAAACTGCTCCTCGAAAAACTCTGCCCGTCGTCCAAGACATCGGTAGATATTATGGATTACTAGTAAGTTACTAATGGTTTGAGGACGGCCAAACCATAACATGACAATGTAGGTAGATGTAACTTATTTGGTTAGGGTTCGTATGAAGAAGACACTATCTGGAAAAATAACGTTTAAGTTTATGCCTTATGATACAGACCATATATAATATGTAGAGGCGGGGCTGAAATACAATATTTTGGCTGTTGAAATCTCTTTAGATGACACAAGGCTGAAAGTCATAACTCACCGGTCGAAAGTACCCAAAGGTTAAGCTTACTAATACTATTAATATTAATGCGACCATAGTGTTAGTAATTAAGTTTCAAAGCTAGGTAGTTGACAATAGTCAGCAAAGAATTGGAGGTACAAATCCCAAAGGAAGCACAAGTTTCTTTAAGATTCCAGGTAAATCATCTTGACAAAAATGTAATGTTTCCTGTTAACAAGCTCTTCAACTATCTTACATAAAAATAGTGAACATGATATCAAGTCACATAGATGAGTGACCATATTGTAGATCGTTGATGCGAACTGCTGAGGAGTCCCACAATAGGACGAAACAGCCGTCCAGTGCTTCCAGGTTTTCCATGGTGGTCTGGCTTCAATTGACTGATGATTTCAACTATATATAAATATTGTAAATTAGTCGATAGAATTTAAACTACGCTAAAGAATTAGACAAAACATCACACTGTTCTCACTATTCAGTGATCAATATACACATTTATTCAGAATGATTTTATTTTTTGTAACATCTACAATCCATTTATATATATGTATCTATTATTGATATGTCGGAATAAAAAGGAGAATTTGAGAGTTTTCTGAATTGATGTAACATTTTATGACATAATTTTTATTTGTAATATAATATTTAGATGAACATTTTATTCTCAGTGTGACATTTTGGTCGGGACAACAATGGCTACATATTTTCTGTGTAATATCAGTTAAGTGTAAATTTGATTCAGTATGAAAGATGTGATCTCATTCAGTGTGACTCTATGAACTTCCGCAAAAGTATCTTTTCATTAATGTAATGTTTACGGAAATGATCATCATGTGTATAAAATCAGTATATAAATGAGTGTATATAATTTAACAACGATATGTGTTTGGACGACATGTTTTGAAAGAATCAATAAAACGTTAATTTATACCAGTCTTTTAATTTTTACTATACATTGTGAGAATTACATTGGTTTCAGTTTCCAAGTATAAGCAATAGGATTGTAAATATAACAGAACAGAGATTACACCAGACTATGATCAGATAATTATATTGGACAAAATACCAAATTAAAACAAATAAACACAAACTTACGTCATTTCTAAATGTGGTATATGAAATAATCGACATATTCCATCATACTTGGACGCAGTTTGATAGACAATATCTAAATCACCATCAATTCTTATAACTCCTGTAAAATATCAATCGATGTATAAATAAATAAATAATAATGAATAGAAAAAATTATTTAATATTTTATCAGGATTGGGATTTGTATAAATTTTAGTAATTATAATAGTTGAATCCATAAGTCGACCTAAGCTAGACAACCAATAAAAATCTGGAAGCACTGAACGGTAGTTTCTTCCTAGTATAGGACTCTTTAGCAGTGATGGTCTCGCTTAGATCGACTCATGGATTTAACTTTTTAGTATTTTTCATGGAAAATAAATATATACAATATACATTGTAAATCGACTTTCATTAGATAATCAAAGTATAACAAATATGTGTTACATTGAAGTACATGAATCTCTCTTTCTAGCAGTACACAATCAAGAAATGGTTAAATGAGATCAAAATAACTATTAATTGTTATATGGTACCTTCATAATGTACAGTGTAATATGAAATCTTATAAGATATGTTCACGTGATGGATGATGATGTCGTTGAAGATAAAAACAATGAATAATAATCACAAGTATCATCTAATCACACAATGTTCGATATTTTCATTATTTAAATGATATATACACTAATGTTTGGATTCAATGTTTTTGTAACAACGATGATGGTATATACACAGATAAAGAGTGAGAGACAGAGTTGTCTATCATATTTTCATCAGCTTAGATGATATAAAAATGTTCTGTTTAACAATCAAAACATCGGTCCGATGACATTATCTTTCTGATATCAAGGTTCCGATGATGATGACGATGATAAAAACTGATAATATGCGAACCAACACCAAACATGATTGTTAATAAGCCCCTCCCCTCTAGAACCTTATATCCATGATATGTGGTAATGGAAATAAACGTGATTAGTCAGAGTGTGAATTAACGGACACACAAACTGATCATTAAATGTAAATTCCTTTCCTCCTATTGATTTCCACTCCGGACTCACTGAAAGTGACTTCTTGTAATAGAGTGGGGAAAAACATTTACTGCGGTTCTTAATTCTCGTCCGTAAATCGTATATCTGATATAATGTGATATTTTCTGTCTATAGCATATTGTTCGGGTATCCGATCAAGAATCATTATAATATCAGGCACCCAAACGAATTATATCATCATTTGATTGTATTAGCATGGTATATTACAGAGAAAATTATTTTAAATCAACCTGTATATCAACCCCACAGAGCCAGAAGATATCGAAAAACTAAAGTCTGGTATATGGCTGTGAAAAACCAACTATCTTAGAGGTCGCGTTTTGTACACATTCTTAAATAATATAACAGTACGATGATAAAAGATTATCAAGTAGTTTATGCTGATTAGTTGAACAACAGAACAAATTATTTTTCTAACCATGTTATTCACTGCTCTCTGATTGGCGGTCTTATCACGTCATCCGTTAACAAGGCATCCACTCGGCCACAAGTTATAACAAACCATATAACAGAATCCATTAAAACACATGGAATAAAAAAATAATCTCGGCAAAACTAAGCTATACCATCGATCCTGGGCTATTTTAAGAGAATCTGAAATTAACCGATTAGAATGTAGCTTTCGTAAAGGAATGGTGCATTACGAAAAGATGGTGACACTGGAAAGAATATAGTTTCGACATGTTTATAATTTAACTCTAAGCCTAACACTCATTACTATAATAATTCCGTCCCTGATACTCTTAAAATTCATATCTCTGGACCATTTGGTGACCTAAATATCACACCTTCACAACGGATATATAAGATTCTGTAGTTCACACCATTCTGCGGTTGATCTACGATCACATCACAAAACAAATTAGCATAAAAATGAAATCCCATAAAAAAGAAATGATATTTGGCAGCAGGCAATCAGTAATTCTGTTTTAAAAATTATACATAAATTTAACTGTTGCTATCTCCATTCTGATAAGTCAACTCCAAGGGTATTTTAAAACCATCATGATCGTTTAGTTCTATGGAAGTTTTTTTAATTTACTGACCACTGAACTAAAATGCTGATTTCTACTTCAGTCACTAATTGGTTCTCAATCATTTGTGATAAAAAAAGAACTTTTAAAATAGAATACATATTTATATAATACACAATTAAACAATATACCATTTTCCCAATGCACAACAGTACGATTCCATTGCCATGTGAAAAATTCTGTTGCATTATATGGACTTAAACTTGTTGAATATGACCAATGCATTGTATCAACAGCAAATAACAAATGACCATGATATAGTAAACGTATTTTATCCCACCAACCTAATGGCGGATAAGATTTGTCTTTTATTAAGGGTTTAATATCATCTAAACGTTGATTAAACCATGAGACAGTTGGTTCCCAATTAGCACCATAATATATATGAAAAGATTTTAAATCTGTTAGGAAAGATAGGAAAATGTTAAAGCTATATATATATATATATATATATATATATATATATATATATATATATATATATATATTTCACAATAATAAGATCATGAGCTGAGTTAGACAACCAACGAAAACCCAATAGTAAAGAAGAGCTATTTCGCCCTAGTATGGGACTACTCAGCCGTTCACGCTCATGACCTCCTTTCATCCGAAAACTGAACCCAAGACCTTCAGTCTTACTCTCAAACGCTTAACCTCTTGGTCATGAAGCTGGCACGCGACGGTGTTAATGTCCAATTTTAATTAATTCACGATACTGCACAACCATTTTATAATGTGGATGCGCACTATTGACCAGTCGCATATTAGGAAGAAATGTCTGTTCAGTGATTTTAGGTTTTTAATGGTAGTCTAGATAAGTTCATGATTTAAATATTGTGAAAATCATATGACCTCCACAAAACCCTATCCTAATATATATGTACATATTGAAGTATTGCAGCTTAGGTGTTATTAAGTTATCCCAAATAAATACAATTTTTTTTTTCAGTTTCTCACTGCAACTCCCGACCGTTGCTGCTACCTTGACGTGGTGGTCGGGCTTGCCTATCGTGATGATCCAATCGAGCTATGCTGGCTGGAACAATCGTTCCTCAAGGTCCTACCATGCCAGACATGTCGGTTGAAGAGCGGTAAGACTAAAAGCAGAAATCCCAAGGTCCGAAGGCGAAGTCGCACTGCTGACTGTACAGAGGTGTGACAGCAGTAAGGTGTTTCCTTCAGACAACCAGCATGACAGCGATGCTGCCTTCCCACAAGGAGGGGTGGGTTAGAAAAGGTCGACCCTAAAAATGCACACCTCGCCTTATCCCACGGATTTCCGTCTCCGGCGGTAAGGACTTTTGAAGAACGGAGCTAACACGTCAAAAATCCCCCACAAAAAGGCCGTGCGTGACCGGCCTCAAGCAGATGTCACTTGGGCACTGCGGTCACGCTCCCAGGTCGTTAAGACCAACACTAATCCAACTTCTTTTTCAGGTCCCTCAAAAAATACCCTTCCACGGTGTGGGCAGCCGGGAAGTGATACTAGCCCTCATACCCTTAACTGCACACAAGACCAAGTTGGTCGCTTTCAAATCCTTCCTACACCTAATAACTCTGTTATCTCCACGACTAACCCTTCCCACGTCCTTTTATCACCTCGCACCGCTAGGGCAAACGATTCGAGTACACAGAACGTTATTCCTGGTCTCCTGAAACCACGCTCTAAACTACATGTAGGAACATTTAATGTCCGAACATTGTGCCAAATAGGACAACAGGCTTCCTTAGCTAGGACTCTAGAATCTTACACCATCGATGTGTGCTGCGTCTCCGAAACGCGCATACAAGATCCGAGTAGTGTCATTCATTTGACCTCACCTAATCAAAATAAAGTTTCATCTCGATACACGCTTCGTGTATCTGGAAGCCCTGACGCTGCTTCCCGTGGCCTCACTGGAGTAGGTATAGCATTAAGTCCTAGGGCAGAACTAGCTCTTTTAGACTGGATCCCAGTAGACAGTCGTCTATGCGCTGTCCGACTAAACGGATCACTAAGGACCCGGAAAGATAGGGAAACTCGTCGCTGCCTCTTCGTCGTCTCTGCCTACTCTCCCACTGACTGCAGCTCAGACGATATAAAAGATGAGTTCTACAGGAAACTTTCTGACCTTCTCCGAGAAGCTAGGCGTTCTGATGTAGTAAAAGTAGCAGGTGACTTTAATGCTCAAGTAGGTAAACTAAGTGAAAGGGAAAGACACCTGGGTGGATCTTATGGTGTAATGGCGAAAAGAACAGATAATGGCGACCGTCTTTTGCAGCTATGCTCAGATAACCGCCTATTTCTTGCAAATACTAACTTTAAGCATAAGGAAAAACATCTTTTGACATGGCGACCCCCGAATTCGTCCCAACGTTGGACCCAATTAGATCACATCGCTATCAGCCAACGATGGAGGGGCTCTATAGAAGACTGTCGCTCATTCTGGGGCACATGTTTAGACTCAGATCATGCTCTAGTGCGAGCACGTATCTGTCTGCGACTTACTGGTCGTAGGAAAGACACTGCAGGGAAACCTCTAAGGGTTCTACTTAATGATAGGCCAGCTAAGAATATATTTCAGGAACAACTAGAAAAACAGTTAGGCAGCCATGTAAGTTGTGTCCACCCCGAGGCAACGTGGAATGACATCCGTAAAGCTGTGGAAACAGCAGTGATATCCGCTAGTAAGGTAAACCATAAGGTTAGGGAGAAACAATGGATCTCGGCAGCATCTACCGCACTGATAGATGCTCGAAAACTTACCCCACCTGGCTCTGAGCATAACGAAGAGCGGAGTCAACTTAAGCGCAGGCTAATAAGAAGCCTACGTAATGATCGTGAACAGTGGTGGGTAGCGAAAGCAAGAGAGATGGAAAAGGCAGCGGCAATAGGTAACAGTAGGCAGCCATTCAGACTCGTTAAAGAAACCGGTATTAGGAACCCAAGTATCAGTGAAACCATCTCAGATAAAGATGGGCATATCATTCATTCTCAATCCAGGAGATTGGTTCGATGGGCAGAACACTTTAGGGATCAGTTCAACTGGCCTTCAGCCACACTTCAATTACCCACGATCCCCAGTCGTCCTGAATGGCAAATTGATGTAAGTCCTCTAACCGTCTACGAGGTTGAAAAAGCTATAGGAAATCTAAAGCGAGGGTGAGCCGCAGGCCCTGACAGGTTGTCCCCTGAGATTTTTAAGGATGGTGGTCCAGTACTAGCAACGAGATTGACTGAGGTCTTAGGTAGAATCTGGGAACTGGACGTAATTCCATCTGACTGGTCCCAATCACTGATTGTGCCAGTCTATAAGAAAGGACAAAAGTCCTCCTGTGACAATCACAGAGGGATCAGTTTGACTAATATAGTGTCTAAAATATTAGCTTCAATAATACTAGGTCGCCTAACCAGAGCTCGTGAAGAGCAGACTAGAGAAAACCAGGCTGGTTTTCGACCTGGACGTGGTTGCATAGACCAGATATTCACCCTACGTCAGGTCCTAGAACATAGACACAAATTCAGACGTCCCACAATAGTAGTGTTTCTTGACCTTAAGGCGGCATTTGACTCCGTTGATCGTGAGGTTCTATGGCAATGTTTGTCACTGAAAGGAGTACCAAAGAAGTACATTAACCTCATAAAGGCTCTCTACTCGAACACAACTGGTCGAGTTAGAGCCTATGGCGAACTGTCATCAGAACTGATTACCACAAGTGGCGTTCGTCAGGGCTGTCCACTCTCCCCATTCTTGTTTAACTTTGTCATTGACATACTTTTAGAGATAGCACTTTCATCAGCTAAACCTCCTGGAGTTGAACTTTTACCAGGAGGCTCACTTGTTGACTTAGAATACGCCGACGACATAGTTCTACTCGGTGAAGACGCTGACAACATGCAGAGTCTTCTGACCACTATAAGCATCTATGCAGGCATGTTCGGGATGCGATTCTCTCCCTCGAAGTGCAAAATGTTACTTCAGGATTGGGTTGCAGCGACACCTGAACTAATGATAGGGAGTGAAGTAGTTGAGCGTGTAGACCACTTCACTTATCTTGAGAGTCTCATCAGCCCTTGTGGTCTGGTATGTGACGAAATCTCAGCACGGATACAGAAGGCTCGTCTAGCTTTCGCCAACTTGCGTCATTTATGGAGTAGGCGAGATATCCGTCTAGCAACCAAAGGACGGGTTTACTGTGCAGCAGTTCGCTCCGTCCTACTTTATGGCAGTGAAACATGGCCGATAAGAGTAGAGGATATTCGTAGGCTACTAGTGTTCGATCATAGGTGTCTTCGAAGCATTGCTCGTATATCCTGGGACCACCGGGTAAGTAATGCAGTTGTTAGGAAACGAGTACTAGGTAGGGATGGCAAATCGATTGATGAAGTAGTGAAACTTCATCAGTTGAGATGGCTGGGACATGTGTTACGTATGCCCGACCACCGACTGCCCCGACGTGCAATGTTTCATGGTGTAGGAGTAGGTTGGAAGAAAGCTAGGGGTGGTCAGACCAAAACGTGGCACAAATCAATGAAGTCACTGACAAGTGGACTGGGCCATGTTGGTAGGTGTAGACTACCTGGTTGGGATTCGCGAGATGACAGCAACCGATGGTTAGAGACATTGAATGACATGGCTCAAAACCGTTTGCAATGGCGAAGATGCATCCACTCTTTGTGTTCTACCAAATTCTAATCTTCTGAATTCCTCAAGTCTCTATCTTTTTCTCTTTCCAAATTTATTTCACTGTACTATACTCCTTCAATAATTTCTTCAAACCCTAATCTTTTGGATTTCTGATTATACTCCTACTACTTCTACCACTATGGGATTTGAATCGACAACTGCATCTCTGTGCTAATGTGGTATGGCAACTCGAACTGATGTACGTACGTACGAAGTTCTACGTTGTGACTGACTGACTGATTCTCACTGCAACTCTGAGTGTATCACAAACTGAACATCTTTGTAGTTATTCGACGAAGTACTAACGTTGGGAAATAAAGTTTTTACTGTCGAAAATGATGAGACTAACATCTGTACAATATTTTAAGATTGTAAACCAAAGACAAGCACATTAACAGACCTTAGCATTATATGTGCAGTTTTATAGTTACAGATGAGCTATTCTTTAAGATGACAACGATGATAGAACAGAGCAAGTAGCCAAATATTTCTAGCTTGGAGAATCCAGAATTTATAAATATAGAGCAACACATTTTTTCACCATAACGCTGTATGACCTAATCTCAAAAGTAAGACAAACATCTGAATTGCATCAACGATGATTCAACTTGGTATAAGTCAATTTGGCTTTCAGTATATGTAGAGTAAAAAAAATAGATACCTTAAGATTAATTATCACCGGACATATTGGATGAAACGATGAAGAAACGGTCACGCTCATAATAAATAAATCGCTTAACAAATTTCTGAGTGTAGGATTGTGAAGATTGTTAGGTTTCAGAGGAATCCTAGAAAAGACCAATGTTAGACGACCAGTGAAAACCTGAAAACACCGAACACCCACTTCTTCCTAGAATGGAACTACCCAGTAGTGCAAATTCACGACCCTGCATGCAGAACTCAAACCAAGGTACTTCAGTCAAGTTTAACAATATCGAGTGTGAGGCAATTACCCACTGAAAACGATGAAAGATGATTCCTCAATACTGTGGTTGACTTAATTTAGACATGAACGCTGTTGGATGCCCATTCAGTGATCCATTATTTCTCATTGTGATAGACAGTGACTCTTGATCAACCGTTCTCGGAGGCATCAAGTTTTTTTAAAGTTTTGAGATTCTTCACACTTACAACTTACAAACAAGGTTAAAATTAAAAGCAAATTCTTACGGACGAAAAACTCCAAACGTTCACGAACAACCGTTACAATCATGAATAACGAGTCGTCAATTAACATATTGAAAAGACAATGAATGCATTGGACACTGAACAAAAAATTGTGAGGAATCGATCGGGTATAAAAATGAAGGCAAGTCATATACACAATCACGCACGCATACGTTAAACATTGACTGACAATGAGTCATTGATTAGAATCAAGATTAATCTACAGAAAATTCAACTAGCAAGATATAAGCATCTTTGTCGTATATCGTCAACTGAGCGAATAATGTAACTACGATAACAAGACAGCATACATCAAAAGAAAACTTTTCAAACTACGCAAATCATGTTTGTCATGAATGAACACATTTGGTGATTTTTTTTAGTGCAAAACAACAATCAAGTAGCACCCTGAATGTTTAGTTGAAAAACTCTGATTTAAAAAAAGACGTTGTTTCAAACTAAACACGAATAGATGATAATTGAGAAGTTAATGATAACTCAGAATCATTGTATAATTTTTGTTATGATGGGTAGTGCCCGAAATCTCATATTGATACACGACGCGCTCATTTCTCCCCTCCGCCTGAATACATGAGTGAGAAAGTATATTGGGCTATCGAATAAAATGAAGAAATATACATATACCACTTAAAATATCAATCTACTTCTTAGTCGATGAAATGCACTTGTCCTTCACGTCACTTGAGGTTTCCATAGACTGACCTTCTGATTTGGCTACTTCTGAGTGGCTTACCGTGTCAGTTTCACATAACGTCAATTCCAAAACTTTCGAAAATCACAAGACTTAGTAAATCATAGAGTTATGGTCTTATAACTGAGAATTCAGCTCTATCAAATACAACCACTATGAACTACGATACGTAGGTAACACAGCCATAATGAACTATGAAGTACTCGTATTGAATATCATAGTAATTACACACCGAACGAATAATTTCGAATCAAAAACCAAAAAAAGGATAAAACATTTTAATGGCCTGTTCTGGTTTTTACTGATTCAATTTGACGATTTGTAACTAACCTCTAAACATCGTCTTTAATTAAAAAGAAAACAAATAAATAAATTATTGACAGATGGTTATTTACCTGCATTTAAATCATAATAGAATTTAGTTGGTGAACTGAATCGAATCAATGTATAATTTGGCCAAGGATAACCAGGTTCAATAACAACTTTATGTTGACCTGCAAAGCAACGAAAACCAATCGAAAGACGAAATTATTAACAAGACCTCGCAGTAGTTGACACATGTAAGGTGTAAAACTGTTATCTTTAGGAAATTGATCCTGCCTGTATCAACATCTCAGAATATGGAAATAAATGACGCGGGGTTGAACCCTACAGGACTGAACATAAGGAAGTCATTAGTTGAGATGCCTGAGGCATGATCCATCTAACAAATACATGAGATAGGTTCATCATCTTAAATCAGTTTGACTTTGGTAGATTTTCTTGATTCAGAAATTAATAAGTCAAAGTTTTAATTCCAACAGAAGTTAGTCCTCTACAGCTTTATTTCATACCACAACACCATATCATACACTGAACACCTTTCCTCTTTTTCCAACCCGACTCAGCGTCGGTAAACAATGTACGATGTGGAATTCACTGGGATGATATTGATAATAAAAACACAAGCCACAGAAGACGATGTTTCAAGATAGTGATACCAATTGAATTATCGTTGCTATACCAGAAAACCCAATGCAGAACCTCTACAATACTAACATGGTGTTGCCACTGGATGTCAGCGATCCTTAGGATACAACGATAATCAAACACAGAGAGTCGTCCAACATCCTCAACTCGGAGAGGCCAGGTTTCATAAGCATAGAGCAAAACCACTTTCATTGACGTGTTGTACGTCCGACCTTTTACAGCCAGACTAAAATCAAAAAAGCGCCAAAGATGGCCTAGATCGAAACAAGCCTCTTTAATTTTCAATATACGTAAATTTGTGTCATCAATCAGAGTCAAGTTCAATGGTATTTATGACTAACCGACTGAATTGATTAAATTTATTTATACAAATGTAAATAAAATAACAAAAACTCCACTCACCTTTATTATCAGCCATCTGTTCAGCTATAACTAATTTGCCCCATAGAAAAAGATCAGTTATATTCAAACAAGGTTTAGGATAATCACGTAGTTGAAGACGCCATCGTTCAACATTCATTGTAATAATACGACACCATAAAGTAGAAAAATCTTGCTCAGTAAGATTTGGCCATGGACTTACAAAAGAAGATGAAGGATAGGAGAGGGTCAGGGCAAAGGGAGAAATAAATTAATTCAGTCAAAAAAGAATAGATAATTTGAATTTAAAAGAACCTAGGTATATACAACCTGAGTTTTCTAACATACTTTATTTCAAAGTTGGTCTACAGAATATGAAAGCACTGAAAACACGGACTGGATATTAGAGAATCTCGACTATTTATCTAGTCATGTTGATGTACTGAGTCAAGACTAATATGCTAAACAAATAGTAAGGTTTGTGTATCATTTGAATGTTTGAAGAGGATATCTCTGAAGCTGATGATTAACCTGAAAAGATATTTTTCTTGCCTCTATGGATCATTCCTATCTTATGAACCTTATGAAAATTGTTCCAGAACTTCAGAAATAAAACTACCAGCTTAATTCTCACAACTACTGAATATGCCGCCTGATAACTGAAACCTAGCATTACCATTTACACTTTATTTCCACTTTTCATATATAAACTTATACTACTCAATGATATTCAGTAACTTGTATAACTATTACTTATCGAAACAACTAATTTACTTTGCATATATATATATGTTAACATACCTGTCACTATCCATAATTTTCATCTGTGCTATGACCTGTTCACCATGTGTAATACTTTCATCAGCTAATGCTTTGATTTTTAAATTATCCATAGTGAATGTAAATAATTCATCGGAAAAAGCATAATCACAATAGAAACGATGTAAACGATTACGGTAATCTTTGGCACGTTGCATTTCTATACGAGTGAAACATGCTTGACGTTCTTCATCTGGTTCGTTTTATTGAATGGAAAATACAATAATGACATCAAGATAGTTTATGAAGGGATATGAAGGTTGTAGAGTTTTATAGTTCACTATACGGACTATTCTTATAAGTTAGCTATACAGCCATTGAAAACTAGTAAGCAGTTGACAGTCATTTTTTCCTACTACAGAGCTGACCAGATGTGTACATCTAAAAACGTACCAGTGATTGAACCTAGGAAAATCAAGGTCCTGAGGAGAGAGACAATAATTTGATGTGTTCAACTTAGAGCCAAATAATTCTTGAGGAACTGATGTTTCCCACGAAATTTAAACCTAATTCGCTGTCAGAAACATTATTGACAAGCTATTTAAGTTCAAAGTTACGCAGTTTTCAGTGCTGATCGACTTCCATATATTAAGTTGCAGTATTATCACTAAACTGAGTAGTTTATTATCGCGATGAATACGATGTGATATTCAATGAACGAAGATGGACATTTGGAAACCTATGTTTCGAGTGATCTGGGACTTAAATATTTTTCTGTACATTTTTGTCACTAGCTTTAGTAAACATTTTTCCTACCTTCTTCCGTCCTTTCAATTTGCGGTGTAAGAGTAAATTGTAAGAACGTTTGAGGGGGACAAACCAAAATGACGTGTCGGTTAACTAAGTCATAAACTGTTGGTACGCGCTTTACCGATAGATGCTCGCGATCAGTGTTTAGAGACATCAGATGAAAGAACTCGAAACCGGCCACAATAGCCCAGATGAATTCACTCTTTATTTTCTTATCGAACTTGGATTCCATTGCTGCTATATTTTGTCTTTTCGAATTCCATTCTTGATGCTTGATCTTTCTAATGATCATTTCTATCACATTTATTTCTATTTATTTGTAATTATTCCTGTTAAATTCATTTCACCGTGTTAATATGGAATTGTGGAGACGTGACTTGTTGATTAAAGTGTGTGACTTTAACTCATTAAGTAGAAATTTTGAAATGCACCCTACTTTATTCAATTTGGGTGTACACATTTAGAAAGTGCATTGAAGCCATGTACAGTAAGCTACGTCTAATAAATGAATCAGTTAAAAAGTGTGATATAATAACTTGAACTAACTTATATCTTACGTTGATTCTAACTAACTGATTTTAGTCGGAAATACTAGTATTCTTATCATACCTGAATAGATAGATCGGCATATAAAATGAGAAAAAAGAGGAAAAATAACATAATTTAAAAAAAAACTACTACTAACCAGTAAAACGTATGCCTGAATGAATTGCTCTGTCAATTTGTTCACGTAGTGTATTTACACGTTTCTCATGAACGGCGAATTCATCCAACAAAATCTACGGTGCAAGGAGAAAATTTACAGAGAAATTTCGAAAAAAAAATACAAAGGATATGTATACAACAAAAAATAACTTTGGGAATAAATTAATATCAGAAGGGGTTTTGTGGAGATTTTAGTATTTTTATAGAGTTGAGATCATGAGTCAATTGAAGCTAGACTACCATGGAAAACCTGGAAGCACTGGACGGCCGTTTCGTCCTATTATGGGACTCCTCAGCAGTGCGCGTCCACGAACCCACCCTCGCGGGATTCGAACTCAGGACCTACCAGTTTCGAGCCGAAGCCCTTAAACGATAGACCACTGAGCTGGTATCCAACGGTGTTAATTTCTAACTTCAACTGATTCACGAAATTGAGCAACCATTCACCAATGTCATCAGTGAGTTCCTATCTCACAACAGACCTGGTTGAACTCCACCGGTTACTGCTTCTCACTAGAACTCCAGGAAATACCTCAAGGAGTCAGTCACTAGTGAGCACCTGATTATTATCAGAAGGGGTTTTGTGGAGATTTTAGTATTTTTATAGAGTTGAGATCATGAGTCAATTGAAGCTCGAAACTGGTAGGTCCTGGGTTCGAATCCCGCGAGAGTGGGTTCGTGGACGCGCACTGCTGAGGAGTCCCATAATAAATTAATAGTTGTTTTTACAAAACACAATAGACAAACCGGTCCTTTAAAATCATTATCAGTTGACGTGCTTATGACAAAAGTTGAAAATTCAGCTGTAAACGTAATCGAATTTATGTAATTAATATATGAATAACAGATTAATTATCTGTGATGAAATAAAGTACGTGAACTGTCTATAAAATAAACTTGACACACTCTAGCACCACATCAAACTTTCATGTGAAGCGGAGAAGAACAACCACCTCCCTATCTTAGATATACTTTCAATTAGAAAATATGAATCAATCAAATGATTTATATTTTGGCAAACTGACTTGGCGATAGACCAGTATCTTAGTTATCGAAATTAATGCCCAGTTCAATGCAAACGTGGCTCCATAAAGGTCCTATTTGATAGGATTGATCATATTTTTAAAAAGAAATGAGACTACTAAAGAAACACATTGATGGAGAATAATTGCTATTTAAAATTCATAAATCCATAGCAAGATCACAGTATGGTGAGATCTACTTAACAAACTTCTGGCACCGGAACAGTATGTCGACAACACACAATTCTGTAAGTTAATCAAACAGGCCTATGCTGAAAGAAAGTCTTAGATCAGTTGTTTATAACATGTACTCAGTAGTTAATTGTGGTTAGAAATTCAGGGAGCACAATTCAATGAAAGTGAAACGGCATGTAAGCGATTGCGCATGTTACCTTATGTTTATCAACTTACATATGTGTGTGACCACGCATAAATAAGGAGAAGTAATCGTGATTTATAAGTCAGGGCCTTTGAACATGTACCAAAATGGATATAGAAACAAATCAAATGAATCAATCACAGCGAACGACAAACATTTATCACCTGTTATTGTTAAACACATAGTTGAAAAAACTTATAAGATTGATCCAAACTAAACCTTTGTGGCTTTGTACAGGAGTTATCTAAGACAAGTGTTCGGGCACATAAACAACGGTTCAATTGGTTTCACCAACTAGAAACAAATACCTAGAGATAGACGGGTTGGAAAAAGAGGAACGGTGTTCATTGTATCATATGGTGTTGTGTTATGAAATAAAGTTGTACAGGACTGACTTCTGTTAGTCCTTCACTACTCTCTGGTTGTGGTTCTGGAGATAAGGTGGTGCAAAACAGTAGCTTGAAGCGTTATCAGACGTATCTAGGAAAAGAAGTCAGTAGTGATCCTGTTGTAATTTCTTTCTCCTTTTTTCATAGAAGTGAAAGAAACATCTCTCACTGAAATAATCCATCTTCGTTGTACTGCTTCTCTCGTTATTATTTTGATTATTTTCATTTCCATACACTAATTTCTATTTAGTTATGTTCTGTTTTTCATTGAACTGACGTTCCTTTCCGTATCTTTCCACAATTTCATTTTGTTGTTGTGTGTTGTAAAGATATTTTGGTGTCCATTTGTACTAATCAGTCAGTCAGCTACAACGTAGGACCAGGCACACATATGCATCGGTCCAAGTTGCCATACCTCGTTAGCATAACAAGATGAACACCGGATTCATAGAAGTAGTTAATTTAGTGGTGGTAGTATATAAAAGACAGGTTTTATATAGGGATATAGTATAGGAAGGAAGAAAGTTATGAAGCAATTTTAATCTCAAGGTTTAAGAGAAGATAAAAAGTGTATACACCTACGCCATTGTAATCGATTCTGAGTCATGTCACCAACAGTCTCCAACCATTGGTTACGATAGTCACGCGGACCTCAACTAACTGCCAACATGGCTAAGACTAGAAGTTAGTGACTTCAAGCACTGATGCCACGTTTTGTTTCGGCCGCCCCTAACTTTCTTCCAACCATCCCCTACACTAGTCAGCAGAACGCGTCGTGGTAATCGGTGTTCAGGCATACGTAACACGTGGCCTAATCGTCTCAGTTGATGAAGATTAACAACCTCATCAACTGATTTGCCATCATTCCCTAATACCCTCTGTCTAACCACACTATTACTTACCCGGTGTTCCTTAATAATAATTATATTTATATATTTGAATAAATAAAATGAATATGAATTATATACCCAAAACTATTTGTAAAATCTTACAGTATGAATATCGTTTAATTTACATTCGAACGGATCATCTTTAATTTCAATAACGAATTTCTATATGGAAAAAAAGCAACAAATGAAATGAAACAAAACTGTAAGTATCATTAGGTCAAGGGGTTTAAAGTTGATAGTTTTTAAAATAAAATGAACATTAAACAGAATGTCATTACTGATAGGCCACAGTATTTTACTTTACTTACTTTACTTTCGCCTGTTACTCCCAATGGAGGATAGGCCACCGACCAGCATTCTCCAACCCACTCTGTCCTGGGACTTCTTTTCTAGTTCTAACCAGTTCTTGTTCATTCTTCTCATGTCTGTCTCCATTTCTCGACATAATGTGTTCTTTGGTCTTCCTCTTCTCCTTTGACCTTCAAGATTCCATGTGAGGGCTTGTCTTGTGACGCAATTAGCTGATTTCCTCAAGGTGTACCCAATCCACTTCCAGCGCTTCTTCCTGATTTCTTCCTCCGCTGGAATCTGGTTTGTTGTCTCCCACAGTAACTTGTTGCTGATAGTGTCTGGCCGGCGGATCCGAAGTATCTTGCGTAGACAACTGTTAATAAACACTTGTATCTTCTGGATAATGGATTTCGTAGTTCTCCACGTCTCCGCCCCATACAGTAGAACTGTCTTGACATTTGTATTGAAAATTCTAACCTTGGTGTTGGTTGACAATTGTTTTGAGCTCCAGATGTATTTCAGTTGTAGGTATGCTGCTCTTGCTTTGCCGATCCGCGCCCTCACATCTGCATTAGATCCACCGTGTTCATCAATGATGCTGCCCAGATATGTAAAGGTTTCCACATCCTCCAAAGCTTCTCCGTCAAGAGTAATTTGATTGGTGCATATTGTGTTGTATCGGAGAGTCTTGCTTTTCCCTTTGTTTATATTGAGACCTACTGCTGCTGAGGCTGCTGCTACAAGAAGTATAGAATTAGAATTTCTAACATCTTGTGAACTTAATGTAGGTGGCTTCAACAAAGTCATTAAATTAATCAAAGAAATAACGAGTTATATGAAAACATAAGTCTAAACAGTATTGTAGTGCATAATACTACTTAACACCTACGTGGAGTGTTGTAACTTTTGAACAGGCTAAAGAGTCATTATGTACACATATATTTGACTCTATGCAGTTGTACACTTTTGACCTTTTGTTTTTATATAAACGTAAATATACATATCTGTTCATTAAATAATCTCGTCGACAAATGTCTTATTTTTCTGTTTGACTATAATTAGTGAAGTGTTTCGTAGAATCGACTTGACAAATCTGCTTTTTCTGGTTCACATATTATAGTTTGTCTGAGTAAACAAGTGTCTGAAATAAACCCATCCAACTTAATTTGTACTTCGCTTTTATTGACGCCCTTGCTTAAACGGAGTTGGATTAAGTCAATACACTGTCACAGTATACAATAACAAGGGAGAAGTTTCACTTTAATCCAAAGTAACTTTATTTAAGTCAATGCCATGTCGTTTTAATTCAAAGTGAATGAGTGCAAGATATTACTATGTGTTTTTGCATATGTTACTGGATGTGTGAAATGTAAAATATGTAGAGTCGACGTTTGTATGTGTATGTTGATGGTGTGACGGATTTTTTAATATACCTTAAGTGTTTCTTGATGCGAGTCAAGATTTCATACAAAAATTCTTGAATATACAAAGCATCACCATCGACACAACTTATGGATGTGTCAGTTCACGGTAGATAGTTAAATTTGAACTTTTGTCAGTATTCCTTCTCACCACATACCTTAAAGTAAGTAGTTAAAATTCTTACAAAAATAGTGTATATCAAGTATTTTCTGGAGAGTGATATCATTAGTTACAATCTAACAACACTTACCCAATTCTATACATATGGTAAGACTTAATGATCTATTTTACAGAAATTAAAATCGAACTTCAAAGAATGCACAAATACCCATGAAAAAAATAGACTTGTTCAAAACGACATTCACATATATATATATATATATATATATATATATATATATATAGAGAGAGAGAGAGAGAGAGAGAGAGAGAGAGAGACATACTTTGATATGAATAATCCTATCCTGTTTTATATATGATGTTGACGACTGTATATAATCTATTCGAGCAGTTGACGATGAATATACTCCGAACGTTGATGGTGATGATTGTATAGATGTTGGTGAAGTGGGATTACTAAGTGTTACATTTTCATTTGGTAGAGAAGACTTTTTTGATTGATCAAAAGTGTGATCGTTTACATGAAAATATGTAATATTATTAGAGTGTAGTTTAAGTAGAAATTTTCTAACACATGATGCCTAAAATATAAATTAGAGAAAATAATCCCCAAGTTAAATAAAATTAATAACTAACAAATGTATTAGTAAAGAAATATAAATTAATCTAGGTGTTTATTACTTAACAGTAATTTTGATGTGTAAAGAAGTTTTTGGGGAAAAAATCTTCTAACCTTTCGCTTTTAACTCGAAAGTTTTCGATGTTGTTTAAAGTCAGAATTGTTGATATTGTAATTTAAGGAGGCATTTGATTATAAATTTGAGCTTCTGTGGGAAATACATAGGCCCTTCTATTAATGTCATTATATTTCTTAGTTTTTCTCTCTCTTATTTGTGCGTGTATGAATGGACTTTTAACATTGAATTATCATTGTATACTACTAATCACTCGATTTATCTAGTCTACGTAATTTCCATTCCAGAATTACATTCAGATTGTCAAAGAGCAATAATAGTGACGAATAAATTAATGAATGAATAATAACGAATCTCAATGATCAAACTAACGAAATCATTAAGATTTACAAGAATCACAATGTTAGCCAGATTTTTCTGTCATATACAGCTTTTACAACAATTGTTTGAATTTCTTCAAAATAGAAAACAGATCAATTCTTTATTGTAGTCAATTCAATCGTGACACAAAATCTATACAGTAATGAACTGGAAATATCTGACTACACATTAGCATAATTAAAAGATTACACACAAACTACATCACAAATGAAAAAGAACCAAGTAATAAGTCTGTAATAAATTAATAGTAACTTAGGAAAGATACAACATATAACGAAAGTGGTGACAGACTGATTGATATTTAACTAAAGACCTCTCGTAGAATATCCTATCTGTAAGCGTTAAACAAATTTACAATATGAAGATTTACCCTCACTATTTCGTCTCCAAACTAATATACCGAACACGTTGATAGTAGAATATGTTCAGAAGGAACCAGGCATATATTTGAAATCATCATATGAGTGTTTTGAGAAGAGGGAGAATTTATCAGGGGTAATAATAACAGTAATAATAATAGATGGCAAGTAATTTCGAGTAATGTTTGTAAGTATTCAGATGAGTAAAAAGTAGAGATAACTATGAAATAAACTAACTTCTGAATAATGATAAAAACGAGAAATACTTGATAAAATAATTAGTGCTACATGATCAATGTATCCATTCGAAGAAAGACTATAGAGCGATAACAATTATAATAATAATGCAGTTGAGTATTTGCTAGTATTGAAATAAAGGATGTGCATTCTATCTTATTTGGAACTCGTCGGTTGGATGTATCGGCATCGTGATGTGAGATATTCACACAGAGATTCGAACCCAATATCTTTTGCTTCAAACGCTAATGGGTTATATACTGAGATATTGAGTAAACTGAGCAAGCAGCCTCGAGGTTAATTCGTTGGCATCCGAAACAAACAGTACTTAGGATTCAATATCTATCTTGTTATAACGTGTGAGTGCCCTCTTTTGTATATATGAACGCACAAATAGAGAACAGTGAATTTATCGATCGGACAATGACACACAAAATCGTATGAGCAGTATTGAGTACTACTCGGTCTTGCCATATGCATAGCCCAGCCAGTTAAGTCCAGAACACCAATAACAGCCTCGGCAATATGAATCATTATTCACAAACATTTTGGGTTTATATACCAAACAAACAGACCACATCGTACCATAAAATAGAAAATAACATTTGTACAATAATTAGCCAATGTGGCTGTGAATAGGGGGAAAGTAATCAATAAACTGATTATAACTCAAAAATCGTATAATAATAGTTCACAATAAAGCTAATGATGAGAGAAACACGAATATGAATAGTTTAGTTACGTAACAATAGTACAATAGGAAATAGGCATATTACATTGGTCCATAAGTAGACCTCAGAGTTACCATTCATAATTCACCAGGGTATACAACACCTCCCCTTTTTGAGAAATTCGGAGTAAATATTCGGATTTTAAATTTCTCGAATTCATCCTCCCCCACATACGATTTTGTGGTTCATTGTCCGATCGATAAATTCAATGCTCTCGGATTGGGTGATCATATCACGTCATATATATCAACTGGGCAAGAACGAACACACTCACACCTTATAAAATATATACAAACATTAACACTGCCGTATGAAAGCATATTCAGCTAAGGAGGCACAAATAAAACTCCACTTCTAACCATGATCTAAGTTTATTAAAAATAATTGTGAGAAAACGGTAGTATCGAAGCAACCGTTTTGTTGTTTAACTACTTAGGCCTGTTACCCTTGATAAGGTATAGGTTTGAGGATCAGAATTCTTCAAATGAGCCTTTTGTAGGATCTTCTTGCCAGTTATTTACAAGTGACATTCATTTTTTAATGTCTACCTCTAATTTTTGATGCAATGTGTTCATTGGTTTTTCTCTTTTCCTTTTATCTCGTAAATTTCGCGTTATTGATGGAGTTTGATGATTTTTGCAATGTGTGTCCTATCCATCTCTAGTGTTCTTTCCTATTTTCCACTTCATCTGAAAGCTGGTCTGTTTTGACACAAAAGGTTGTTGGTAATCTTATACAAACAACGGACCTGAAGTAACTTGCGTAGATAACCATTTATAGATGCATATACCTTTTCAATGATGGTTGTAGTAGTTCTCCAACTTTCAACTAAGTACAAAAGAACTACTTTGACGTTAGATTTGAAAAGTTTAACTTAGACCTTGTATCTTTGATATGTCTTGTAGTTTTTCCCCGTCGCCACTGATATGTCTTGTGGGTTGAACGCTATATTCAGATCCTAAGCTATTCGGATAACCCCAGGCTAGCACTACTCAGCGACTTGAAAGACCAGAGAGAAGACACGAGTATCAGAGAATCACTTTACTACAAGGTTCATCTTTGTACAGAAAATCGTAGGTATTTATAGATGTTTGCTTAAGTTAAATCAACATCCTAATTCAACCAATCCACTTAACGACATAAATTGCTACTGACCAATGATAGCGTGCCACGTTGGAACTCCGGAATGTTCTGTCGTGCTCTGATTGGTTGGAGCTCTTTTTGAGCCTCTGGAGGCTCTGTTGGAGTTCTCTGGAAACCGACTTAACACCTACCCTTTTTTGAAGAAGCGGGGTAGGTATCCAGACTGCATTTGCTGACTTCAACCTCCCCCACGAAACAATGTTGGGTCCCCAACTTTCGACATAGTGCCGTTGTTGCAGATTGAATTTATGGGACGATCTAATAATTTCAACTTTTCTATCCAATCAAGTCCCAATAAGTCGAGTGCTGGTCGTTCTGTTAAAAATATTACTCCCTTCTTTGTAAGCTCTGCGACTGTGATTTTACAGTGAACCTCACCAGCAATGTTTATAATCCCCCCAGATGCGCCGTGTGCTGTCTGATAGGTTGAAAATATTATCGGCCTCCCAATTTTCTCCCACGTCCTCCTGCTTATAAGCGTTATATCGGAGGCTGTGTCTAGCTGTAAGCGGGCATCGTACCCGTTAATCTTGAGGGAAACATACTTTCTACGATTATGGGAGCCGATTCTGTTAGCAGCTACCGTCACCTTGGCTGTGCGTGGCTTGAATCTTTTAGAATAAACTTTAGGTTGACGACGTTTACGGGTTTTGCAATGACTTTCTTTGTGTCCTTTCCTGGAACACGTAGTACAACGATGACTTTTAAACGGACAAAACCTTTTGAAATGCCAACCTCCGCATAACCAGCATGGGGATGATGGTTTACCGCAGTCATTTCGATAATTCTGTGTACTGGAACCTTGCTCGACTTTCCTCTCAACAGCATTAACGTGGAGGAACTGGTTAGTGTTTTCTACCATCGAGGTATCGTGCTTCAAATTCACTAACCTTTGACATTCATTAGTCACTTCCTGCAGGGTCATGTTGGGACAATGCTCAAGTTTGCTTAGGATTCTCGTTCGGATGTCAGCATCCTCAGGTGAACGCAGGCTACAGACAAATACTAAGCATTTAAACTGGTCTTCAGACATGGAAGACAAATTGAACCTCTCGCATTCTCGGTTCACAATACCTGCATGTTTCACCCAGTCATCTCCTGATTCTTTCGTTATCTTCAAGCACTGGTAACGGATATTAAATAGAGACGACTGTTCTCCAAAGATTTGAGACAGGGTTTGAATTGTTTCATCAAAACTAAAGTCTCGTGGGTTCTTCGGGAGAATAAAGTTACTATAGCGTTCATGTTCTGTTGTCCCAAGCTTCCTTAGAAGTATTCTGACTTTTGAAGCGTCATCCAGTCTGCAGAGATCAATATGAAACAAATCTTCATACTTCTTAAACCCAGAGTTAAAAGTGATACCTGCTGCACCATCAAAATTAAATTCATGGATTGCGTTAATAACTGAGTCAGTATGAGGTACTTGAAATTCACCAGCAGCAGAGTTTTGTTGAGACATACATAATTTCTGCATAAGAGCTTCCATGACTCTGATTTGAGACTGTTCAAACCGTTTTTCTTGACGCTCCATATAAGCTTCAAATTGCTCTAAAGAAATACTCATTGTCATTTTTTTTCTCGTCGCCAGTGATATGTCTTGTAGTTTTTCCCCGTCGCCACTGATATGTCTTGTGGGTTGAACGCTATATTCAGATCCTAAGCTATTCGGATAACCCCAGGCTAGCACTACTCAGCGACTTGAAAGACCAGAGAGAAGACACGAGTATCAGAGAATCACTTTACTACAAGGTTCATCTTTGTACAGAAAATCGTAGGTATTTATAGATGTTTGCTTAAGTTAAATCAACATCCTAATTCAACCAATCCACTTAACGACATAAATTGCTACTGACCAATGATAGCGTGCCACGTTGGAACTCCGGAATGTTCTGTCGTGCTCTGATTGGTTGGAGCTCTTTTTGAGCCTCTGGAGGCTCTGTTGGAGTTCTCTGGAAACCGACTTAACAATCTTATAGTGGCTTTGAATACCAGTTATACTTCAACTGTAGGAATGTTTCCATTACTTTGCACAGATTCCCTTGAGAGGTACATATGGTAACAGAAAATGACCGATTACAATACTTTCAAATCGTCAATAGTAAAATATAGAACTACAAATAATAGCAACTATTATTATTATAAACATATTCAAATAAACTTCTTAATCAAAACAAATCAATAAACCAACCAACCTCCTGATAAACATCACGAAATATATATCGATATGGAAATGTAACATACAACAGATCCATATAAAATTCCCTGTGCAGGAAAAAGGAAATGGAACAAACTATGAATAAAAACAATAAGATAGTTTTCAAAGTTTTTTGTTTACAACTGGTAATCACATATTATATAATTTGAAAACGAGAAAAAAATATCAAGAGAAGCTAAAAACTTGTGAGGAATGAAAATTAACTAAGAAATATTTGAGGAGCACCAAATGGATGTTTTATCCCAGAAGACTCTGCAGAATCGAGAATACAAACATAAAATAACTGTCAGGGGTTTAATGTAGAAGCGTTAGATTAGGTGGTGATTGAGTTTGTGTTTGATGAAATCTTGGCACGAATTCAGAAAATCCGGTTGGTTTTTACCAACTTATGTCATTTGTAGACTAGACTAGATACACGTCTACCAACCAAATGATGAGTATACTAAGCAGCGAGTCGCTTAGCTAACTTCATGGGTGTAAATCTGACTTCTAAAAATGAATTGTATTCATAGGTTACTAGAATTTGATCATGAATGTTTTCGAATCGTTCTTCTTGTATAATGGGATCAGCAAATGAGAAGCGCTGATGTCAGAAGATGTAAGGCATTACGCAAGAATGACAAATCGATTTATGAGTTAGTGACTTTTGACTGACGGAGGTGGTTGAGATATGTATTATATGTCCGTTTAACTACCGCCTAAGAGTGAAGGCGAACGTTACCTGAACTATAAGTAAACTAGAAAAAAGCTAAGAACAACCAAATCGAGACGTGACATCGGTTCATGAAGACACTAACAACTGCAATGAACCATATGGGTAAATGTAGACTATCTGGATGGAGTCCAAATGCTTATTATGTAATTGGAGATGTTAAATAACATAACCTAGAGTTGATTCTAATAGTATGGATGCACTCAATCCCCATCTTGCCTTAGAGTATGATTCATAAAATCTTATTATTTCCGTTTTTCTTCCTTTTATAACATAATTCCTTCCGATTATTTTACAACTTCTACTACCCTGAAATATCATCTTGTTGTGCTAATATCATAAAGTACAGACTGAATGATTGATACTATTGAGTTCAGTCTCAACAGTTCTAATAATTAAAAGTTTCGAAAATATATATTTTACGATTATCTTCTATTCTTATTATTACTAGATGTGTACTGCTGAGGAGTCATATACTGGGACGAAACAGCTCTCCAGTACTTTCAGGTTTTCAATAATGGTCTAGCATTGATCGACTCATGAATTCAATTGTGAAAATGCTAAATCTTGCTACTTACATGCAACAACAAGTTTAAGTGGATCATGAAATTTTTTTTACTCATTCGATGTTTATCAATTCCAAAGATTTTGGGTATATAATTAACACTGAATGAACATAATTTGAATAAAGAAACAAATTCTGATAATCTTCATCTTCTTATTACACTATCGAAATTTATCAAAGGGACTAATTGCTTTAAGATTCTGGCATAGAATGTGAAATCATAGAGAGGGAGATGCATGTGAACTTACCAAGAAGGATTGGCTCGAGTAAGTAAACCCATCTTTAAATGTTCTGTACGATGTTGAATATTTTTTGGTCTTTGACGTATTTTTAAATTCTAAATAGGAGAGTATCAATTGGAAATGATAAGTATTGGATGATATAAAATTACGTAAATGTTTTTTTTTATTTGCAAGCTTCCAATTAAAGTAATCGGGTTTGAATTATTAAGTTCCATATAAAGGTTTCGACCCAGTGAAAAGTAAGTAGATACATCGATTATCACAGAAGCAGTATATTTCAATACAGAGTTTATATAAATCTATACTTGGTGAAATAAGTTACATTATTATTTTATTTTTAAAAGGAAACTTTTCAAATCCAGTTTAAGATTAAGGCACTAGTTAAAATGTAATCTTAATGATGGAATGGAAATGAATTGGTTGGCAGAAAACCTTACAAATGAAATTTGATTTACCTAGTATTCATTAGTAAGATGTATCTATCATTTTGAGAAAACTGATACAGCTTGTAAGGTTTGAATCAGGGTCAATAGCCTTTATAACAGTATGAAAAGTTATCAATGACCAGCATCAACTATTATAATTTTCTATTTGATGCTAATAGCTTTTATTTATGGGGAAAATATTGTAAAAGTTGAAATCGATTTTCGAATTATTGTTAACCATACTTTCGATGTATAATTATCAAGTAATTGGATTACGATGTCTATGTATCCTGTTTATCATAAGCTTCTAGTTAACATACAAACTACTGTTTTACAAATTATCATTCTTAATTTGTTGCCAGATAATAATTTACAGTCTACCCTAGTCCCAGCAACTAGTTCTTTTATTAATATGTCGTAATTTTCTATTTTATAATATGATTATGTGTTGCATATAAACCGATGTATGTTTGAAACATAATAATAATAGTAATAAAAGCTGGCTCCAGACATCTCTTAGAACTCAAAGCAGAGAACAGAGAAAGGCTTGAGAATAACGAACCGTTAAAAGATTGGCTGTGAAAAAGGGTGTATGACTGGTCAAGTCTAGGACACAAGGCTATAGAAGAAATAGTAGACACGATCTAGGCAAAATCAGAATTCTGAACGATGACTCTAGAACGTGATATGGATTAGTGTCTCAGAACACAACAATAGTAAGTCAGAATCTATAGAAACATGGAAACCTGATCGAAGTTCTTCTGGATGGAATGATTGTATTTTGTCGAATTAACAGGTGTACACTGTATATTATTTCTGAAACAAATTATGTTCATATGATCCTAGATCATGACATGAAATAGATTGCTTCACAGAGCGTCTGATGTTCTAAACAATACCATGATATTTGACTTGTTGAGTACTCTTATGGTCTTATCTGATATGTGTGAGCTGGATGAAATGATGACGACTATTGCAGTTCAGTATCTGGAGTACCTTATAAATCGCGCTTTTTTCAAGACAAAGTTTTTCAAATAGTTGTTCGTTTTAAGGATCTCCATTAGATTTATTCATTAATGTTTTACATTTGTTACCAAAATATATGTCTTTCTTTAAAGACTGGAGACAACTGCTACGGATGATGTCAGAATTGAAAATCCAAAATATTTGTTCGAATGTATTACCTTTCCGAAAAAACAGTTTTGTTGAAATATAAACTTTCTTCCTCTCTAACTGGTGTATCTAGAAACGATAATTCACCACTGTGTGATTCTCTTAATAAAGTAAAATGAAAATATTGCGTCATTTATTGTTAAGATTTTATATCGAGTATTGTACGTCAAGTCGTAATACCAAAAAGGTATAATCAATAATTTATACGTATAGTTTAAGGTTTGGGTACGTTGATAGAGATGTTTCCTTAAAATTATGTCAAGAACAGATTGCAGTTATAGACGATACAACTAAATCCATTGCTCTGTCAAAAAGTTCCCACTTGAATGTGGTTTATAAACAAAATTTCAGGTCTTTAGTGATCTGACTGGTGCTCAGTGAATACCCTCCAAACAAAGTCGTGTCTAGATTGCCGGCTTCGATTGAGTGTTTACTAGATAAATAGATCATTATAGCTCTAAACACCACTCCTGATAGTTGACCAAAAAGGACAGACAGGAACATGAAGCAATATTTAGATGCATTTGATCGATACCAGAGATTTAGCGCACTGATTTAACGTCGACTCATAAAACTATCAGGATAATCTTGTCGAATTCGTAATACACTTTTAGAATTCGCCTTTTACACACCACTAAATCTAGAGTGCAATGAAATCAATCATAATATGTACAAAAAATTTATGCAATAAGACATTTTGGTAAAAAATTATTTACCTGAAATACAGCGATTGTTTGATCTTCACACATAATCACTGCATGTTCACAATTCACTTTTAATCGACTAGAAACAATACAACCGATATTATTTTTATTGTTATCATCATCCATATTAGTACTATTCGTTAACAAAACTTCTCTGTTTTTCCTGTCGTTACTATTGCTAATTTTATTGTCAGTATTAGTTATTGTCTTTGGAGTATATTGAAATGAGGTATTTTTTACACGTACCATGATAAAATGTTTGTTTGTTAATAGTTTAAAATAAAATTGAAAGTATGATTGAATTGGTTTTATGCTTAAATGCCAACCATTACTACTATTCAATTCAATAGTACCATTAATAGTAGTATTGTTGATTGTAGGGACTAAGAATGGATCACATGTATTTGATGAATTATTCAATGACTAGAATAGAATAAAGAAATTAAGAAATAAACGGCTAAGGATAAGAATATATATAAATATAATGGCCGTTTAGAGAAATCCTCATCCAGCGTCGTCAGTGGATAATTATCACCGACGAAGGTGGGTGAATAGTTCCATGAAAAGGCCATTATTATAAAGAAAGAATCAAAAGGCTTTCAACTTAAATATTGGGATAGGTCACTGAATAACAGAACTGTACTTCATCCATATTGTTATCAGTGTTAACAACTAATGTATTATAACCGGAAATCAATTGGGTTGTATTATAATAAGTAGTAGTACTGACTTTAAACTTATCATTGCTGAATAAGATTCCGATTCCGAAATACTGAGGTAAAGAGATATAAGGAACACAATGTGTTCAACTAAAGATTCTTTCACAATTGGTAGATGCCGGTAATAGAGTAGATAGAAACAAATCAATTGTGGTAATTTACCATATACTTTATTTATTTATTTAAACACATAAATATTGGTAAAACAAAGTACCAGATAAATATGCGCCTCACAAATCAAATGAAATTTGTATGAGGGCTTGGATACTACCCGGGTGCGCGGAACGAAGCAAGTGGTTTTCTTAGAGGACCACACCCGGAGCCTTTCACCTAAAGATCTGATCCACAAGGCAGTGGAGCATCGTAAGGAGATGCAGTCCCATGGTAGCCGGTAACCAACGATTGGTTCATACGTCATTCGTTCCTTCAGGATCCTGGAGCCCACGTGCACCATTGGTTTTGAATCAGGGTTTTCCAACTCCCCTAGGTAGACACTCCACATCCACCAACCCGGTTAAAGCGCCGGACATTCGTTTTTCGTCTTCTTGATTTCGTAAACAACACCCCTGGTGTGAGAAGGCAGTGAGTAGGACTTCCCTGGCAGAGGCTATATATTCGCGTGGCCATGTGAGAGCATTTCGAGAGGGAGAGCGGACTCTCCCCACTCTCGGCTGTACCAGGGCATTTGGGGGCTACCATATACTTACTATATATACATAAACTGGTGTCAACATTAGACACAGCTATCAGCTGTCTTTGACACTATCGTATGTTATATTTTTCTTTTTAGACCTACATATGGGCTAATCACCCGAGTTGAGATTTTTAACTAATTTATGTTTAATTCTTTAACAACGAACCGTTTTTTCGACGAATTATTGTTTTATGAACTTCAACTTAATCCAATATCTGAATAGTGTGTTTAGACGCTTCGATAGAATTTACACGTACATACACATTAAAAATTTGGAGGCTGGACAGCCGTTTCGTCCCAATGTAGGACTCCTCAGCAGTGTGCATACACGATCCTTATCAATATTATCAATATATTAATCAATTAAAAACTTACTACAGTACTAGATTGTTTGAACAATTTCCCATAGAATTGTTTCCAAGAACGTAATAAATTGTAACAGCACAAATGAAATCCCAATGACCAGATAAATTCACACGATTGATTATTTGGTGAAATTTCAATAGACTGATTAAGATGTTTTATTACAGGTACATCAATACAACAGTACAGAAAAAAAACATTAAAGTTTTGTAGTTCAATCTAGGAAACAGATTTAATAATAACGAAATAAATTTGAATGTTGTTCACAGGAACACTGAACAAATTATGATAGACGGTCGATAGGATTTGACAGACGGATAATTAACTCATAACTAGATCATGTGTTATACATTGGTTATCAAATAACAGACCTTAAAATAACAACTACTATAGGTGATAAACAATAGTTGATTGACAAAAATTGTAAATAGCTCAAAGAGTGAATCGGAATTGACATTAAAAAAAATGTAAACAAATATGTTAATTTTTTCACACCGGACATATTTCACAGCTTACTTTTACCCAGATTGAACGCAGATAAAAGCATCAATATTATACCATAGAAGATAACCAAGTTTAAAATCAGCAGTTATTCTACTGATAATCACTTTGCGACACTATCAATAAGAAGTTCGATGGTTAACCCTGGTACTAAAATTCGTTTAGTATAACTATATTATTACGTATGACTAACTAGCTTACCATTGTGCGATTTTCTGCTTCGTATTTCGTCTGTTAGTCGTGAACTAACTCATCTCTTATTTACATAGAAGTTCGTAGAATTTTCATTGCTTACATCACGAACTGACCTTAGCTAGACAATCAATGAAAACTAAAAAGGACTGAATAGCTTTTTCCTCCTATTATGGAGTTAACCAGCATAATCCATTCATGATCCCACTGAGGATCGAACATAAAACATTTGGGTCTCGAAAGCGGTGTGTAAAAATGAAGCATATGATGCAGAACTTGAAAGGTTTTAGTTCGATCCGCGGTGAGGTCGTAAATTCCTGCTATTGAAAAGTCTAATACTAAGAGGAAACGTTTGTTCAGCCCTTCAGGGTTTTCAATGGTGGTCTAGCTAAACCCAGTCTATCATATTCATTAAAAATGTTTTTTAATTTGTTGATACAGTTGTTTCTATCTGTTCGACTACAAATTGAACTGATCACTTGTGCATTTCTCTGCATTGAATCAACTTGTTACAGTTTACATATCAGTAACGAGACAGCATATTCACAAAATAAAATAAAAAAGAATACCAGTGTGGATATTCACACTGAGAAAAGATATCAGTACCTGTCACCGCCAAATGTATGCCGACAACTTATAAACGTCATATCGAGGCAATCTATTCAGGATGAACATCTTCAAAACTAAAAACGATCAAAATTCAATCATGTAGATTAATCACGAGACAATGTAAACCCTTTCTAATGATAATTTAAACAATCAACACTGAAGAATTAAACACTTAAAAAACAAACGTACTTGATCGGGCAATTTAACATCAACACGAATTTCAGTTAATGATAAAACGAGATCATTTTTTATATCGCAACTAGATACTATTGCATAAGGACATGGTGATGAATTTGAGGAAAATGATGCTGATGATGTTGATGAACAGCATGATACAGTATCCACACCATTGTCCAATTTCTTAATATAACTGTAAACTAATTTAGCTCCAGTTACAGTGATCTGTGATAGACTGTCTAATTTTAATGGTTGATATATAGGATTAATTGAACGAAATTGTGCAATGAAACGTTGACTATCTATACGTAGCATAATAAATGCTACATTTGAAAACAAAAATATCAAGAAATCAATTATATATATAAGTATTAAAAGTTAACGCATGACATTAATTAATCCTTATGTACGTACCCGACAGAAATAAACGAAATACCAATCTTTCAAAACTAAATTAACTAGAAACGGAATAGGGCTAAGTACTAAAATCAGTAACAAAATCTGCATATATATATATATATATATATATATATATATATATATATATATATATATATATATATATATATATATATATAGGGTTCTGTGCAGATCATGAACTGATCTGAGTTAGACTACCGTGGAAAACCTGATAGCACTGAACGACCGTTGCATTCTAATATGGAACTTCTTAGTGGTCCACATCTGTGAACTTAACATAGCGAATCCAAACAAATACATTCGGTCTCGCACGGGAAAGATTAACCTCTAAACTAATGAGTCAGAATCCAACAATGATTTTTAACTTCAACCGATTCATGATCTTGCGCAACCCTTCATCCATTACCTGAGGTGAACTCCATTGTTCATGGCTTCTCAGAAATAATATATTTAATGATAATATATATGTATGATACATATGGTTCACTACGGTTTTTGGTACCTGTATAGTTGCACCAAAGGATTGAGCTTTACTGTTCCAGTTCTAGTGTCAAAGCATGGATAGTGTCTAGTTCTCCTGAAAAACCAACGTAAATCTTACACTAAATTGTTATACCTCAGCGTCACTAATAAAACCACATAAATGATCCGCACATATCCGAAAAGTTTCTGAAATGAAGAAATGTATGGTACTTATAAACCGTGAACAAGATAATAAGATACTCTTAATTATTTATGACCTAGTCTTAAGTTAAACAACCATTGAAAAATAAGTATTATTTAACTATTTCATCTTAGTACGTAATTCCACAACAGTGACCATCTACAACCTCAACTGGCGATCGGGACTAAGCAACAACTATAACAACAATAACTTACAATTATTACTGTTTATAAAAAAAATGTTGATATTCTCTAAAAATCCATCAAATTGAATTGGATTATTCAGATAATTCTCTGTAAAATAACACTGAATTGAAGAGGAACGATTTATTGACAATTTATTGACATGATTATTATAACATTGATAAACATTCTTATTTGAATAATCCCAATGTATATAATTCATTAATTCATTTATTTTAAATGATGGCCATTCTATTTGTAATGTGGTGAATTTTAAACTTATTTGATATTTGTGATTCTAAAGTAGAAAATAAGAAGAAATGGACAATAAGTTAGACCAAATTATGTTGATAAATGAAGAATATCGGGTTAGATTCCTCCAGATATATACACAATCTATGATTGGAGAGATTGAGTAATGTAACAAAGAATGCCTTCTAGTGGATCAGATACATTCAACTTTTATTCTCTTTTAGATCCTTCACACATTTTTTCTTCTTACTCATTCTATTCGACCAATATTTCAATATTCAGTCTTTCTTACAACCATTGATACTCTTAGTATTTCGATTAGTTCAGTGATCATCATTATCTTGTCAATTTTATTTCACTACACTGATAACATATTAGTGAATGCATTATGCGTACCAAGCTCTACATTGTTACTGATTGACGCGTATATTCATCAACATATAATCTAATCTCATTTTAAGCCCTACTTAATGAAAGGGCCAATAATACTTTAATGAATGAGAACACAAGAGGGGACAACCAAACGTCTTTCAATATATTACAGAATATTTTAGCAAGATCTGAGATCCATACAGTAAATACATCATATGCAAAATATCAATCGATTGTATCAGACTTTGCTGTTCCTTCATTTCTATACGAACCACTCTCTGTTCTCGTTCTTTTCTCTTCGATTTACTCGGCTTTCTGCTATCAGACACTCTACTTTCGATTGGTGATACATACTACTTATATCTGTCGACATCAGTAGCGCACGTCACAAAACGACTAATAAAGCCAAAACACATTTAGAAATACGTTTACACATCCAATTAACAGTTTATATTTAATCATTAAGCTTTATTAAATTTGCATGAACAAGACCTGATATTTTTTCATTTTACTTAGTCAATCATTAACAGCGCTATGAATAAAATAAAACTTACCCAAATATCGATTCCATGTACATAGAACAGATCATCCCAATGATGGTTATTTAAAGTAGGCAGTTCATGTATTAATGAGTAAATAGCATTGGATTGATTACAACGAATAGAATAAAGACTATAAGAATGGGGTAATGATAATGACGGTGCCTGTGAAGTATGTGATTCATCAAAAATAGATCCATGAATTTTATCCAATAAACAAACATGGAAATTCGATAGCTTTAAATTTAAATCGGTTAGATTCAACAAATCAAATGATTCTGTACAAAAAAGAATGATAGAAAAAAGATTTAGGAGTGTTGTACATTTGAAAGAACAAGTTACAACAGAAGAAATAATGTTCGGGATAAAAGGTACTTTGGTCTCAATGTAAACATCAATATTGGGATGTACCAATACTATGTTTGAAGAGATTACGAGATCAGTCAAATGTTACACAAACTTGGTACCGTAAAATATGAAAAGTACTCAAACTTTATGATGGAATATCAGCAACATGCTCGTAAATTTAGGGATACAGTGAAGACGTTGTCCTAGATGTTTGCAGACCAATCATTACTTTTTATTACCCGATATTAAAGCACAAAGTTGGTAAAACAAGAAACTGATGGCTTTGTCATTTCTATTCAGGCAACATTTTAAGAGAGCACGTGAACGCCTTAAGTTACTATCGCTTACTCCAATCCACTCTTGTCTGAACAAGCTTGAACGGTGCATGTATCATTTCTAAACTTATTATGTGCTTTAAAATATTCTCACACATTTGCGTGATACCGTAATTCCTGAATTCGATTCTCTGTGTCAGGGTTGTGGTTGTGCACTGCTGACTGCGTTTGACAGTAAGACGAAACAGCATGTAGGTTTCCAATAGTGATCTAACTAAGATTATTTCGTCAATCAAAATCTTATTTAAAAAAAATAAATAATCATAAATTTGCACAGAAAACTAAAATTAACTAACTTTTCAGATTCAATTCATGAAAATCAAATTGAAGATTTACGAGAGAATTTGTAAAACCTAACTGTAATCCAGGTGACTTTAGATCAGGAATGAGTACAAATAAAATCTGGAAAATGAAAAAAAGGGAAAAGTAATACTATTATTAGCCATAACCACCATATAAATCACAGAGAAAGTAGAATGAGTCAATTCTTGGTCTTCTGTCTAAAGCTGGAATAATTAGGTCATTTATAAAAGAAAGTATACACTAGTAGAACCAAGTAGTACATTCATCATATGTGGATATATATAGGCTATGTATTTCTTTGATGATTTTGATTTTGATTATTACTCTGAAGAAGTCCAGGAAAGTTTGCTGAATGAAAGATTGGAATCATATAAATTTCAATCGCTGAGATTATTCCAAATATAATGACTTCTCTATACTATGCACCCAATTCTTGTCAAACAATTCGTTCTAATCTTGACGAATATTCGTATAAATAGTATATTATTTAATGGTAATAATAAGTATTTCATAAAAAATTGACAAATCTTCATACCTAACACACATGGTCTATTTACAAAACAACTCATTATAAAGTGAGAACACAACTGAATCTCATTTTTTTATTATTAAGTAAGCACTTTAAATGGAACAACTCTATTTTTTCAATACTACGCTATGATGTTATAAGATCATGTTGATTGATAAAGTAAAGTGTTACATTGAAATTATTTAAGCTGATTTCTATTTCTTTTGTGCTTATCAAAGAAGGGTTTTGTATTTTCTTGTACGACAAGTTCATTGTTAAGTGATAACCTCAGTTTAATTTACAATACAATATATTGGTGGCCCCCAAATCCCCTGATACGGCTGATGGTGGGGAGAGCCAGCTCTTTATCTCGAAATACTTTCACATGGCAATGCATATACAGCCACTGACAGGAAAGTCCTACTCACTGCCTTCTCGCGGCATTACTGTTGCTTACGAAATTGAAAGAACAAAAATAGAATGTACAGCGTTTTAGCCGGGTCGATGGATACGGAGGATCCACCTAGGGAAGTCGAGAAACTCTGATTCCAAACCAATAGTTCACATGGGATCCAGTACAAATGGTGTATGAACCTATCGTGGGTCATCGGCTAACATGGGACTACATCTCCTGACGTTGCTCCACTACCTTGTTGATCAGACCTTCAGGTCGAAGGCTCTTGGTGTGGCCCCCTAGGAAAACCACCTGCTTCGGTTTGAGCAACCGGGCAGTATCATAACCCACATACAAATCAAGTGACTTGTCTGACGTATATTTATTTGGTGCCCCTTCGTACCAATATTTGTGTTAAAATAAATAAAATATATTGGTGGCTTGCTTGAATATCTGGGCTACCTGTTCCTGATATCTGGATTTCTTAACAAGTTACCTATTCAGGAACGTTTATGAAGCGTTTATCACCTTTCGCTGTACAACTTACAAAAAAGTACAATCAGAGACATTGTGGCGGCTGGCAATATGCATTGAAAAGAATGAACATTATTCAGATGTCGAACTGCTATATATTTATTATCAGGATCGATTAAGAAATAAGTAAAGGAAACTTGTTGAAATACTTTGTGCACAGAATTCTATATTGTACCAAAAATATAATATTGAATAAAGCTATTATTAATAATAATACTGCTAGATCATTATTCTTGATAATATTTGAATTTGGCATATTGTGATTAGTTAGTTTCTCATTAGTTCTATGATTAAAACCTAATCAAATCTACCAGGAAGTGAATAGTTCAACTTCAGTCAGACTGTTATTCATAGACGACTACCAATAAACAGTTGTTTGATGTCAACGATACAATTTTCTTCAAAATCTCCAAAACTAATACTATCACTATATATTAGAGATTACGAGATCATAGTTTTAACTAATGACCAGTATCATCTTTTTAGGTATCAATGCCAAAGTTGGACCTGACAGTTCCAAACAAAATTAACATTGGGTAGAAAATTAATAATAAATATCTTTTTGTTAGATGCCGGTGAGTAGAATAATGCATCTCAGACGTTTCGTGACTTAATGTAGATTTATCTTCTTCAAAGTAGATAAATCTTTGTTTGTAAAATTGAAATTTTAACACATTTCTTCTGTGTCATGATGACTATAACTTAGGATTTTTAAAAGAGTTGAATTGTTTTTGGTGAAAATCATAAATAGGAAACTTGGTGTTGAAGTGATCCAAAGAATTTCTCGAAAAAGTCCAGAGGTGTCCTGAAAACGCTCGAAAACACTTTATCTAATCAGCGTTCAACGGAAGCTTCTAAGAAACATCTGGAAAGTGAAGGTGACGTATCCCATTTGTGGTTGGATATTTATTATCTTGCAACTATATTTAGCATGGTTCAAGAAACTTACAGAAGCCTAATGCCATCTGAAATACTATAAATATCCTCGATTTTATGTACATAATCCAAACTCGGAGTAAAGCGTTCTTTTCATACTTCGCATCTACTCTCTCGTGTTCAAGATGTTATGTAGATTTAGCTCAATGTTATTAAAATAGCTTAGGAAACTGAAGAATTATCACTAAGATCAACCGAGCCACTCAAATCCTGTCTATTGCATAATGGACTGTTCATTAAAGCAAAAGGTCTAATATCAGTCCCATATTTACATCTACATGATCATACAGCATTTCAATTGGATTAGAAAATATTTCTGGAAAGTGGATTGTGTAGATTTCTGTAATCGAGTTAGATAAAGCTAAGTGAATAAGTTACATGATTTTGCCATTTTGTTTTTTAGAGAGTACTGTTTGATTTGGCAAATGGTTCAAACATTCATTGTAAAATACAGTTTTACGACGCTCATGGTTATGTGTGAAAATAGGATACATGAGAAACAATTAATAAAAAAACTGGCAGAAAATCCATAAAACGATGTAAAAGGCCAACCATGAATTAAGCGAATACAGATGCTTTTCTGAAGACATATAAGTGATTAACTCATACTGCCTAACAATAACGAGTAATATTAGCTAACATAAGTATAAGTTTCAAAAAAAAACTAAGAGTGAATGTAACAAAACACAACATCAATCCATGAGTTGATATAGAATGTTAATCTGTGAGTTATATTAGAAGGTATAAACTTTTTGGTCAAAGCCCGTCTAACACTAGTAATTAATTATTGGAAATATTGGATAATATGACATAAAATCAATCACAGTATAGTAATTCAGTTCCTTTCCCAAATTCTAAAGCTTTGGTTAAGTATCATCATTGATTATTCACTGATCGATTACCTTTTAAACTGCATCTCTCATCTTCAAATTTCTCCAAAACTTTCGATCATTTCCCATCATAATAATTTCTTTTACTGGTAGGAATCGGAGTTTAGAGTAACTTTGTTTGTTTTTAAAGAATCTGACGAGGAAACTTGATCAACACTTACAGTTTTAACAACTTCAAAAATAAGATCACAAAAACTAAACATCAACCTCTTGAAACTTTTATCTTTTTTTTAATATTGGCTCCATAGACTTATGTATATATTCGAACAGAAATTAGTTAGATGGAAGATTATGGTACAATACACTCACTTGTGGGATTTTTCTACTTTTCAATTTTTCCATCATCCCAATTTGAATATGATCAGGATATTGTTGTTCTGTATTAAAATCATCAGTACAATTCACTGATTTACAATGTGTAATAATAACACCACCGCCAGAATTATCATCACTAACAGTACTGTCAGATGCTCCGAATTCTTCTACATTATGACGAGTAATACTAGTACTACTGGTAATGATGTTATTGTTACGTACTGAAGTACGAGAACCACCAACATTACCAAAGTAAATACGTACATTTAACTGACGTGTATTCAATCCAAGATACTCAATGAATCTAAAGAATTTTCGTCTAGACAAGCTTTCTTGTGTCTAAAAACAATTTAGAGTATTGAAACAAAAATATTATTATGATAAATAAAACAAAGAGACAAAAAAGAGAAAGACAATACTGTGCAGATCATTATATATATATATATATATATATATATATATATATATATATATATATTAGCTGGATAGCTTCCTGGCTATTTAGCACATTATCTATGATTAATCTCAAATCGGATTATTATTGTTATTATTTATTTATTTAAACACAGAAACAATCTTACAAGGAGGCACCAAATAAATATGCGTCACACAAGTCATTCAATTTGTATGAGGGCCGGGATATTCTCCGGATGCCCAAACCGGATTACGTTGACTAATCCTATTTTTAACCAGCCAGTGAAATGTTAAAACAATTTATTAACAGTTATATTAATTAGCGCTACATCAAAGTTATAAAAAAAGGGCACAAACACAACAATAAGGATACTTTCCATAACCAGTGTAACTAACAATTTAGCATAGAACTGTTTCAGCTGTTCAGCCTTTTAATATCTATTGTTTTTATGGAATAATAATAATTCGGCCTTTTGTAGACAATTATTTTATTTATTTATTTATTTAAACACATAAATATTGGTACAAAGGGGCACCATATACATATGCGCCACACAAATCTCATTTGATATGTATGAGGGCTTGGATACTATCCGGGTGCCCGGAACGAAGCAAGTGGTTTTCTTAGGGGACCACACCCGGAGCCTTTCACCTAAAGATCTGATCCACAAGGCAGTGGAGCATCGTAAGGAGATGCAGTCCCATGGTAGCCGGTAACCAACGATTGGTTCATACGCCATTTGTTCCCTTGAGGTACTGGAGCCCATGTGCACCACTGGTTTGGAATCAGGGTTTTCCAACTCCCCTAAGTGGATGTACCGTGTCCACGAGCCCGGTTAAAGCGCCGGACATTTGTTTTTCGTCCTCCCAATTTTGTAAACAGCACTCCCACCACGACAAGGCAGTGAGTAGGATTTCCCTGGCAGACGGTCAGCATTCTATTTACCGTCTTAACAATTGAAACATGTTTATTATCATCATTATATATATATATATGTACTTACCATTAAATTAAACTGTTTTGAATTCATATTCTTCTTTGGACAATTAAATAATCCAATATTGGTTATAGGCATAATGGATTGATTATTAATACAATTACTATTATCATATAATGTTTTACACCATATTCCAATTAAATAACAAATAGATGATAGTTTGTTATAAAAATTCATTTCAATGATATGATCATGTATATAAAAGATAGATGAATGTAAAATATTCAAATAAATATTACATATAGATGATTCGAGCTATGAAACAAAAGAAACAAATCAAAGAAGTATTTGTTATATAACTAAGTGAGAATCATATACGTATATTACATCCAACTACTGTCTAAAATACATATCTTCCAATAAGTGGATCATAAATTCTTCCGTGTGGGTAGCCTATGAGGTTAGAGTATCACTTCTCCATATTAAATGTACGCTAACCGACCCTTGTTAGATATGACATGGTTAAATGCCAATAATCGCAGCTACTCATTGGGACTCTTGTAATTAGGCAATCGTGATCACATGCACACTACAAGTATGGAGAAGTTGCCAGAATTGTCAAATTTTGTGGTTTACATCACGAGTTGATCTTAGTCAGACAACCATTTAAAACTGTTGGATGTTGACTCAGACGACTAAAGGTTAAGCAATCATCGCAAGAACCGAAGGTTTTGGGTTCAATAATCAATGGGGTCATAGATCATCACTAGTGAAGAATCCTATGTTAGGGGACAGCTATTCAATGTTTTCTGATTTTAATGACTATCTGACCAAGAACGATCCATGATGTAAAATAATAATAATAATAATAATAATAATAATAATAATAATAATAATAGGACTCACTTGTTCGGTTGCTTCTATTAAATATATCCTAGCATCTAATAAACAATGCTGAGCCTGAGAATTCCAACCATTTAATAAGCGTAAATCATTTAAACAAAATCGAAAATTTAATAGAATAAAATGACTAAATAGAATTTTACTGTCAACATTATCACTCAACAGATTTGATGGGATCATTCGTGATATTGGTAAGGATAATGAATGTAATGATGTGTAGAAATCAGACGTCGTTTGAAGAGTTTCATCATTTTCACTAGATTTTATAGAATTAGGCATATTGAATTCCATAGATAAATGAGACGAAGTGAAATAGAATTGGAGACTTCTGTTTCATGAGAAAAGAGAAAAAAGGGGGGTAAAATTAAACAGATGTGAACGAGGTTGAGATTGTTCTACTAGTCATTGCATAGTGCAATTGACTTTCATAACAACTTAAGTCATGGGTCGAAGCACACACGTAATTAGCTTTCTTAATATATTACTGATTCATTACCTGGTACAAATTTCGGTACCTGGGTATGAGCCACACATAAAATGTGACAGTTAATAGTACTACCCGATTGTCCAAGCCGAAGTAGGTGAGGCGGAGTTTGAACCTAGAACTCGGCGGCCGAAAGTAGAACGACTTAACTGTTAAACAACATTAATTTTTTCAATAACGCAGTATTATCATTATTAGCGGTTACCTAACAGATTTAGCTCACATTCACTTGCGTGAATGCACGCTTCAGTAAATTGGATGAAACTAGTGGCGAAAAAAGTAAAACCGATGAAACATTGACACACACACACAAACACATAATTTACCTTTCAAATGAATATCTAATGATTTCAAAACAGAATCCCATCTCAGGTACAAATGAACTTGGTAATGATGATGATGAGGAGGAGGAAGAGAGTTGTGGTTGTATCTGTTCAAAATGATGATTATGATTGAAATTGAACAATTGTACTGGTAAAAATGAAATACATAATTTAATAGAATTCAAACATTGTTGAACACATTGAAAATTTGATTTTAATGAATTATCAGATATAATATTCCCTGATGTTTGTTTTAAATAACAAGATTTATTATTTTTAAAAGAAAATGATGAATGCTTCAGCATTTGTAAAGTATCCTCTTGATGCTTAATAGTAAATTGATGACAATGAGAACATGTTGATTCAAACGATGATGTTTGTGTGGTTAAGATACATGTTTGATTGATATAAAGTTTCCAACTCAACAAATCCATAAGCTCTATAGAATGTAATAATAGAAAACAAGTTGAAATATAAACATGTAATATTCTAATTAAAATTCTCCATCTTATTTGTAAACAAAAGCAGTACATATAGGCGAACAATATTACTTTGAATCATTATCTTAGTCGGGGGCTTCTTACTCGGATATACTTCAATAATAGGTATATGTAGGTTGTATTTGCAACCGGTTAATATCACCTTGAAGTATTATTAAAAACTATAAAGCATTGAATAGTTACTTTGTTCTAGTACAGTGATAAATAATTTACGCGGACATTTGTTACTGATCATCTCCCAGCTCGTTCCTACTATCCCCAGACTACTTTTACAGTCAAACTAAAAAAACAATAGAAAAAAAATCGTCAATTATGAGTGAAAGCTTCGCTCAAAAATTAATCTATGTGCAGGAAACCGAGTTTATTTACAGATCTTCAGGTGGCCTTCATCTCCGGGAAACTCCTGGTAACATACTGAACGCAGTAAAAAAATAAGTTGTTCGATCAAAACGTGACACATAATCCGTCATTGTTTCCAGACGTTTCTGAGAAACTTTTATCCAACGCTGATTGGATAAAACATTCTCAGCCTTTTCTGAATGTTTATGATATTTTGAGCCATTAACATATAGTGCTCATCGGAAGTGTGCACACATTACCCCAACGGGGATTGAACCCAGAACCTTCAGGTTTTGTAGAGAACGCCAACTATTAGTATTACAGCCCCAAGGTCTAATGGTATAGTTTATACATATAAATGAAAGATATCGAACCAATCAAGACAATTCGCAACTTCATGTTTACAATGAAGAAGGATTAGATAACCGAACATAAGTAGCGAGTATAAACTGATAGTAAGACGATAAGTATTCTAGAATGCAAACGAGGACATTGACAACTCCGATCTACGATTTACCACCATAAGTCAGAAATTGTGAAAAAAGACATCCAAATAAGGACCATTAAAATCAAACAATAAGTGTGTAAACGACTAATACAAATATATACATCGATGGTGAATAATAAATACGAAGGGCGGGTGAACAAAAACAAACGTACAGAAGGGTATGGAAATTTAGAAAACTTTCCTATTAACTCTTATCAGACCAAAGAATGGATAGGGATGTTACATATTCATTCCGTACACATGTGAGAGACTAAGTTGAACCCTGTAAGGAAACTGAGAATGTATACACGATAGATCAGTCGAAATTACTCAGTTTTATTTGACACAGAACCACTGTCAATAACGTACAATGAAACGAAGTTATGAGTTGCCTTCAACTCACTTTTTCCTTGTTTGATTTAACAATTTTTATACATCTAAGTATTAATGTGTATTAGAGTAAATCCTGATGAAGATCAAACTAAAAGCAATATTATTTGCACATGTGTGTTTAGGATTCAACATTAGATTTTACGGTTATTCTATATGTACATTAAATCCTAAACTCTACATCTTAATTGCAACCCCACAAAAATATTACCTCAGTTCTAGCAGTATCTTATCATTCATACATATTTGCTGTTTTCTGATGGTCTTGATTGAATAAAGCCTTTGTCACGAACATTTAGAGAATACCTCAAACTTGACCTCATAGTCAGGTCTTAGAAAAAGGATTTTTATTAACTTACCTTCCAAAATTGCAATGCGTAGTCCACACAATTTTAAGTCGACCGATTTTACAAACCAACCATTTAATGATGAAAGTGTTGCATTACTGAAATTTCGACATTCCAATGAAATATTAGTGGACAATTGTAAACGAAGATGACCCAATATGTAAGCGTTTTCAAATATAACATTCCAATTTTTAACGAATAAATCATTACTTAACCAAGTTTCCATGAACACAGGTATACATAGTAACTTTCCACAAATATGAGATACATGTAGATTTACATGAGCCCTTATACATCCGTATAAAAAAACATGGATAGACAAGAGAATAATAAGAAATGGTGTAGTAATATAAATGCTTAGCCAATTTTCAAAATTTTAAATAAATTTTGTTAAATTTTCACGGTTTATATCACAGACTGATTTTAGTTAGACAACTAGTGAAAAAGTAGAAAGTACTGGACGACTGGTGCGTCCTAATATGGGACTCTACAGAAGCGGACATATGAGATCTCACCCAGGGACCAAAACAAAGAACACTGGATTCAAGCAGTTGCTGAGACCCAAAAGTCATGTGTTCGATCTCCGGTGCAGTGACGGATGGATTTTGCTAAAAGCCCCATACAAGAACGAAATAAATCCTCAATGCTTCCTATATTTCAATTGTAATCAAAATAAGCTCAGCCCATGATAAAGACAAAATTTAGCAATATTATGCTTTAAAGTAAACCTTAAGATTTACACAACATGAAAAAATAAATGTAACGAATAAGGACATTAAAATGGTGTTCGATTGTTTAGTATTGAATTTAAATTAAATCCTATCCCTCAAGTTTGTCATGAAATCATCATGCTAGACACTTCAATAGTCATAGTATTCACCCGAGGTGTTACGCAATCAGACATAAAAAAAACGTAGGGTCCGACAATTAACGAACGACCATGGCCAGGTAATCTTTGAAGAATAAGCTCTTAGTAGTACGGAGTATCCTGCGATTAGAGAAAATTGATAGTCCATAGTACGATAGAACCCAAATAACTCAACCGAATAAGTCAGAGGTTATATTCAATGAAGTTAGTTAGAATTTTATTATTTATCATTAATTTCATTCACAATTGCAGACGTTCCTAAGTAGATCCCAACATGGATGAAATCTAGACAAGGGAAAGGTTTTATCTAGCTGACTATAACTGTAAATCACAAAGCCGAGAAATAACTAAATTCGATCTTATTAGACAATATTATGGTTGATAGGGCGAGCTTCGATTAAGCATTAACGTTTTAAACTATTATCGGATAAGGTTGAAGTTTGAAGTAAGGTAGAACGCGAGAACCGAAGATGAAGTGATCAATCCGTTGAGTAAAATAACTAAGATGGGTAGAATTATAAACACTACCTCCCCACCTCCCAACTGAACCTGGTCAGTTAACGAATTGGAATTACTTTTATGCCGGATGCCTTAGCTTAAGGTCCAATAATTTCGCACTTAAAATCATAGAACGACAGAGTTTCTTTGAGGTTTTTGATTATTCATCGATGTATCGTAAGGTCAGGCGTAAGATACTAATTGGATACACTAGGTCTTTATGGGAGTAGTTAAAGCAAACAGTTATGAAAGCCTAGTTCAGTGTCTAATATTAGCTGACACAAAAGTACATCTGAATAAGATTAAGGAGCATTGGAACAAACACACAGTATCACTCCTTGAAGTTGCTGGGTGTTAGACTAAGTAGTATTGACATATGTAGACTATATGGTATAAGTATCTGTTAACTATATCATACATTCAGCTCGGATCGTTCTCTTAATGGTAAGAGACGTGGGTCGACTTAATAAAGCTAGAATACATGGAAAAATAGTCCCATCCAATAAATCCCTGGATAAACTCGATCAGAGCTGCTACCTGTATCCAGTGGTCGGGCTCGAGTAAAGTGATGATTCAATAGAGCTATATTGGTTAAGACATTCATTCCTTGAGATCCCATCATGTCAGGTAGGTCGAATGGGGAAAGATAACACTGAAACCAGCAGACTCATGATCCGCGAGAAAAATTGTACTGGGATGTGACAGCACTAAGGTGTTTCCCTTAAACAAGCAAGTAGCATCCCCAGCCTTTACCCAAAATAAGGATGGGTTTAGAAGAGGTTGGCCTAGAAATAGCACACGTCACCTTTTATCACTGATCTGAGTAGCCGACGGTAAGGCCTTAAAAGTAGGACGCTAATACATCTAATACTACTCACATAAAGACTATATGTGACCGGTATAAAGCAGTTATCCCTTGAGCACTGTGCTCATACTCTCAATTCATCCAGACCACTAATAACCCGTGTTCTTGCTTAGATACCTCAGGAAATAGTATCTTTACACGGTGTATGTAAACAGAGTAACAACCGACCTCATACTTTTAACAGCGCTACAGATCAGCTCGTACATAGTTAAATCCAACCTCCATCACCCAATGTTTTTTTATTTCCACTATCGACCCTCGTCTTCTGTCTTTGACTTCTTCTACATGCCAACAAAGGTATGGCGAATTGGGTCAATGCACAATTTCGCCAGGCTTTACGATGATAAAAATTGGTTGACTGTGGAATAAATTAACTTATTGTGTAGTAATAACAATAATAATAATATCATTACTACACAAATAAAAACATACTGTCTCATACTGATATGAAATAGCATTGTTAACTTTTTCATTCGTAGAGTTAAGGCCAATTTACTAGTTTTATTCAAACGCAAACTTGTTTGACGATTAAATTGAATAGGTGGGTAAACATCACTTAAATCATTGATATGAATTAAGCAATAATGACAGACAGAACTATTACTGTTAGTATTATTAAGAGCACCATCCTCAGCCTTTTTATAATTCGAATATAAAGCATCATCCAGAAATTTGGTTGATAATACTACTATTTGTATAGATGATATATCAATTGAAATGAACTGCAAAAGAAAAAGAAAATATTTGGAAAGGTATCAGAACCCAAACGTTTAACTACTTTTCTTTGAAAACTGATCATTCTTGTTTATAACACATTTAGTAACATTTTCGATTGTAATCAGATACATGCACTCATAAACTATTGATTCATAATCGTAGAAACCAGAGTACACACGACTCCATCCATGTTGAAGTACATGACACTTTAATAACGCGACATACACCATACAATGATAGAAATTACTTTTTAGAAACAAGGCAAAATTTACCTAAAATTTTCCCCACGCTAGCATTTACAAAATGTCTAAGTAGTATCATTATTTTATGGTCATAAGTTATCAAGTTTGGGCACCCGGGCAGTATCATGGCCCACACACCAATCAAATGACTTGTGTGGCGCGTAGGCATTCAGTGCCCTTTTGTACCAATATTTAAATGTTCAAGTAAATAATAAATAAATAAAGTTAAAAAAGGTAACCAATAACTGTTGACGATTCCCTCGCGACCAATCACACGATAGCGGCTATAAAAACTTATGCAAAAACCAAAAAGAAACAGGAGGAGTAATACGTATCTTATCTTTTAAAAAATAAGTAAATCTTGTCTGACTTTTACGCAATCACATAAGGTAATTTAATTTAAAAGAAATACGTGCTCCATGTGTATATTGTAACTGAAAGTGTATGATGTGGTTCAGACCATAATCAAGAATGTTTTGTGATTAAAACGTATTATCAGGCGATTGCCACATTTTTATGTCATGGTGGGATGAGTATTAGAAAGTTCGGGCCTACAGAGCTGTCTTACCTGAAGTTATTACTTATATTTTAATTCTTTAATTACGAAATACTTAAATTATTGTATTTTCCTGCTTGTGAGCGCTTCTGTAATGTATAAACTTTGGTTGTGTTGCGCCTTTCTCAAGTTACTGTCAGGTTATAACAGACCTAGTACTTAATCCTCACCCACTTTGGTTTAGTTATGCCATTATCACCTAAATTACTCGATCATTAATGATAGATATCATGCTACAAGGAAGTAACCAGTCTCAATCTATTTAACAAGGTTCAAACCAATAGATTCCAGCTTTACGAACAGATATTATATCTTGACACGGTTTCTGTGATCTTTCCCAACCCATCATACGATCAGTAGTAAAATGTACAATGGTAGTTAATGGTCGAACAGAAGTAACACTTGCCCCAATCATCTTAATTGAATACTCACAGCCGATGATCATCTATTACCTTCATAGAACGTATACAGTGGGACCAATCATTGATGAGCTAGTATGAACGAAATTAGTAACACGTTACATGAATTCCATTTGAAGCTAGCTAACTTTAAAAGATATAAGAACACTGGGGAAATAAAAAAAATTATAAAACACCTTCCAATCTCACTTCCTAAAAATAATGTAGATGGAAACAGTTAGATCACCTGACTGTTTTACGGTGACAACAATAAACGTTTAAGCATCTATTTTGCTAGATGGTGTCAAATGATGAATAATTCAAAAAAATTTTTTTCAAATATTTGGAAAAATGCAGTATTACTCATAGAAAACTCAAAAACCTTCGATTATGAGAAATCTAAACATGACCTACCGAAATCAGTCTTATTTTCCATGACATAAAGCCTTTATTCAGGTGGGTTCTAATGCCGTCACCTTTGCGCTGCATTACTTTGATAATAGCATACAGACCAGTGTCAGTCGCGTGAAATTCAACACCAGTTATCCAAGCAGATAACAAAGTCCTTTTAAATAAGGGTATTTCAATATGGAACTTACTTAGCTTTAGGATTCCATAAACTACTGCTAAGATATATGGAATCCACATACTAAATGGTTACTATCTTAATGAGTGATATTTACCATGCATTCTCCGTTTATAAAAGTGATAGTAACTCCACGTGCCCAAATAAATCCAAACCTTTGAACGGTAAGGATACATGGAATAAATTTACTAAGAAATGATGATAGAACAAATACTAAAACTCTGAAACAAATGTGAGAGTTGACTAGAATTACTTTGGGGTCACGTAAACTGCGAACAACAGAATCACTAAAGCAACTAACGCCCATTGAGTACAAATTATATCCTTCAAACAATCGAAACACTCCCATGACATAATCAACCACAAGTCAAAGACAACCAAACCCGCCGCTCTTCCCCCTTTCCTATTTTGATTGGCTGAAATGAAAAAGGTAGTCCTGTAGTTCGCCCTTGTAATTCCGAAGGCACGATTTCAAACACCAAGTTAATAGTTTTGCACCATCCTCTAGGATAAGTGAGTTTCCGGCTCCCAAATATTTCTGATACACAAAACTTCATTCAATAAGCTACTAAAACTTCATCAAGGTCATAGCCTGGTCTCAGTTAAGTTATTTCGTGTAACGGCGACGAATGTATAAACTACAGAAGTAATTAATAAAGAATCCAACCTATAATGTAAAATAAAGGTGGTAAAGTCGAAACTCATTTTTTGACATCCATTGGTAGGTATAAACATAATCTGATCAGGAATCTGGCTTATCTAGGCAAACCATTTTCATTATCATTTGACGTAGAGGACGTCCTGCTAGCCAGTCACTTACTGAAGTCCAATGGGAACGTAAGAATACTGCCCGACATACCGTATTCTGAACGAAATCTCATCCGGAACATCCCTAAGGAATCTCACGAGGCGTTTTTCCGTGGACGAAATATCATTGTGCAAGGTGTGCTGGAAAATATGGACCCAACTCAAGCAAACTTTGATATTCGGGAATGGAAATTCATTAAGCATTGCTTAAAACTCAAGAACATATTGACCCAACAGGTAATGCGACTAGCCAAGAGAGACGGAGACTCTAGACCCCGGCTGTTGAAGATAACCTTCCCCCCCTTCCACATGGCGGCTGCAACTCTGGAAGCATTTCGTGCCACTTGACGTCGGTTGCCAACTGGCATCCATATGCATCCGGATAGGCCCCACGACAGCAGGATCAAGCACAAGGGAAAGCCGGAGCTGACAATTCCACCCGTGGACTGTCCTGATCATAAAAAAACGTGTAAAGTACAGGGACTACCAACTCGGTAAACATCGTATACGTAAGCTACCTGTCCACTCACACACGGCTCATATAGACAAACAGGAAGCTCACGCTTTCCAAATTGAAAGCATAAACTGCCTATACACGAACGCCGAGAGCTTGCCAAACAAAATGGATGAGCTACGTGAACTTAGCAACGCTGTTGATGCCCATCTGATAGGAATATCCGAAACGTGAATATCGTCTCAGTTTACGGACCAGGAGTTAGCAATAACTGGAACGACAGAAAAACAGGAATGGGGGGTGGGGTAACACTATACATACGGTCATGCCTGGATGCGCACCAACTTCACAACCAAAAGTTTCACAATCTTGATGAGTCAGTATGGTGCTCAGTAAGATTGTCTACTACCTCGAGGTGTCTAGTTGGGGTCATTTACAGGAAGCCCACTGCCGACATCGATTATGACAAACGTCTGTTGGAAGGATTAGCTCGCTCTATGCGTCTCCGATTCTCTCATATCCTGATTCTAGGGGACTTCAATCTCCCTAGAATCAACTTCGTGGAACATACATACATTGGAGGTGCCAACTCTACTGAAGCTCTGTTCTTCAACCTTATCGGTGACCTTTGATTATTCGAAAATGTGAAGTCGGCAACTCGTTGGAGAAACCGTCAGACGCCGTCGCGCTTAGACTGGGTATTCACAAATGAGGAATTCCTAGTTGACGACATCTCAATCCTGGCTCCCCTGGGGAAAAGTGATCACGCCGTCTTATCATTCAGCTTTGTCAGTAAAACGGAGCTACGATATCCTACTAGCAACAGGCGCTGGGACTTCAAACGGTTGAATGTGTTAGCTTTACACAACTATCTACAACAGGTGGATTGGGATGTCCACCCTCGACTTGAAGTGGATGCTCATTGGGATTTTTTACTGCACACGATCTTATGTGCTACTGAGCATTCAGTTCCTAAAATGGTCCCAAAAAGCTACAAGCAACCCCCAATCATCAGGAACCACACCCGTCGTTTGCTAAGCCGCAAAAGGCACTGTTGGGCTGAATATAAACGAACTGATAACAACGGCGCGTACAGGC